GGGGAGTCACGAATTTCAACAGGCGATGCCGCGATAGACAAAGCCAGGAGGAGAATTGTCAACAAGGATGCAGCGGGGAACATGGCTTACCGGAACGCAATATCATACTCAGTGGCCCATTATATATGCGCTGGCGAACGCGAATGTTGGACACCTTAACTACGTATGAGATGTTCCTCCTCGAAAAAGTGATGACGAGACAGTCGCGGTCCGAGTCATCGCGAGTGCAAGAATTCGACTTCTCAATAAAATGTGACAAGAGGTTTGTTTTTGGTCCCAGGCGGCAGGAATTTATGATTCGTTTACTCGCGTGACTTCATTTCCATAGAGATGCTCACCTATCATGAATACACCTTCGACGGCAGATTGTCGGTGCCAAGGTTGGTGGAGCAATCGTCGCTGAGGAAAGTGGTTGTCTAGCCTGGGTTGTCCCTGGTTGTCTCGGGCCTACCAGATGATGACTGAATTGCTCAACTGATGCCATTTGATAGCTCGGCACAAAACCATGGAATATAATGCTATCAAATAAGCTGGCAATTTTCTGAAGCACACGGCTGTTGACCCATGATCCAATGGATCATTTATGCAAATGGGAAAATTTTGCTGGAGGTTCGCATGACTACGGAGTCCGAGTCGGTCCCTCGACCACGAAGGAAACCAGTGCACACTGCAAATGTTATCCCGTAACCGGCGCACATCAGTCTCAGTCTCAGACTCCCATTGGAAATCAGCGCTTAGCAGGTCATGTGTAATGCATGGCCACCTACAGGTATCGTCTAATGGGTCGAGAAAGTCTCAAAATCACTTCTTGCTATCAGTGTTGTACATACATCATGTTGGAGCGCCTCACCAAGAAAGCCTTGTCCTGGGAACTGGAAGTCCAATGGCAGATTAATCGTCGATATCCGTTTGATCCAGGTGATAGACAAGAACTTGAAGAAGTATCAAGTTATTTGCACTTGTGCCATTAACTCTGCAGTGGACGTCGATGATTAAGTAATTTAAGATTAAGCTTCCGACATATAGGGTCTTCGACCTAAAGGACGACCCGTAAATATGTTTTTTTCCTTATACTGTAGAGCTTTGACCAGCCGCTATGAACCTCCTTATATAACCTGTATCATGAGTAATATGGCCACCTGACGCGACAAAGCCCGCTACCTCCAACTTTTGTTGTGGGAACTTCGGTTTCGCGCTTATCCTTGGTGCATCACTGGGTGATATGCACCATGTATGTCGTCTTCCCGTGCCCATATGCAACGTCTTCTTGATCTTCCTGCCATGTGCGTCATACGTGTTCTGCGACTCACCGTGCGTTTCATCACCAGTAGTATGTGCCAAGCAACCCAAGAGCAACACTAGCTCAGTGCCTTCCCATTCAAAAATGGCCGAAGGTTCGCATTTACAACACCATCAAAAAAGAACGAGTGATGCTTGCAGCTAGTATCCTTCAAGTAGCTCGATGACTGTCGCTGTTTGTTGTACTATACCGCCTCATGCACCACATCTTTCTGTGATCATCCATTTTGTAGTGATTCTCAGCCTGCTGCTCATTACTGCTATGACTCCGAGTTATCCCTCCGCCACGCCCTCACCATGTCCGGTCATTCTTAATTGACCGAAGCCTGCTGGCTTGCCCACGCGGGCAATTTTGCCCTGGTAGAGGGACCCAATGGCAAGCTTGTCTTGGATTTTAAGGTGACGGCTCAAAACGAAAGCACGTTTAACTGCATTTAACAAGCTGGCAACAGCCGTGGCCGGTAGGTCGTTGCGATTTTTGCGTTCTCTCCATCGCACTCGCAAAGAATGCAAGAACCCGGCGATCGCATATACGCGTACCTGTTTACCAGACCATCAGTTTCTCTGCGAGCAGCTCTCCTTCTCTCCAACTTGTTATTGGTCGATGTTACATATGTGTGTCATCAAAATATTAACGGTCCGCAACTAAACTATTCATGGTTACAGTTCGCCGGTATCGGCATAGACACGAGCACACATATCTCAGGAAAGAGCTTGGACAATCAGTGTCCGCGAGATTGGTTATTAGAGTATCATTCGTCCCTTATTGTAGCCCTGTCTCAATCTAGATGCTTAGAGATTTGGATTAGTCTACGCTGAGTCGGTGGTCTCACGATTTAGGGCAAGTAGAGCTGGGGTTTCTTCGTGGAACAGCAATAGTTGACATTCGAACGTTCAACTACGACTCCAGTCACAATTGTTTCCAGGAATGCTTTCAAAAGACTTGATCTATAGGTTGTGATAAATGTTACATTATGACATACAAATACCCAATACCCAAGAAAAAAAATTGCATTAGTTGGTGGTGGCAGTCGTGTATGCGGTTGTGGCAAAACCGACTTGGGAGTTGGTGGTATCGAACACGGAGTAGAAGCGTTCAAGGAAAGTGTAGCCGTTGATGAAGTCGAGACCTTCACCACTTGGAGTGCCAATGGAGTTGACAATGAGGTAGACGTAATCGGAGCTACCACCAATGTAGGTGTTAAGGGCACGAGGCCAGATCTGACCGTTAGGGGTGAGAGCGTAGGTGCTCTGTGCAAAATAGTGAACAAGAGGCATTAAGATTTGGGACAGAAAGGCGTACGCTGCCAACATTGAAGTTCAGGTCCTCGAGGTCATCATACTTGGCGGTAGTAAGGCGGAGAAGACCAGTCGCATTGTCCTCAGTAGCGCCAGTTGCAGACTGGTACTCGCTGTAGGCGTCTATTGAACACTGGTCAGATTGAGATCACTCGCTGTACTTGAGATACGCACTGGTAGCAATGAGAATGAGGGTGGTGCCAGTGTCAACGATACCAGCCGTCTCAGCCAAGATGGTCGTGGTGCCGTAAGTGATGCTCTCGTTGATACCCCAGTAGTAGGATGCAGGGTAGGTGGTGGTGAGAGGACTGAAATCAACGATTGCTGTCAGTCCGGATTGATCTCCGAGCTGCAGCAACTTACGTGTATGCAATGTCGCCAGTGTACTTGGTAGCGTCAGTTCCACCGAAGGTAAGCTCTCCATTTGCGTCTGACTCCGAAGTGGTGGGCTCGAAAGAGACACCGACAACTGTCTCAGCAATGATGCCTTGGCTATACAGTTGTCAGTGACAGTCGGGATCGTCGTGTCTGGTTCTTTTGTCAAGGTTCCCTCTGTCAAGTCTAGGGGCCCGATGCCAAGGATACCGTCAACACCGGTGAAGCCCTCCGAAGTAGCAGCAAACACCAATCGACTGGGCGTGATGGTGAGCCCATCACCGAGAGTGACGGTGTCGGTGTACTCAGTTCCTATAGATAATCGTAGGTATTTTCAACTTATGATATCGTTGTGTCATACCAGAGAAGGAGCCAGAACCGTAGGTGACCGCTACAGCCTCGCCAGTGTCAACACTGGTGCTGGTCTTCACGTATTTAGTGTCGGCAACCAACCCATGTGTTCGAGCTACCGGTGTCGACAATCAAGTAGTCTGCAATAACACATTAGCAGCCGCATGTTTTCTAAGTGTTGAACTCACAGGTTGTGGCGGGGCTGCCAACGCCAACTGCTGCGATGTAGCTTGTAGCATCGTTTGTCACAGTAATACTACCAGTACGACGGCTGAGGGTGTTTTTCCCCGACATTTTTGAGGGCGGCCGCGCGAGACTGATCGTGCTGCAAGAGGTTGATGGTACCACCAGAGGTGTTTAGCCTCCTGGCGATGGGGAGGGTGATGGGGGAGCTGCGAATTTCAACAGGCGATGCCGCGATGGACAAGGCCAGGAGGAGAGTCGTCAACAGGGATGCAGCTGGAAACATGATTGAACAGTACTGGAAGCCGATGATCATACCATATTTCGAAGCCCATTATATATGTGCTGGTAAACTGTGCTGAAAGCTGAGCACACGGTTAATCTCATCCTCAGATGAACCGTATGGAACGCGCCCCCTCACGTGAAGAAACCGAAAACAGGAATAACTCAGCAATCGACTCGTTGTGCGCATATTTTGGATCAAAACCAACATAGCGGGACGAGTAGCCTGTTTTTGGCCGTGAGTAAGAGGAACTGCATCCATGAGGATGCGCTGTTCCACCAGTTTATTCATAGATCAATAGTTAGGGAGTGCTTACCTTACATGGTGAAACAGGCGAATCCACCTTCGGTCCTTCGCAGTACATCATTGCCGGGTGTATCACTTTCGAGACTGCACTATGCAACTACTGCCAGTGAGAGGTTAACCATTGCTGGGAAGAATGGCGCCTGGGCTTGATGATGTCACATTGAAAAATATGTTACACCGATGTGAATACAAGAATACCCGCGGGCTCGACACACAATTTCAGTCGTGTAGTGTTGCTGCCAAGGAGAGATAGGATGAAGAATCAAGTTCCCTGGGGCATATGCCCCGCAGCTGAATCCTGGGGTATCAATCTCGCGACCGACCGGAGCCATTGTTTCTGAAGAAAAAAGAAATTTGATCCAGATGAAAACAACGAACAAGACGTTGACTCTGCAAGAATTCGCCTTTTCGTGGCGGATAGTGAGCATGATGGTACAGATATCTTGCCTTAATCACTGCCGTTTGAAAATGGGGAGATTAGGGCTGCATAACTTTGCATGAATGATACATGCCCATAGCTAGTGATCGGGCCTGAGCAGTATCCTGGCAGTACTTCTTCCCCGTCGACGTCGGGACCCCCGACCTCTTTCCATTTAGTAATAGACCGGCAGGTGCATATGCCATAGTCACATACTTCGGTTGTATTCGCGCTACATCCCTCGAACACCTCAGCAGCCCACGAAATAGCCTACAGGAGCCGCCAGATATGATTCAAAGATACTAGCATCCGTGTGCTTGTGAAGTAGTGAGTTGCAGCCATTATGGTCACCCGGAGGAACGCCATGGTAAGTATGATGGGATCAATTGATCATGTTTGTGATTTGCTGTTTGTGATAAGCTCTCACACAGTTCCGACCGATCAGATATCGATCACTGGTTAATCTGTACGAGCTGATTTTTTCCCTTTCATGGGAATCTGGCTCGAAATCAACAGATTGCTGCGTATGGTTAACGTAGCTCCAATGCTGCTTCAAGATCTCCTTTTCCGCATGCGATATAGCGAGCAAGCCTGGGGGCATAATTCTGGAGTTTGCACCGCAAGTACTGGTTCTTCTGTATAATGCCGTAATTTTGATTCAGACAGGAATGGCGGGACCACGTGAGTATCAAACGGCTCTTTAAGAATACTGAAGCAGGCGTTGCATGAGTGCCGGCTCAATTTTTTAAAAGACGTTCAAAGTTAGGCGCACACGCGCACCGCCCCCCTACTAAAACGGTAATCTGACAGTTGTCGGACTTTAGACTAAACCTTGCGGCGCGCAGTGCCGAACTGTTTATCAGTTGACAAAATTTCAGGTATGATAGATGATATATGACATTTTCCTATGTGCTGAACCATACCAATACGGTTTACCAGAAGGTTTAGGAAGGTACTGCAAGGTCAAGGACTAATAAGGTTGAGGTAAGGTTTTAGCAGACAATATATCTCGACAAGCTACTGTTCAGCCTCGGTGCTACGTGCCGCGAGGTCCAGTTCAAAGTCCGACGATTATCTAATATCACTATGGCAGAACTTCGGAAGGTCATGAGGTGCGCCAAACTATGAACGTCCCTATTAAATGCACTTTCCAACTCAAAGCACAAAGCACAAGAATCCGTCGGGAGAAGACCCTTTCTTATCTTTCCTTGCGCAATACAAATAGGTTTTACCGATCGAGTCTCCGACGACCTCATGGATTTGACATCCTGTGTGGAATGGTGTTGGAAGAGTTCATGCAAAGGTACATTCTCTCATCCTCTCCCAAGCACGCCGCGACGTGGTTCGAGCATAAATTTCACAGTGGCCATAATCCGTGGCATATGTTATCTGCCGACACTTTGGGTTGAACGTTGACTGCGCATTACATTGGTCAACGACCTTTAAGTGATAATTCAGCGAATGTCTCCGTTGCATCATTCCACCGGCCGCCATTAGCGAAAAATGCTACAAGCGAGCCATGTACAACCAGGATGTATGTGCTTGACCGGGACCCTTGACCGGCATACACCTGACATACGAGGCAGCCTAGTCTACCTATAACAGGCGGCAGTACGCAGTGGGTGTAAGCTACTGTGCGTGTACTTTCTATTTTTACACAATCAAAGCTAAATACCGACATTGCTCGGTGCATTTCATCTTGTGGGCGAAATGTCATGGTATTGCTCGACCTACTTTTCGAAGCAGTAAAATTGACAACATAAGTATCTCATAAAAATGTACAGTAACAAAAATAGCGAGAGATAGTGGGAATGCATACATATGTAGAGAACGGATATTTGGTAGTACTCTATCCAAACTCTTCCGATAGTGCTCTACAACAAACACGAGTTCAACGGCTATAGTAGTAAACGACAAGGAAGTGCCTGGCACATGGGAGAGACGAGCACCCCTACCAGTGAAATTTACTTCGCTCAAGCAAACCGCACTTTCTCCCCCGGTCGACCCTCTGACAGCAGTACAACAGCCTAAATGAAGTGGACGCTCAGTACACAGAACCATAACTGCTGAAGGTACGCACATATTTCCCGCTGATCTTCCAGCCTGGCTCTTCCTTGTCTAACCGCTCCGCTATGGCGTCACCATTGTCTCCTAGCCCGACAACAACGTCGCTTTTTATTGTCCGCAGACTGCAAATCTTTGGAGCTCCAGCAGCGCTAGCCATGGGTCCAATGGCAATGTCGAATGGAACGCTGGCCGGTGCAGCACAATCATACGTCAACTTCCTGTGGTTCAAGTCGCCTTTGAAGTAGACGAGATCTGCGCGAGACAGATGGAGGAAGAGATCCGGTGCCTCGCTGTGAAGGTCCCAGAACGTATATCCAGTGCACCAGAAAGGATGTTGCTCATATTGCCATCTGCCATCTTTCTCGTATTGCTATCAAACGTGTGAGTGAAACCTCATGCGCCGACAGACTACCCCTACCTTCCACCGGGCCCCGAGTCTCCGTAGCGACTCTCGCTCAACCTCGGAGGCTTTTGGGAACAGGTGCCCATATACCATGGTGTTCAGTAACCAGTCCCAGTCTTTCCGCGTCACATCAGATACGAACCATGGATAACGCTTGCCATGGAACCGAATCTGCTTAGCCAGACCAGTCTGTATGAGGAAATCGGCTGGTAACAATTAGTCAATCTCTCCACCAAGAGTTGTTTCTTGAACGCACCGTACACGAAATCGCAATACAATTCAAACCCGGCGTTATCCAACACGAAGTCAATTCGTCCACCAGTCTTTTCGCGGAGGACTTTGACAGTCTCCCAAAGCTGGTTTAGATGGTTGCCAAGAATATTCTTTTCAGTGGCAGCAAGGTGGTCTCCTCCAGTTGACTGGAGAGATTTGATCTGTTCTTCCGTCATGTTGATCAAGAGTGAAAGGTCAGTCGAGTTGCCCCACAGACACACTTGCATAACATGTCAGTAGCAAGAACATGAGAAACTCTTATTATCACCTTGAGTCAACTCCAAAAACATGAGTCTCTCGCTTTCTGCTTTCTCTTTGTCTGACATGTTCTCTGACTGCTTGAAAGGCTCAGCAAAGCGCATAGACAGCTCAAAGACAGCGTCTGTCGATCTTGAAAAAGTGTCACACTGGAAGCGCTGTCAGACTGAAAAGATTAATCTAGTCTGATTCATACCTTTTGACGGTAGAAAACATCATAGTCATGCCAGTACTTGCTTACACTGAAGCACTCATGCAGACGACGATACTTATAGGCTTCGGCGAACAACCAAGGCGCATTCATGAAATCCTTGCCTAAAATGCGGATTGTCAGGCAAGATGCGTGGTACATATGGCGAACATCATACCCTGGAAATACTTTGCAATTTCCTTATTCCATAGAGCCACGTCACCTTCACCGTCGTCAACGATTGGCCTAAGCTTAGCATTTCCACTGAGATCGGCCATGAGGGCGTCCATTCTCTCCAAACATTCTACAAGGTCAACAATCTTGTCTTCGGCAGACTGCTCATTTAGAGTTCGTGATGCATCGTCTATAGCTTTGCCAAGGATGGTAGGCAACCGAACCCCCATCGTTGCATGTGCGAACGAGTACTCGTGGTAGCCACGGTACGCTGGCCACGGAGGGTTGTTGGGATCAACCTGGGAGAAGATACCCCGATGCACGTCAGATGGACTACTCGGGTGACAACTCATGTTTATACCGACCCGTGAGGGTGTGCGTGGCCACGGAGCCTTGATATCTTTCTTGCTTGGCAAGTGTCCGAGATGAAGGGTGACACGAGAGGGTGTACTGTAAGTAGCGAGAGAGCCATTTGCTTTGGCAATCGGACCATCGGTGTTAGCAGTACTATGGGTTCCATTGGTTGCTGGTGCTGTCTCAGCCATAGATGTATAATCGACTGAATGAACAGGTGTAGGAGGGAAGTAATCAGCGTTCATTTTGAAGATGGCAGAAATGGGGTTGTGAGTGAACAAAGAACGATAGGCCAACCTTTATACGACGTTCCCTGTGACGACTAACTGTTATCTTTTTGAACGACGGTAGCGCCAAGATGTGTCGCTACTCAGCGGCGCATGGTTTTATTCGACGATACAGCTTGAATTTTGGAGTGCTTTTCCCAAAGAGGAAAGTTGGGCAACGACGTCATGGGTCTGACTGATGTCATGTGATTATTAGAGATTCGCCACTGGCCGTATCGCAATCGGAAATGAAGTTCTTTGTTCGACTGGATTTGCCACTGGGTCAGGTTCCACATGTACTAGCGTGAGCTATATGTAGAGGTTCTGGCTCAAATTCAAAATTGTGCCATCAAATAATTTTAATATTATCTTCTATCTATCAGATTAACCAATCATGCAACAGTTGCATCCAAGGTCCCGGATATGCCTCGTCTGACCCGCGGCGCACTCTCGTTGTAATTTCATCGACGACTAACTTCCTCCTTACAAAGCACCCAGGCCTGCACCGTAAGGTGGAAAAATTGAGTAGTGAGCAATGTCATCGGCGACGACGGCGCCTAGTCCGCATCACAATCGGACATTTTCAGTGGCTTCCCCTCAGGAGCTAGAGTACTATGACAGAATAGTACTACTTGGGCCTCACAAAATACGGACACATGAGTGCAAGAACGTTGCAAGGGATGTGCAACATCTTGAAGAACGTGAAATGCTCTGCCCGGCGGCATCCGGACTGACAGCACCTTATATGACTAACACTCACCTAGCAGCGCTCAAAATCAAATATATATGGATGACACACCTGCCATCGAGCATATTTGTCATGCGAGTCCGCGCTCCAAAGGTCACATTTTGTCTCCGAAGATGTTTCTAAAAAGCATTGTTCAACATCTAAGATCTAAATTTGAATATTCGATATTCAAGTGACAAGTCACAAATGTCTCACGATACTGTCTGCGTGACAACAAAGAGGGAATTTGTCTATGTTCTTTCCAGGGAGGTAGGGCCCCATCAGTAAGTACTTGAATTGAATCTACCGCTGGTTGACCTCGAAGGTGATCCAATCAAGTGATATCCTCACTTATTCCTCGCGTTAGACTATGAAGTACCTGCTGCAAACGTTTCCACATTCGGTTCATAACCTTCCTAGTCTTTCAATTGACGCTCGTTCACTGACTCTGAGACGCCGTGTCCAAAAATTACTTGTCCCACAGGAAATCGCATATCATGGACACCCGAAATTGTGATATGTCGTAAACTTGGCATTGGGACTTGATCTCGAGACTAGTTTCGTGATACCGACCAGCATTTACGAGTCGCAGACCCTATAATTTCTCATCGATGTAATGCTGCTGCAACGTGTTTGACATCCGAGTCAGGCTTGCATTACATTACCCAGACATGTGTCTCCCTTGCTCCTGGTCAGCAGGTCAATTCTATTGATCATTGCACCTCACAGTCTGTCCTCCGAGTTTATCGCTGTCGACTACACTGGATTAGCGACGAGATATCCGTTCACCACTTCGAGTTCTCATCTATCTTATACTTCCTTGAATAGCTCAGTAAGGCATTTCGAGATGCCCCAGCAAATTCGTTGGACTCCATTTGGCATCCCGTATGTGGTGGAGTTCAACAACATATCGTTCACGCCTCGTAGAACGGTGTCTCCTTCAGAAGATACACTCGCGAGCTTTCCTGCACCGGAGAAATCTCCTTCTGTCTCGGAGCAATCTCTGACCTACTCATGCCCATCTGCTACAAGCTCAACTTCTTCTTTTTGTCATATCTCGCAATGTATGCTAGAATCCCCACTAAAGACTCGTTCATCCATTTCGCGCCTGGTATCCTTATCTCGTTCCGCGCCTGGTATGCGCTCAGCGTCTTCATTCTTCAAGCGGAAACACCAGAATGCTCATCCAAGCACACGCAAACCTTACTCGACAACCCAAAATCCATCCAGCAACCCAATCGACACGTGGTGCTATATACCTGCGCACGTTCCCAAACCCCTTCCCCCCGTGCCTCAGCAAGAACCTGAAGGCATCCATGTGGACGGGCTCCACATACAATTCGCCACGCCCCCATGCGATCCACGTGCATCATCCCGAAGTCGACTTGTGCGTTTGCAAAAAACGATCACTAGCGCTGTTGTCGAGGCAGGCATGGATACTCCCTCCGCACTTGAGGAACAGATGGATGTCTCGACAAATGTTCCTGATTATCATAGCCGCGACACACTGTTCCGCGGGACATATGGCCAGGTCATGGTCGCTCTGAAAGCAGCAGGCCTTGTTGCAACGCCATGTATGGAGGGCGATTTTGCAGGTGGTGCGTAATCACCCAGATTATCATTTATCTTCCGTCTCATTCATCATTAGCTACGCGTTTGGGCGCGCTCTTTGTCGCACATAGATCCTCAGAGGAGAGGAATGTGCAGCTAAGAAAGCTGACACTTTGGGGCTAAGTGCCGGTCAGATAGGCATTCAGTCCCTAAACATGCGCTATTTATGCCCCTCCGACAATGTTAAATCTACTATCGAGGACTATCTTTATGTTTGGTTGACATTCATGGCAAGGCAGGGCCCCTGACAGAAATTCCACACCGACGATTTCGAGTTCGTTCGTTCAAATTTGGATTGTCCGTCTATCGCAGATACATTTATTTATACCCCAAGGGGCGCTCATACTCCGAGCTCGGAAGCGAAAGTTATTGTCCCCTCTATTATCGACATCACTACAGGAGCCACGTCTTCTGCTTCCAATTTTCGTGTGCCTCTAATCATCCTCGGAGCGGGGGTGACCGGACTCACCAACGCCCACCTTGCTGCTTGTGACCACGATCATGGCGAGAGATCTGCCTAGGGATTGGGGTTCTCAAGCCTGGGCAAGTCTTGTGTCTCTTTTGAGCACTCCTGAAGTACTTTCTTATATTAATCTTGTCTAGGGTACGAATTGGTCTCCAATATCGTTGGGTGCCACAGACAAGCGCTTGTGAAGATAGGAGCAAACAACCTTGTGAGAAGCACGTCGTGAATATTGCGAGGTATATGGAAAAATCTTTTCAGTGATAGGTTTTGAGAAATGATACCGTCGGGTCTAGTCAAAGTCGGTCTTGATCGAACGCTTCTCGACTGGCATATGACTGATCCTGACTCCTTAGGGGGTTCGGAAGTTACCTTCTCGGATGTTTGCGGAGACTCGGATGACGTTCTCTCTACCCTTTGGTAGAAAGACCTTTTGCGCGATTAGTACGTCTTTTTTCTTGCCGTTCTTTAGACATATAGTTCAGCTTACTCTCAGATTTTCAAATCCCTGCACCATACAAAGTTGGAATTGCTTATGATGCCGTTTGCGTCAACCCATTGGAGTATCTACCATGGCTTCGCTCGAAGCTCAAGTCTTCTGTCGCCAATAAGCAAAGAGTTCAGAAAACCGGGTTGTTGGTTAATGCAACGTCCCTCGGTGAGCACACACCAGGTGTCCTTCTATAGTCATTGATAGCCGGATTCAAAGGTCCACGGTCGTTGATCGGTGTAGAAGATACAGCCCCTCTTCTCAATAGGGAACAATGTACTATAGTCGAATTTCAGAAATGACCTCGGTAGAGCCTCGTAGAGCATGGTCTGGTCAGTCATATCAACGGTTGTACCGTCGCTATCATATCCTGACATGCAGTTGTGCGTAGGTGCCAGGATGTCGGAACATGTGACATGTATCACTTGCCCTGGAATGATCGAAGTGAACGCTGCACTTCTAAATAATGGAACCTATCAAATAGGAAAGTGGGACATCCCCTTGGGTATGTCGGTTGCAATGTGGATATTTGAGCGGTGCTCCGTCTAGCTCCGCGCTGAAGCCATATTCGAAAAAAGGACAAAATTCCTGAGGCACACTGTCGGCCTTAGGCCTGACAGAGAGGGCAGTCCACTTGCGGCAGTTGAACGGATCTTGCTTCCCCTTAGATGAAACAATGACTTGGCTCCATACGTGGACGAGAATGCAGAAGAAGAGCAGGATACCGGTAACTCATGCATATGGAGTGGGGTGAGATAATTATCCAAGATTCGTACGAGTTCTAATTTTTAGTTCCAGAGCCGCATGCTACCAAACATCCCGGGGTGTATTTATCGAAGAGCTATCTTTACTGAAGGAGAACATGCAGGGCCCAGGCAGGCTGCTAATCATAGATATAACCTAATTCGTTATTAGTACAATTCTTCTACTACGTTTTCACCTGGGCTGTCACGTCAACAAGGTAGTACATGGGTTGTTTACTAGAGTCATCTAGCTACTAGGTTACTGTTACTCTTCATGAATCCCTCAGCTTCAACCTGAGCCGTGCCTGCTCTGTATCATAAGATCACTGGTGAGGATGTGCCAGAGACCATGCGAAACGCATGTTTCCCATGCCACATGCCACACCATTTGAGCTATTAGTATCTTAAGGATATCGAGCTAAAACTTTGTTCGATACTGTGATTTCCATCGGTTTCCATCATGTTGACCCATCGGATTACTATCTATTCCCGGTGGAGCACCGACTCCCAATGTTAGTGGAGGAGGGCTCTTGTCGAACTTCCACGATCGGTTTCCCACCTCCTAAAACCCCTGCCGGCTACATGTCAGTTACAACAATTTGACATCTTATTTGTTAGCTCTAAGGCTTGTCAAGTCGCCATTCAGCACTCAGTTCTCCGAGTCGCTGAGCCCTTTTTCCGTTAGGATGTCGCAGATGTGTGCAAGAATCCAACCAATACATGATTCTGATACACATGGTGCACCATTGTTGATTGCACATTTGATCTAATACTACTAACACGTCCTTCGAATATATTCCGAATCATCGCGCTGGCCAAACGAAAACACTCAATTTGACTGCCATCCGTGACAATAAGTAGCACTCATCGGCTTATCGTCTGTGGCTTGTCTAGTCGCTGACAGATCGACGTACCATGTCTGACTCACGATTTGCGCGGTTGAAGCTTGAAGACTGACCCCCGTTTGCGATGCCCCAAGAAACACAATTCAAAAGTTGTAGTTGACGAGCGTTTCAAAGGAATTTTTGACGAAGGCAAGGCAGGAAAAAAGACATTGAAACAAAAAGGCAGAGGAAAGGAAAAACTAGGTGCGCTTCCAACTCTATCGTCTAGTGACTGCTTCTCATCTCATATTGTGGCTACAGGCCGAGTGGATAAATTTTGTCGTAAATTTTATGAAACTCGTGAAAAAGACAACCTTAGGTGGTTTTATCGGCTGGAATACGAGGATGATGAGGAGGTAGAGGCTCCAACTTCCACGTTACCTGACTATGCTCGTGGTGGCGTCCTCATGGAGTCCTCCTCCGAATCAGAGGCAGAAAATCACGGTGCAAGCGACTCTGACGACAAGAGCGATGGCCCTGGATTTGTCACATTAGGCAGAGACATTGATGAAGAAGGCGAGATCGATCTTGATGAGAGCACATTTGCCGATCTAGATGCACAAGCCGCTACATATGCGAGGACAGTCCCGGAGGACAACAGTAAAGAAGCTACGGAGAAGACCAGAAGACTAGCTGTTGTTCATCTTGATTGGGACCATGTCCGTGCAGCATATCTTTACAAAATATTTTCGTCACTTGTTTCGCCAGCTGCGCCTACTACCATTCCAGCTTCTGTACTAGTGCCACCCAAGGATGAAAAGTCTTTCAAGAACACGAAAAGTGCAAAGGCGACGGTCGTAAGAGGGAAGGGGCTGAGCGTCCGCGTCTATCCAAGTGAGTTTGGGAAAGAGCGCATCGCAAGGGAGGAAAAGGAGGGACCGCCTGTAGAGGTATTCAAAAGGAAAGTAGAAAACGAAGAGGATGTCAATGAACGGGCCATCCACGAAACCGGAGACGGAGCGGACTACGACGAAGACGCTTTGAGAAAGTATCGATTGGAGAGATTACGGTGTGCTACCTCCTTAAATATTTTTGGCGCAGTGTTCAACGAAATGCTCAATTAAAGGTATTACTACGCAATTGTTGAATGTGATACCGCCGGAGCTTCTGTGCACATCTACAACGAACTCGAAGGTACTGGGCTTGAGCGTTCAGCAAACGTGTTCGATCTCAGCTTTGTGCCCGATGAGATGGCATCTGATGAAGAATATCGGTGAGTCCGGTTTAACATTATTTTTGGACATTCATCTACCCATAGATGATCCTGGAACATGGTATCGAGCAGTAGAGTTCGTAGGCGAATTTTATTGTTATTCTTCATTTCTCACCCATTTCAATTGCACTCTCAGGCTCTCCGTCATTCAAAAGTCAAACTCGCTTGGGACGATGATGATCCGGAGTGCAATCACATTACTAGACGATCATTAACCAAAAAATATATCGAAGAAGCCGACTTCAAGGCGTATATTGCATCATCACCTGAGTCTGATAATGATCAAGATCCTGTGTCGAAGAAGAGGAGCAAGAAGAACTCCCAGAGAGACAAGCTTCGCACATTACTTCTTACCGGAGACGATGATGAACTTCCAGAAGGGTGGGGCCGGGATGACGACGCACGAAACCATGACGATGTGGACATGGAGATTACGTTCACCCCTAGTCTCACTGAGGCTAAAAATCCCGAAGACGAGACGACAGTGGAGGCATATCAAAGAACGATGAGGAAGAAGCGCAAAAAGAAAAAAGAAGAGGTCAAAGTGAAAGCCACGACAGTCACGAATAATGAAAGTCGAGGGCAGCTTGGGAAGAATGTCTCTTTCGATGACGACTTCTTCGGGGGCGTAAGGGTGAATCTGAGACGGAGAATGCGTCGGAATCAGTGAAGCGGTTATCAAGAACACGGGATGTCGACAAGCCAGTGCCACGCCAGGAGACGAAGTCAGACGTCAAAGCAGAGAAGAAGGGTAAGGAGAAAAGAGGCAAAAAGAAACTGGTCGATGATGATGATGAAGTCCAGGACAACTTCATTATCGACGTTAAAGATGACCGGTTCAAGACGATCCACGAGGACCATCACGTGAGTCACACAAAAGGAGCGTAGCTAAAAGTCGTGATGCAATCTTCATGCTAGACTTTGGCTTCGCACCTGTAATTTTGTTCTCACCCAACCTGATTCGCGCTCTTCACTCCAGGCGAAGGTCCCGGCGGTCGACTTCTCTGGATCCCACTTATTTTCCCATTCACGCACACTACAAGCAACACGGCGACAGTATAATTTATGCAGATCTATGCATATTCTACTCAGCGCACTTCCTACGGCTTCCTGACGATAAATGGAAGTCTCGAGCGCATGAAGCAGCGTGAATCAGTGCTCGCTACTTTACTTCCCCGCGTTTCATAACGTCTTTCGTGAATGTTAGATCCCGATTCTGCCTTTTCATAAAGCTCTCAGCCGTGCACCACTAGTACTGCTGAAGTGACAAACCATTAATATTAATCCGCCAGTTCAAGCTTGCACAGATCTCCCCCAACTTTCCCTTCTCTGAAGAACTCCTTCCCCCGGTTCTCATCCCGCCGTTTTTCGTCCATCAGAGCAGCAGCCCCTCGCACGGGAGAAAGCTGAGAAGCACGCAGCAAGCGCGGGCGCAATGCAGGACTCGGCGCTGATAACATCATATGGTCGTTTCAGTGTGGGAGCAGACGGTGCGTACCAAGCGGTTTCGAATAGTCAGCAGATGAAACTACCCAAGTTTTAAAGACGGGGTCTCATGATAATGGTCCAGGGCGGTTCTTGTGTCGAGTTAGGTGCTATTGCTTGTGCTTACACTCGTCTAGGGTTATTGCCTTGGTTGAACACGCTGGTGTTTTGCGTTTTTTTGGACCGGCCCTGTGAGTAGTCAAACCAAACACGCGTTCCAAGATGCAAGATATATGAGTACGAAATACATGCATGCCAGCGCCATCATAGGCTTCTAAGTAGATACAAAGCTAGCAGGATGAGATACAGGCCAATCCCGATTGTTTATATACACATGTACTCACAAAATTGATGCAAATCCAATGGTCGCCTGTGGAGTCATAAATCGAACTGTCCAAAACATCCATAGTCACCACCATTTAATCATTAACCATCTCTCCCGGGCTCGTGAAATTATCCAAATCCCTCTTCTCCACCAAGTTCTACCACATCCCAGCCATCTTCCTCCTCTACAATACGTTCACTCCTCATTCTGCTGATGCCAGCTTCTTGCGCTGAACGTCCCGGCCGTATTCGTGCTGCCCGAGCAGGACTAGCAGCAGTGGCTTGGAGGACCTGGGCAAAGTCAAGCGTGAACGAGGGAGGGGTTGGGGGTAAGAGGAGCGGGGTGGTAGAGTGCGACCGACTGTAATGGGAGATCAACATAAGAACGTACATTTCGGATGACAAAATGAATACAGGAATAAAGCGCCGAAGACTCACCGCCCAAGCTCTCCACTGCAACATACAGCCCACAAATTACTCAATGCATCGCCCGCCTGGGACAAAGGAATCTCGACACCTTGGCTATGAGCAAGATAACACACGTTGTAGAGAAGCATTGCAAGGCCGGTCGTGAACGATTGGTTTTGGCCGTGTGCTGGTGCTTGTTCTGGAGCTTCTGAGTCAGCTAGTGAGGCAGGTGGTGTACGGGATGGAGAGGAGGAGGGAGAAGACGGAGTAGAGGAAGGATTCGAGGTGAGGTGCAAAGGGTGTTTGGCTGTCCATCTGTCCGTGGGAGGAGATGATGATTGGTAAAAAAAAACTGAAGCCGAAAATACAGTAAGTGAAAACAGTAGACGCACTTTGCCCAGGATTCACTCCCTCGTCCTGCTCCAATCCAAGGTATACCGACACCGAATCTTCTGCAAGACCACGAAACTTCAAAAGGGAGTTTGATGCCTAGGTAGAAAGTAAGAAGTCCTAAAAAGTGAATGGTATGTGTTATCACAGCGTTGATATGATCCGGTGGGTATCCTATGATACGCCTTGTGTGATCAGATTCTTGGCGTAGTAAGCAATTGCAACATACGTCTAACATCCCCTGGTACTGGAAGAACTAGTCCGCCAACAGTCCACTCTCCCCTCGCGCCTGGCCGGCCGCCTACCGCAGGTCGTCCGCCAACTTCGACAATGTGAAATACCTCCACTAGCTCCTGGACAAGGCCTGAGCGTGCTCTAGCAATAGTTTGACTCAGCACAGAGAGCTCCTGAGATTCCTTGGTAAGCATTTGTGATTGGGGTGGAAGGAGACGTGCAGCGTTAAGTGTGCGTCTGCGCTGAGCAAGGGTCTCTCGGAGGGTACGGAGGCGATCGCGCTCTAGATCACTTAGAACAGTGCACGTGAGCAAGGGTAAGACACGTACTGCTCTCGCAGTCTCTTCTCACTTTGGCAAGGCTATCTGCTAAGTGGTCGAGGTTGTGGTCCACTCGTGCAATCTCTGCACGAAGGAGGCGACCAGATTCAATAGACTTGAATGCCCGGGACGCACGAGTAACATGGTCATTTCTGTCCGAGGAAAAATGGTGAATTTGATGGCGGAAATCGCGTAGACTGTGTGTCAGGCAAGGTCAGCACGGGTTGCGTTTCATGACAGGTGTTTTGCGTACTGGTTTCTCAGACAGTTTGCGCAATAGTACTGACGTTGTCTCAGCTCGCAGTTCTTACACTCCATCGCATCTTCAGAAGCTTCAAGAAGGGCACTGTAAAAGTGTTTACATGCCACAGTGCTGGATGACGTAAGACACCAACGGCATGTTGCGGTAAACGGTGCTGAGATGAACCTCCAAAGAACTGTCCGTTGAGCAATGCTAGTGAATGAATAGACCCATCCTCATCCAGAATAACCTTTGGTATTATTCCTTGTCCGATCCGATCTAACTCCCCAAAATCAAAAGCATTTCCCTCGAGCACTTTAACTCTGTCAATGCTCTAAACTTCTTCAGTCTTTCTCAACTCTTCAAGAGCCACAAATTCAGCGACAACTCGTCGCCGAGCGAGACACTCTCCGGACCAGCAGTTTTGGCATCTGCATTACGAGGCTCGGTCAAGAGCAAAAGTACCCAACCCAAAGGATGCTTCATGATCCTATGCAGCAATGCCAAGTTGCCAACCTCTTCACGAATGTGCTTGTGAGCATGTCGACGGCGGGTGGACTTCCAAGCCCCTACAGCTTTTATGGCGCTGTGGTGTCGAAGGTTTGCACGAAATTTTCAAATGTGTCGACTGAGGGATTCATAGGAGAGTTCACAATAGCTTGCTTCTGCTTTTGCTGACAATGGTTAGCAGATGCGTTATGTAAACAGTTGACTCTCCGTTCGCATTAACCATACTAATACACACGAGATCAGAGAATGTGCGCTCTAATCGAAACGGAAGACCGCTTATCAGGAGTTTGAGACCGAGAAAGAATTTGGACGGTCTGGTGACTCTAGTTGTGCCTGGTGAATTTGTCATCGTTGTTGTGTCAGATGCTAATCAGCCACGGGCCCTACTACAGACCCCTACTATCAGCGATGTCTACCACGAAAGCAAAGCAATCTCTCGTCGTCCTTGGAGCAGGTGTGCTTGGCCTAACGATTGCGTACCTCGCTGCCCTGGACGACGATGTCTCTTTTAATATCAGGGTCATTGCTAGAGAACTGCCCGAAGACATGGATTCTCAAGGTTGGGCTAGTCCATACGCTGTGAGTTTTGTTCATAATATTATAAGTCTGACAACTTCTGAAGGACAATCAGGGCGCTAATTGGTCTCCCATGGAACTTGGAGGCAAGGATGAACGAATCAGGAAGTGGGAGGAGAAAACTTTGTATGTGTGATCTTTGACTGGGAAATGCATGCCAGCTGATCCTGCAACAACCAAGTAACAAGTTATGGGACATGATCCCAACAGGGTTGGTTAAGGTTAGTCTTAACCCCTCCAGTCGTCCTCGATCGCGAGTAAGGAGCAACCCAGCTATTACCCACGAGGCTTTATACCGCGCAAAGGGAAAATATTTCAGATTTGTGGTGGAAAGACCTTGTGCAAAATGTATGTAGTTTTTTTCATGACTGCGGACACTGGGACAAACGTGGGGGCAGATCAGGATACTTTCCCCCTCTGACGTCCCTGAGCCATTCAAAGCTGGAGTCGCATTCGACACAGTTTCAGTCAATCCAGCCGAATATCTTCCATGGCTCCAATCCGAACTGATCTCCTGCGGAGTCACGTTTGAACGCAGAAATGTGAGGAGTTTGGACGAGTTGAGGAGCCTGGTGGGGCCCGATGGCATTCTGGTAAATGCGTCTTCGCTTGGTAAGGGGTTTCTTGCGGAAGTAGCTCTCGTAACATCAGCCCAAAGGTTCGAAATCCATTATTGGAGTGGAAGACACAAAACTATACCCCATTCGCGGACAAACGATCTTGGTACATGCACCAGGTCTGCAGGAGTGTTTGCTTGTCAGGTCAGGTGCGTATCCGGAATGAGCAGTGGTAACCAGTCCCTCATCAAAGCCCTGCGATCTAGAGACCGAGGAATCTACGTACATCATTCCCCGTCCTGGAAAAGGTCAACCTGACACTGCGATCCTCGGTGGGACATTCCAGTCCAGGAATTGGGACACCTCTTTAGATATGCAGATCGCGAGAGGAATATTTGATCGCTGCGCCGTATTGGCCCCTTGTTTAAAGAGTGCCGACTCGAGAATCCTGAAACATAATGTTGGTTTAAGACCTGGAAGAGAAGAAGGGCCACGAGTCGAGCTAGAGCGAATCGCGTTGCCCTTGCAAAGCACGCATGACCTTATTCCGTGGAATGGGAATCCCACAAGTGACCGTGACTGTGAACAATCCATGCTCGTTGCACATGCTTATGGTTTTGGGTAAGCCTTGCCCTAGAAAGTTTGAATACGATTGCCTAACACACCTTCACAAGACCGGCAGGTTTCCAGAGGTCCTGGGGTGCTGCAGAAGAAGTGCTGGGATTGGTGAAGGCCCAAGTTGTTTTAAACCATAATATCTAGATTTCCGCCACTTTGGTAGTGGGTCTTGTAGTGCCAAATTTTCGCGCCTTCGCTAACATTTGTTTTGCAAATATACTTTCCTATTGACGCTCCTTCATGTTTCTATTGGCCATTTAATCAGATTGCTGTTGATGTGCGCTCTGACTAGGGTTTGCAGCTCTGGACTTTCCTCCGAGGAACCCGTTGTCTTTCCGTTGGCACTACGGATGTCGAACATTGAATTGTCAAAGGTCGTACGTTCTCCATAAGGTTTATGAACTTAGTGCAGGTGCTTTCGGGTTTGACATCCACTTTCCAAATAACTAACCACAGATGAGTACTGAATTGAAAGGTGGGCTTTGCCACATACGAGTCTTGCGATGGCTTCGTCAGAAACTTAACTCAAAGTGAAAGTATTATGGTGGCAAAACGTGAAAATGTTGACTACAAATTGCTGCTGGCAAAGTAGTTTATAGGCTCGTCGCTATAAGGCAGAACTATACGGGGCCGTTATACACATTCAAAAAGGAACAACTGTCTTCCTTCCATATAGTCTGACTAAGGGAATTATACGTGCCTGTATCTGTACCGTTGGCAAATTCAGACTTCAAAAGCTTCGACTTACTACGGTGTGATATGGGTGTCTGGCTCTTCGTACGTACGGCGGCGGGTTGAAATGGAAAACCGTGTTTTGTAAGACTTCCGCCAATAGGATAATAGAACTGGAGCCTCTTGGCTATCTGTTGGCACATATGAGCACAATCCCATATGCTGTTTGATGTGGCGTAAGCTTTGCCACACATTCTTGCAGTGGCCCTAGGGGAGTTCTGCCCAGAGCAAGTACTATTCTCAGGACGTAAAAAGCAAGCAGCGATCCTTTTAGATTGTATATTTGAGATTACATCGCACAAGGAACATGTCTCCTTCAACTGGCAGATCCTCGCCGTTATTGCTGTTTCATCTACGTCCTGTCAGTGTAAATAAATCCCATCCAAATGTACCACATATGCACTGGCTATGAATGTGTTCCAACGTACATCCCTGACAGTGTGAATACAAGCTGGTTTTGTTTGCGTCCAGGATTGACTCCTGACCAGTTTGGCCCTAGTAGGAATAAGTGTGGTTAAATCTTTGTGCCAAATTCCGGAGTTTGGAGACTAGCTAGCGAGTCGTACCTGCTTTCGCATCGATGGTACGATGCATTATTGGTTCCTAACTTCATAACACCGCTTGGACGAGGGAGACTTGCATAATGGACGAACAATTCAAACTGAAGTACTTACGACGTGTATTTTGGTGAGTTAGCTTGGACATCCAAAGCCTCCGTGGGTCGGACGTGACCCGACACAATGTAAGCCAGCCAAGGTTAGCCACAGGCATTACTGTTGAATTAGAGCGGCTGCTTGCTTTGTCGCTTGTTCAAGTGTTACTCGCTGAATCCACAAGGCATGGAATCGTCTATTGGTCCGTGACACCTTCCGGTGTCGATCTCGTTTAGCAATAGTAGTGGCCTGCCTCATTCCATTCGGTCGACATTGGTTTCTGCTCGGTTGTTCGCAACTACGTCTGCACCTTCTCGATGAAAGTTCAGAGTAGGTAGCATGTGGCGCTTTGAGATTTTCATCCTGACCACCTTGGACGGACAATGATACGAGGAGTGTCAATTGTATAATAGTAAACAGGTTCGTCGTCCATCAGCGGTAGTCTCCCCTGGCTAGCTCTATCGAAAGAATATAGTCATTCCTTCGTATCAAGATCAGGCAATTTGAAATAGCATTTGTCGTGGAAAGAAAGTAGAAAGTGATACATACTCACGCAGATTTGCGAATTGTGAACAGCACAGACTCGCACACAATGTGCACCACAAGACCATGTCAATAGCCTAGACGTTGCCCCGAGGACCACAACAAAATAAGTCGGACATACTTATGTACACAGTCAGAACTTAGTCAGAACAGAGCCTCCGACTCAGACTGAAAGAAACGCGATCACGTGACACGACGCGTCGGTTTGTTGAACTGTATTTGGTTTCTGTGCTGCCAGTGCTGGCATTCTTTCCGTGGTCCTGCCACTAGAGTACTTTCGTAGTGTTCGACAACAACAGTCATGTCCCTCAAGGACATCGGAAAGTACGATGTGTCTGAAGAAGCGCAAGCTCTCAAAGATAAATTAGCAAGCCAAGGTACACTTTTAGCGCGTAATCTAACAATCTTTCCTGACTTGCTGCTCAGACACCGAGAATGCAGGCCTGCGAAGCCACCTAATGAAGAGAGAGGCCGAACTAGAGGAGATAAAGACGTCATTAAATGAAACATTGTACAAGGTCATTTGATTTCTGTCTACTTGATTATCCACGTCCACTTACTTCGTAGCTCAACAGCTCAGCGCCGAGGCCGACCGTGCTCTTAGGCTTGAAAGCGATCTGGCGCGGCGCTCAGACGAACTCAAGATCGAGAAAGTGGCATCTAGGAATGGAGAAGCTGCACTTCTTGCTGCGCAGGACAGACTGAAAGCTGAGGAACGAACAGCACGGGAGCTCGAGGCAACGCTTGACACCATGTCTTGCCAATCGGAGTCAATCAGAGCTCAGACTTTTAAACTGGAGATAGAGAAGCGAAATATGGAGTCTCGTGTGCGTGAGCTGGAGAGGATGCTGGAAAATACAAAACCCCAGCCGACGGCTACTTCTCGATTGCCGCAGCGGGGTGGAAGGCCTCGGTCTTCCTCTGTGTCTAGTTTCAGATCACCAGCATTGGAACAAGAACTTAACGATACAAAGATTCTCCTGGCGGATAAAGAGAAGGTTTTGCGCGACATGGAAACGAAACTCGCTCGAGCCCGGGAAGATCTTGTCAAGACACAAAATACGCAGTTTTCAGCTGAGAAGATTATGCAGGCCCGTATCGCAGAGCTCAGATCAGTGATAGAGGACAAGGATGAGGAGCTGGAGGTACTGAAATCTAGTCAGGGCCCGGGGAACGCAATGGAGAGGGAGGAAGAGTTGTTGAAGAGGATCGACGAAGATGAAGTGAAGATAGAAACATTGGAGAGTCTGCTGCGCGAGCAGCAGAGTGGACCCACGCAGGCGGCGTACGATAAGCTGCAAAGAAAGCTACGTGCTGAGTCGGAGAAGCTTACCTGCTCAGAGAAGAGAGTGCGAGACCTCATGGAGGAGAAAAAGGAAGCACAAGACGCATGCGCTAATTTACATCAGGAGCTAGACAGAGCGAATCGGCTGCTCCATGACAGCGAGAAGCGTGTTAGAGCTCTGATGGTCACTGAGAGGTATGCAATACTTGGTCACTAGCCCGATGAATTGCTGAAATTGAACTAGTGGATTACAACAAGAGCTTATGGATCTCCGGTGCGATAAGGAGTCGACGGCCACCGATCAGGATCATATGGATATTGATGTTGAGGACATCCGATCCAACTTCGACAGCAGCTTCTTATACCCAAATTGCTCTACTCCGCTGCCACCGATCAATACCAACGGATCTGCTCACCCCGATGAAGCAACGCTCGCCAACTACATTGAAACTTTGCTCAGGGCTGTAGACAGAATACGAAGCGAGCGAGATGACCTACGACGTGCCCTCGAATTCTCCGAGACCGAGGCTCAAATCACAGTCCAAACTTTGGAGAAGCGCATTCACACGCTTACCCAGGAGGCGGACGAAGTCTCAGCCTACAATCAGCAAAGCAAGCGTCTTGTTCTTTTCGTTACAGCCCTGGGCGTCGTCGTGGATCACCTACGCAGTCGTTTGCATGCTGCCGAGCAAAACCAAGTCCTTGACCACTCCCAATTAGTCGCAGAACGAGATGCCACTTTACGAGACCTTCAAAACAAGTTCGAGGTCTCGTGCCAGCAGTTGACTGCATCAGCAGAGTCGCATAGTCACCTGCTCCTACTGGTCACAGAGCTGGAAGTCAAAGTCCAATCTTTGACTGTCGAAGTACAGGCAGCGGAGTCATCTCACGAGGACACCCGCAATGGGCTCCAGCAAACAGAGGAACGACTAGCTGAGCTTACAAGAGCGTACCAAAACATTGAATCGGAACGTAATTCACTCAGCCTCCAAGTCACGAATCTCCAAACAGACTTAGAGGTTGCACAGGAAGAATTAACAGACGCTCATAACCGCTATAGCACTCTGCAAGCGCAACAATTATCTACCATGTCGGCAACTGGGGTAGCTCACGCGCTTCGTGAGCAGATACAGGAACTTGAAGGTCGTGTCAACCGTCGCACGGAACAGATCGGCGTCCACCAACATGACATTCGCCGCCTGGAGACCAACCTCAAACTCCAGGAGGAACGGATCTCCGAGATGATGTCGGAGCTGGAGATGATGTCGGCCCAAAAGGAGGCGATGGTCGAAGACTGTGCGGAGGCTAGAGATGCTCGCGACCAAGCTGTCACCAGCCTTGAGGCAGCAGAGCTCGAGGTGGAAAAGTTGCAGGAGGAGAACGTCAGTCTCAAAGCCACCCACAGTGATGAGCTATCGTCTATGGTAGCCATAGTCGCTCAAGCGACGTCGAATGCTCGCCGCGCCCAACTCATGGTCGACCAGCACCTCGCCGAAGAACCGCAGATGTTGTCCAAGATAGCTGTTCTTACGGCCCAGAACTTGGAGTTCTCTGAAGATATAAGAGTGCTTGCTGGCGAGAAAGAAGTGCTTATCCAAAACTTGACGGAGAGCGTCGCATCACTGAGTTGTCTTGAAGCTCTCCGGTCACAAGAACGTACCGAAATGGATCAGCTAGTGGTCTCGCTTGCGACTGTACGCGAGGCATTGAGCAGCAGTGACTGCAGCTTGGAGAAGTCTCGTCAAAATGTCGCGGCGTTGCAAGCCCAACTTACATCTTGCCGCTGTGCACTCGAAGACAAGGTGGCCACTTTAGAACTTCGCGATGCAAGGTTAGCTATACTTGAGCAAAATCTTGCCGAAATATCCAATGAGTCAGCCGCTGCTTCGACTCGTCGCATTTCAGAATATCAAGGACAGCTGCAGTCATTGCAGGACGAACTCGACGAGCTTCGCACCCGCTATCAGATCACCTGCGAATCCTTGTCTAGAGCTCAGGACGACCTTCAGGAACGCATCCAGGAACCTCAAGCTAGCGAGAGTAACGCTGAGTTACAGGATCTGCATGCTCGTTATGCTGTCGAAGTCAGAGACTTGCGAGAGCGCCTCGAGCACACGAGCCAAGAGCTTTCACAGGCTACGCAGCTTTTGCAAAGTGCCGACCTTCGCTTTGCAGAAGTGCAGGAACGCAATCGAGAGCTGAACGATCAGATCGCAGCTCTCACGGACGATAATCAGAGAAGAACCGTGACGGAGGAGTCTCTACGTGTCAGACATGTTGAAGAACTTGATATCCTACAAAAGACGCTATCTAACACCCAGAACGAACTCGCTGTTGCCAAAGAGGAATGCCAGCGTCTTGCGAACCTCGTGGAACAGTCAACCAACGAACTTGAACTAGCAAGGCAAGCCCACATGGATGCTCTGCGAGAAGCAGAACAACAAGTTCGCGAATTGCAGGACGATCAGGAGCAGAAAGACGCTGCTCTCAAAGCCAATGAAACAGATCTTCAAGACTTGCGTATCAGCCTTGACGAACGATCCCGGGAGCAGGATTTGTTGCACACACAGTTGCAGAATGAAGTTGCCTGTCGCAAGCAAGATCAAGCAGCTTTCAATGACCAGCTCTCTTCACATGCAGATCATCAAGTCAAATTTGATGCCCTCAAAGCGGAACTTCAACAGGTCAATGAAGCCACGCGCTGGCGACTGGAGCAGGCTGAAGCTGAGTTATCAAGTCTCCAGGCAGAGAAACAATCGCTGCAAGTGGAGACCACCAGCTTGGAAGCAGAGATTCAGCGCTCGATGTCGTTAACGAGATTTCTGGAGCAACAAGTACGGGAGAGGTAAGTAAGCTCGCCCTCTTCACAGGCACAATCTTGACGAACAATGAGCAGCGAAATAACCAATTCCTCCCTCAAGGAGACCCTCGAACAGATACAGCTCCGACTCGCTCAGTCTGAAAAGGCGGGCAAAACGGCCGAGCTTAGCCTTGCACTTCAAACAACACAACATGAGAAGGCGATGTCATCCCTCCGATGGGAATTGGACGCAGTCCGTTCGGAACCTAAACTTCGTGACGTCGTCGCTGAATTGAAGGAGAAAAATCGCGAAATGGATCAGCTATTGCAAAGCAAGTGTTCTGAAATTGAAGATTATGACGATCGGATATTGGAGTAAGCGAATTCACTTGCGATTCCCTCACCTAGACTAACATTATGACAGAGCTTTGAAAGCGAACAAGAAATTGTCTACGAAAGTGGAGGCTTTGACACGCAAGGTACAGAACCTTCAAAGCAAACTTGCTTCTACCAAAGAATCTGCACAAACCCCACCGGTCAACCTTGCTGCACCGTCTGTGCAAACAGGGCCGCCCATTGTCCCTCCTGTGCCCCGGGTGTCTATATTCACAGATACTAAACCAATCCTGGGTCGAGATCGAACAATGTCGAATACCTCAGCAGCATCCCGATCACAGACACCAGAGAGGAAACCCATGCAGCCAAGTATGATGCAAACCGGAATCCCTGAAGAGGAGGTACCGACATCTGCTGGAAAGAAGAGACGCGCACCAGATTGTGATGACAGGGAAACCGTTCCACCCGAGGGCCGCTATACAAGCGACTCGGACATGCAGGCGGCCACTACGCCACGTCTCCGGAAAACGTTGCACTCGAGCCGATCCGGATTTACGCCAGTACGCTCTGCCAGAAACATAGCTAGCCTGCCTTCACCAGGAAAACGAGTCACAACTACTATCTCAGACGTTACGAACAGTCCTCGGTCCACATCCGACCCTCAAACCTCTAGAAATTCGTCTAAACGGACCTGGTTAGGGAAGATCAGAGGCGGAGTGCCTCAATCCAATAACCCAGGTGGCAGAGTTGTATCCTCGCGAGCGAACGTGTTTGAGAAGATGCCAAATGTTCCGAGATCGTCATGATGGACTCTGTTTCTTAGCGTTGTAGCATCTACCTTTACCTACTTTTGTATTTCTAGTCAGTCAGTCAGCATCCATACACTCCGTCGTCGAAAGCGTGGTCACAAGCGCTTTAGCTAAGGGCTATTATGTAGAAGGAGAATTATTCGATCCAAGTTCCTCTCACACCGACAGCGTGAGGAACTTGAATCGGCGGAAACTTGAACCGTTTAATACTTTGTTTCTGGCCATCACCGCAGCACCTAGTTCGCCTGCCGCTGGCTAATCTTAGAGCAGGTTGATTGTGATAATTCATGATAACAGGACAGGGCTAACTTGAAAGCGTCCCGACGCCGAGGAAGACACCCCGGCAGTCCGAGATGTTCGGAGAGAGACACGTTCTTGCAGATCTTTCGACTGATCAAAGAGACCCCGACGATTGGGATATTGGCAGGCTGCGAACCGTTGACTATTTATTGGACACAAGGGTGCTGACTTACGAGCCCACATTGAGCCTTTTGGCTGTCGGTGAGATCTCTCAACTTGAGTCGTCTTTGAACTGTGACTCAGGCACTACTCTCTTTTTGCTTCCAGGCACAGCAAGCGGTCTGATTTGCGTGGTAGGCGGTCCTGGTGTAGAGAGTTCAGTACAGACGCCAGAAGGTTCTTCGGTCAAGATTTTGCAGTTTGCCGCCTCCACGGACAAACTCCTCTCTGTCGGTAAGCTGTACTACGCCAGTACGTCAACCTCTCTTAATTGCTGAAACTTCATACCACTAGATGAGTGCGATCGACTTCATATCTGGAACTTGAAAGATTTGAACGAACCGCCGAAGTCAACGAGATTCGACCATGCTATCAAGTGCGCAAGTAATCAATTGCTGTAATAACGACGTCTGCTGACCCACAGCATCTGAACACAAGTGCTGTCATGTTATCACCTTCGCATACCCATGTGGGTACTGAAACTCAAGAGTTTCTTAGACATTTCTAAGATCGCCCTTTCCAGGTCTTTCTTGCCCTGCAATCGGGAGAGATCAGAACATACGATCTTCTGTGTTTGAAGAAGTCACCCTATGTCATCCCGAACTTGTGGAATATGTTTCAGACTAAGATCGCGAGCAGTGTGGTAGATCCCTTGCATGCATTGCCTGGTTGGTCCGTGCAACAACACTGGCATGTTGCTGTTGAGGCTTGCTTACATTGGGCCTTAGCAATATTCCTGTCGATTTAGTCGCACATCCACGAGACCTCAACTTAATATTTGTGGCCTTCGGCGGTCAGTGATTTCTACGATCAAATACAAGTCCCTGAAACAATCTTTAGGGGGAGTGGTACTGTACGACCTGGTGTGTATCTGAATTCATTGTCATTGTACCGTCGTGTCTGCCAAGAGTAACTGTTCATTCCCTTTTCAGTCTTCACGTAACATTCTACGGGCGTACGAACTTGTAATCCCTGCCGGTGCGCCAGGAGGGGGAGGATATAACCAAGCGGTGAGTCAGAGCTTTCCGACCACAGTGTATCGTAGACTCATACTCTCCAAGGAAGTGCTCACACATCGATGGCCTTCCGTTACTTCCGTAGCTATTCACCCAGCTGGGCATTTCTTCGCCGTGGGTTATGCAGATGGTTGTGTTGCCTTTTGGGCGGTGGAAGACGAAGATCAGCCTCTGATGGTGCGAACATCCACAGACTTGGACGTTAACGTCATAAACGGAGAGGAGCTTGAAAACTTCCTGCAAAACGGGGGTCCTTCAGAAGAAAAGGGGACTAATGTGTCAGAACGTCAGCCAATCTATAGGGTCGCTTGGTGTGGCTTCCCGAACTCCTCAGATCCCCGAGGAGGAGCAACTGCTCTCGTCATTTTGGGAGGCGACAGAAGTAACGACCCTTGCCGGTTAACTGTACACACAATGCCTGCTCTCAACTCTCCGGAACCTCCTGCTCCATCTAGTTCCAAAACTGGGCTCCACGCTTCTATCCGGAAGGCAATGCGACTTTCAGTGATTCCGTTAGAAATAACTTGTTATCTATCATCGGGTCCTATTTATGACTTCGTCCTCTTTCCAAAGTCTAATCCGCATTTTTCTGGTTGTTGGGATCCTGTTGCCGTACTTTTCCTCACTGGGGCCTCTGATTCACGGATGGTTGAGGCTCGACAGTTCCTGCCTCCGAAAATAATGTCTCCGCTGCCGAGAACAGACGTCCAGAATATCAGCGAACATGGCGATGTTATACATGACCTTTCCGCGACGCTCGAGGATATGACACTTAGTGGAGAAGAACCTCTACCAATGCACGTTCCTTCAAAATTGTACAGTGGGCTTGGTGGGGTATCTTATGTACAGCTCTTGACTCTACAACGAAGTATGCATGATGTACTTGTAGGACAACAGCTCGTGCCAGGTGATACGGATTTACCCATAGCTGGAGGGTCTGCATGGATAGACGATAAAAGACTCAGCGAGCTGAGGCTCTCCAGGGTACTGATTGATTGATTGCCCATAATTATTGATTGTTAACACTGCGCTTCAGAGCCATCCGCGCCGAATCCTTATCACCTGCCATCGCGACTTAACTATTCGTTTCTACGACGCCAGCCCTCAGCTTCTCATCAGCTCCAGCACATCTCCCCTTCAGAAGAATTACCCTTTCGCAATTCATGACCTCACTATAGATCTCAGCTGTCTACCACTGCCCAGTGCCCCAGAAGTTGCCACTGTTCAATTAGCCCCCGAATCCTTGGAGTGTGTCGTGCTACTGAAGTCAGGCGACCTGGTGATATATCAATTGAACACCACACAAGTCACCCCTCTTATCGAAATAGAGGGAAACAAAGAGTTTGTCCTGCTGGGTGATGTCACTTTACGACCAGGGACAAGGTATCATCCCTTCTTGATGCTGCCTCGCGGTAATATTTCCTTGACATGTTGCGCATTGTCGGACATAGGTATGTTCTCCTTCGGGCGCAGTGTTACATGAATTGCTTAACGTAAAATAGGTTTCGTTGGTGTTGGTTACATTGATGGTTCTGTCGCAGTGATCGATCTGCGTGGACCATCTCTCCTCAGACCGCAGCGTCAGAAAAGGCAGTCTAAGCTTCTGGTCCGCAATCAAGATGCAGATCCTGTTGTCTCTCTGACGTGGACCGTTTCTCCTGTCAGCATGGGTATGCACTGGTATATACGATAAAACTCTATCTGAACCCATGACTAGATGCACAGCTAGCTGTGCGGCTGATCGCCATCCATGAGTCTGGCAACACGCAGGTCTTCAAGATAATCCGGGATCCTGAGTCTTCGCTGTATGATTTTGCACAAGATGTCACCAGGATCGAGGGCCTCCCGAATGTCATGCAAGGCGGTTCTTTCGTGATCGATTCGCAGAAAGGTACTACTTGGCGTGCCGATCGATCACGTTTTGCCGCTTCTCTTCAGACTAGAGATAGCAATCCTGCACGTTGCCTCTGGGTGACAGCGAGTGCCAAGGGTGCTCGTTGTATGCTTGATATCTCAGGGGAGAGGATTTCCAAAGTAGAATGGAATAGCAAGAAAAACAAAGTTGGACACGTTCAAGTGATTGAGAAGAACAGTGAGCTCATTAGCTCGGAGCCTAACAATCAAACTAGTGCTAACAACAAACCCAGATTCTCACGTGTTTGTAGCATTCAATGACAAACCAGAAGCTATCGTTTACTCTTTACCTTATCTCGAGCACCTGCATACCTTCCCTCTTGCAAAAGTGTGCGAAAAGTACGTACTCCCAAATTGCACTTTGGCCGGGCTCTTGAGTGTTTATTTGCCAGTGTCGTGTCTGTGGATGAAACAGGAGATTTCATTGCCTCAAGGCATCACGAGTCAGGCGTACTTGAACAGATCGTATTCGGCACACTTTTCAAGACCCGTCGTGTTTATGATCAGCCGATCGTTGATGTGACAAGTTTCCACCGCGAAATCCCCCCTTACCCGCAGCCAGTGTCCGTTGGACCCCCTTCGTTGCTGGGCTCATGGTTCCGGTATGGGAAACCTATTATGACCGGAGAACAGCTCGATGCACTACGTACGTTAAGTCACTCGAACCCCTTCAATTGTTGATCTAGAGCATCGATATAGTTGCGGGCCCAGACAGACCTATACCGCCACCAGATCCTGTGCAAACACTACAGGACACGACCACCGATTATGGACCCGGTGTCACGAAGACGATGGAGAACGCTCGCAGTGGCGTCTATAATCGTCTAAACGATGCTCTTGCTGAAAGGGGGTGCGTACATGATCGTCCGACCACTTCTCCAATGTCAGTGCTAAATGAGAACCAAAGGGAGATGTTGGGAAACATTGAACAACGGATTGATTCCCTACATCAAGGGAGCAAAGATATGGTGGCGCAGGTAAACATTCAGTTACTAGTTGTCATATCTGTCCGGGGTGCTAACCTTGATTAGGCTAAGAGACTTGCGACTGAGCAGAGCGCCAGACGTTGGTTCGGTTTCTGAGCTGATCAACAGGATACACGTCATACCCGCCAATGACACTCGAGATTCGAAGTTCTCGATGTATACCATTATATATATCCGTGTACTATAGGACATTCCAGCCGTGCAATGATATGTAATTGTGGGACATGATGTGTATTTAGTCTTCTAAATGCCAATGTTGTTCACTGCTGGATTTCCAGAGTGCGCAACGCCTTGATCAACTCCCTCATTTTTGAGTTTGGAAACAACCTTTCATCTGACCATCGGCCCTTAGCTGCCTCTACGGCGAAAAGCCCGAGGTCCTCAATCGGTGTATACATAGAGGGCAGGATGGTCTTCATAATGGGCGTCATGAAGCAATCCATAGCCTTTGCTGTTGATGAACGAATGTTATCTCGGTCTGATGGGTGATCTTTGGAGGGAAAGAAGTAAGCAGGTCGCATGACAGATGCTGTAATGTTGGAGGACTGAGGGAGATCAAAGAGAGCTTTTTCAGTCATGCCCTAGATGTGGCGTGAGCATTCCAATGCTTGCGAGTACTGACGTATCAAGCAACAGGCGCATACCTTGATTCTCGCGAACTTGAGGTTGCTTTTTCCAGATGGATCTGCGCCCTCTCCTGAAACGAAAACAAATCTGAACGGCTCTCCCGTTTTGTCCTTCGTCCTTGTTTCTTGCAGGGAGTTCACGAAGTGCATGGTGTAGTCGTATGTGATGCGTGTGTATTCCTCGTCTGACAGACCTACTGAGCTCTTCCCCAGTGCCCAAACGCAGGCGTCATGCTCTGCCAGACGAGCAGGAAGATCACTAGGGTAATCCAAGAAGTCTTTCAGAACTATAACATCTGTCTTGTCGTTTTCGGGGATATCCATCCATGATGGGAGTGCTCTACGAGAGAGTACTGTGATCTTCGTGATGGCTGCATCTAATACTGCTTGACGAAAGATTTGGATACCAGCTGGCAGATAAGTAAGGATGTGTTAGGTTTGGGACTCCACGCCCGGATAGAGATGGTAACATACCAGCACCGGTGACACCTGTTAGGATAAGCTTCATGATTGAAGGTGGCTAAAGTTGGTTGAAGGGTTGTCCTGAGTGCTACTGGTGTACTTGGGTTTAAGTATCCCTTCAGGTCATCGTGAGCCCTTCCAACACTGTGCGGGCTGACGCGGCCAGCCGGCTAGACAGCAATTGACACGAGCCTGATATGCTAATCAGCGACCATAATTAAGGGCGAGCCATTCGGTTATACACACACATCACGTCAAAGTATGGTAAGAGACCATAACGCAAGGACAGCTTACGCGTACAAATGTATGTACCGGGGACTACGCGGCGGCGGCAACATTTATCATGCAAATCACATATCCCACAGTATGACATGCTTATACGCGGACTCTCACTATGTGCCGTCAAAATGGCGTTGATTGCGGACGCAAAGAATTTCTTCCTGTGCTCATCGATCATCCCTAGGGGTGGATGACTTCTCATAACCCCACCCTTCTGTATGACACCTCAGCCTTCCTTCGTTGCCAAGCTCGAGAGTCGAGAGAGAATTCACCGTCTGCGAAGAATGATAAGACCATGATTCTGAATGCTGTGTCATTACGAACCTCAGTAGGGGAGGACGCTTGAAAAGCATCGCGGTAGTACGCTACATTCTGATCTACCAAGAGAGACCAAAGGAGAGTTCTCGAGGATGCGGAATTTTGGGTATCCGTCTTCCCGAAGAGTTAGAAATGGGTTGTCGGCAAGGTGCGAAATTGAATAGATGAAGCAGACAGCATACCTTTGCAAGACCGATGATGAACTGAGATCGAATGGAGTTTGGATCCGTTGGGATACCGACAAGATCCACCAAATAGTATCTTCAGTGCACATCGAACGGACCTCCTTGACGGCTACAAGAGCCTTCTGTTCTCTGTGCTGGGACTCCTTTCCTCAAGAAATTTGGTCTGGGGGGATCAGACCAGACGCGTTCTTGGCAGAGGACATTATTATGTAAAATACTTGAAGATAGTTAAACGGCAGGCGGGATGAAATAAGGTTAAGGCGAAGCAGCAGCATTGAGGAAGTTTATATACCTCCAAGCTGATCGTTAGTATTGGCAGAAGCTATCCAAAATGCTAGTCGACAAGGCACAGACATTGTGACAAAACTGAATATCGTTGTGACAGTGACGTGTTACTATTGCCAGTACCCTGCTGGCATTGGGAATATACCACCAAGTACTATCAGTCATGACAGATTATGAGTCTTTGCACAGGCAGTGCCGCACTCTGGAGTCTTTATTCGACACAAAGCTTACGTCGTACTCCCGCCTAGCATCAACAATAACGAGAAACCAGGACGACATCGAGGCGGGAGGTTCGCGCGAACGCTGGAAAGACGTTGAAGGCGAAGTCGAGGACCTCCTGGAGAAGGTGGGACACACAGGTGCCCCAGCACGCATACCAGTAGCTTACAAGGACATATGTTTAGCTACGAGAAACCAATGATGAATTACTCGCACTCTCAAACAACCCGGACACCCCGCCATCACAATCCATGTCCCGTGCAATCCAGAGACATGGCGAAGTTTATCAGGACTATGCAAAGGAGCTGCGCAGAACGAAGGTCTGTTCCGTTTCAATGTTATGTGAACTTAGCTCTCCTAATACCTTGCAGACAAATGTCCAGCATGCACTTGACAAAGTAAACTTACTTTCGGGCGTTCGGAATGACATCGAGTGAGTTCTGTGTCCATTTGCGTAATGTCCTGTTGGTGACCCTCTTGTGACAGGGCATACAAATCTTCCGCGGCAGACTCACTGCTGGCGGAAAGAGGGAGAATCGACAGCTCCCATTCGATGACAGACCAGATTCTCGAGTAAGCTTCATCCTCACTTGTTATTCTTCGCTGAATGTTCTGCCGTAGCCAAGCATATGAAACTCGGGCAGAATTCTCGCGCCAAAGCATGTCTTTGGCCGGTATAAACACGCGCATGACTGGTGTCATAAGTCAGTATCCTGCGCACAGTCGTAATAACATATACTGACGATCGGCACAGGTGCGATACCTGGCATCAACAATCTTCTTTCCATGATCAAGAGCCGACGGCGGAGAGACTCTATCATCCTTGGCATTCTTATTGGAGGGTGCTTACTCCTACTTATAAGCTACATGTCGCGGTGATACCATTTTCATTATTCATGGACCATTCAATAAAATTCTGTTTAATACATTGGCAGTTATATAATGAACTTACATACCAGTCAACTGCGATCCAGTCTGAGCAGATTGCCATGGATAACATTCTGATTGTGCCTGGTAAAAACTCTATTGCCGCTTCCCGGTCGTTCGTTTGCTGACCTTGCTAAGTCCGATATGGTTTCCTTGCACGAATTCCTTCCAATTGTTTTCCAAATGTCGGACAACTCCCTGCTGGCTTTCCTCTACGACCTCTTCCCAGGACGATTCAACTAGCCATCCTTTTACTTCAGCAACTATAAGCACCATGTCCCAAGTGCTCTGCACACAATCTTCGATCTTGTGGCAATCCGATTCAACAAGGATACGGCGCGAAGAACACGCAGCGATCAGTGCTCGATGATTTGGTGACCGACTGTTGATAACTGTTGAGAGAGACAAAAATACATTTGGGTGACGCTTCTGCAAAAGCCCATTTAGCTCAATACAAGCAAATGAGACAGTCGGGTCAGGTCACAGGGTACATACCTCGATGGACAGCCACGTTTGCGGGCTAAGGCTACAGCTATGAATATCAATGCTTATTTTAATCCAATGCTCGCCATGCTTATCAGCCATACGGTCTAAGAGTTCCACAGTAGCCATTTGCGTTTTAACGCTATGCATGCTGACGTTTCGGCCTAGCTCTGCTGCTAGATCAAGCTGTGCTTCAAGGATAGCTAACTGGTGCTCAAAGGGTACCGTGAAGGGCGTCAATTCTCCAGGTGACGAGAAGTAATCGTAAGGCACCCGAAAAGCTCTGTCGATACCAACCTCTCCAAGCATTGCGCTTGGAAAAGCCATTAAATTCTGACGAACGTCTTCCAGAACGGTTTGTAGTGTCACTGGGTCAGGCAGATGAACAAGCAACTTTTGGAAGGCCTCCAGGTGCTCATCCGCATCCTTGAATATGCACCTATAATGATCTTCCTTTGATTCATATGGTGCCAGTGCGATCCAGTGCGAAAACCACGGATGGTAACCTAGCATCAAAATCAGTAGTATCACAGGATTGATCAACCGATTCATAGCTAACCAAAGGAAGGTACGACTTTGTCTGAGAATGCAGTAGCCAAGTCTCGCACTAATCCTTGGTCCGCCTGAAAAGTGGACATGGCACCGATGATGATGGGTAAGTTGTCCATTGACTTCACTAGAATCTCTGAGTCGGTGGGATGACAATGTACATCGACGACATGTCGCAAGACTGACGGTGGAGGAAGGGTGTCCCGATGAGAAATAGTATCAGAAATGTCATGCTCGTAACACATATCGATTGCTCGATGTCACTCCGAAGCTGGGCTCACAGGCTCAAGTTTGTAATAGCCGAAGGTAAGTAGTTCAGTGTGTGATCAACTGAAGTGATCGACATGCACAAACAACTTCCATGCTTGGACTTCAATCATGTCTAAGTACCTTAACTTCGAGAAAACGCCTTAGATTATCTTTCTTCTCTAAAATCATGGCGCGCACACTGACACTCGACGTATCACCTCCAGCACATCGTTGGATGGACACCACTCTTCAAAGGGATGCTTTTAAAAAGACTATCCCTGTTCTCGCCGCCAGAGTTCCTGCTTCCAAAACCGGATCCCTGCTAAAGTCTGATATCATGAAGAAGTATGTGACTTTGGTTTTCCAGAGATCATATTTAACGTACTTCGAAGATTCCTAATGGATCTGCCAAAAGTACGCAGCGTTCTTCGGGACCCCCACGATGACCTCGAGAGGCTGGTATTGCTGAATGTATCTGAAGATGGTACCGTGTAGCATCTCTCGATCGAATGATATGTGGTTTTCTGATGCTCCATCCGTAAGCCAGCTGCCCTCTCGTCGGAGGTTCGCAATTACTTGCAGGAACAGTCTGCTACGTTGGTTGTGCACAACCTAGACTTGACTTATGACTACTGGACAGCTGGTACGAGCTGCATGGTTCCTCATGTCGATGGTATTTATTTATGTCCAGATGAAATCTTACATTCCATATTGCCCGAGGAGCTTTGCAAGGGTTCTCCATCAGGGTTCGCAATCACTGGCCACCTCGGTGAGCACGATGGCATTCGCGTTTGGTCGTCACTGATGAATCCTTCAGCCCACATGAATCTCAATAAAGAATATCTACCCTATAAGCATATCATCGGTGAGATTGTTCTGGATGAAAGTATTGATTTCTCGAATTCTTAACTTCTGCTGATGCTATTTACCACAGAAAAATCCCATGATTAAAACAGTTGTCAATAAATTAGACAGTATCGATACAAAGTACCGGTTCTTCAAAATGGAACTGCTCGCAGGCGAACCTAATCATGTTGTTGAGCACGTAAGTCATGTCTTTCTATGGAACGATGAGCTAAGAAAATCCCCAGCACGAGTCTAATTGCCGATTCACTTTTGACTTCACCCGTGTTTATTGGAATTCAAGGCTTCACACAGAGCACGATCGGCTTGTCCAACTCTTCCAACCAACCGACGTCATTGCAGATGTATTTGCTGGCGTGGGCCCTTTCGCAATTCCTGCTGCCAAGAAAGGGTGTGCAGTATTTGCGAACGATCTAAATCCTGAGAGTGCGAGGTACTTGAGTCAGAATATCGTTGACAATAAAGTGAGGTATTTCTTTCACTTGATATACGCCTTATTCTGATGTTGTTCGGTAGGTCGCAAGTTTGGTCCGCGCTAGCTGCGAGGATGGTCGTGATTTCATTAAAAAGGTTATCGGTCGTGCGAGAGATAATCCTTTCCCCGCATACACCGGGCCGAAACTCAGCAAGATGCAAGAAAAGGAGAAGCGCAGGCTGCAACTAGCAAAATCCTCTCTAACTGCAGCACCTGCACTGATTGATCAGTCAACTGTGTCGAACCAGTCTCCTCGTCAAACCGTCTCACATTTTGTGATGAACCTCCCAGATTCAGCGATCGACTTCCTCGACGCCTTCCGTGGCGTTCTATTGGAAAGCGCTAGTGAACGGGATTTGAGCGGTAATAACGCCAACATGCCTATGGTTCATTGTCATTGCTTCACACGCGAACTCCAGCCAGACAGGGCTGAAGCGGATATTATACAGGTAATGTTCGAGATTCAGTGCAAAGGCTGTGCTGACTGTGATTATTAGAGAGTCGAAAGTAAACTCGGACATCAGCTGGACACCGGGGTGGCACTGCACATGGTTCGGTCTGTTGCTCCAAACAAAGACATGTACTGTATAAGTTTTAGATTGCCTCGTGACGTGGCCTTTGCACGGTAATCTAGAATAAGGGCGCCGACATTGCGCCGATATGCTTCTTGATTGATGCCCTATTTCAAGCGGCGAGGCCTATAGGAAATTCGGAATCAAGTGAAACGCGTTGCGTTTGGCATCGCATGTGTCATGTGCTCGGCAGTGTGATTCGGTTATGTAATCACCCGAGTTGTTTATCCCTGCAATAGTACTGCATTGGCCCTGTTGGAGCAATTTTTTAGTGTCTTCGCTCTTGTGCCATAACTACATTGCTGTGGGCTACCAGTTAGTGCTGCATAAGTATCCTTATCCTTCCCTCTAGACTTGCTTGCATCCTCTCTCTTGACATATAGACATACCTGATACCTCCTAAACACTAATTCACTTCGGAGTCTTGACACTAGAACAATGACACGCGTTATCAACACAGTTCATTGCGACACTGATGCGGCATCCTCCTCTTTGACTGACTCCGCCTTGAAAGGCGTTCGCAGTGTGGTTGCAGCACCCGAGAACGAGATGAAGCGATGGAGAAGGATATTTGAAACCAATGCAAAGGTCGTGATCGACGGGGAGAGGTATGTCATGACTCATTCTAAAACAATTTAACCTCTTGCTGACTGCTCGGACGACAGATATCTTGACCCCGACAACTTTGTCAATGCTATCGCTCCGAAAAGCGACTCGACTAAAATAGGTCGTGCACAATTCGCGATCCTTTTTCGTGTAGCCGACTCTTCGAAGCGGGGTTTGGTTTCTTGGGACGATTTCACAGTGTTTGAGACACTTCTTAAACGTCCCGACGCAGACTATTGGATAGCCTTTCAGTATTTTGACGTGTGAGTCCTTCCCGTCCCATTATATATAGCAGCACTCAGACTTGGCACGGTCGCGTTTCAGGGACAGCTCGGGTACCATAACTTTTGATGAGTTCAAAAATGTGTTCTTGGCCAACGTTGGGCCATCTGCCATTCCTTTTGACTTTGATTGGTACGTACTATTAGAATTCCAAATGGTCTGTGTTTACCGTGGTCACAGTGATTGGGTTAAGTTATATCTTGGGCGAAAAAATGGCACACACGTTCTTGGATGTCAGTGCGGATATTGTTCTACCTCCACATTTATTGACTTGTTTTTTTTGATAGACAATGAATTTACTCAGCTGATGAAGGGCCTCCAGGGAGAGCGTCTTCGACAGGCCTTTAAGTATCTCGACAAGGATCAAGATGGATTTATTAGACCTGAGGAATTCAAACAAATTATTTTGGTTTGTAAACGACTTATTCTTCACGATTTGCGTTTCATATACTTCCCTCATGACAGGAGATTGCAGGGCATAAACTATCTGATGCAGTCATTGAACGTCTACCTACGTTATGCACGCTCACTCCTAGTGGGCGGATATCTTATTCTGAGGTTGTTGCATTTCAAAATGTTATTCGAGGTGAGCTTCATTGTTCTGCGGCCTGGAAGCAACCCCAACTTTTGTATCGTAGAGATGGACATGGTGGAGCGGTAATTCCGCCTTTGATATGGCTGTCATTAACTAATAGGTTGTTAGTATTTTACGCGAGGCCACCGCCAAGTCAAAGGATGGACGCATTGACCAGTCTGACTTCCTTAATCACTCTGCTGCGATCTCGCGTTACGCTCTTTTCACGCCCATGGAGGCGTCTATCATTTTCCATTTTGCGGGTCGGGGTAGCCGCGAGAAGAGGCTTGCTCTATTGGACTTTGCTCAACTCTTGGATCCCCAGTGGAGAGCTCCTCACGAGGTTCTTGAAGCCAATGAAGTCAGACCGAAGGCATCATTGCTTCAAGGGGTACTGAAGTCTGCCTACGGTTTTGTTCAAGGAGGCACGTTATTTATTGCTCAGCACTATTGCGACGCAACTCTAACATAAATATAGGAATTGCGGGGGCTTTCGGTGCCACTATTGTCTACCCTATTGATATGGGTAAGTGATTAGGAATCATGTCGTGCTGGATCTATCTGATATGCTTTATCTTGATAGTGAAGGTACGCTGTGCATTTCATCAATTATTCTTTTAGTCTACAACAAATCCAATTGGTTGACAGACTCGGTGCGTTTTTGACTGGGTTTTTGCGAGTTTTGTTGCTGAACAACTTCAAGGATGCAAAATCAGCGGAGTACAGTGGTCGGTCAGATGCTGTACAAGAATAGCGTCGACTGTGCTCAGAAAATATTCCGCAACGAAGGTCTCATGGGTTTCTACCGTGGCCTTGGTCCACAGTTGATTGTGCGTCACCGCTGTACTTCTATAATATTTCACCTCGCCTTACGTTGTAACAGGGCGTTGCTCCAGAAAAAGCTATCAAGCTTACCGTCAATGACCTCGTCCGTGGTCGAGCCATGGATCCAGAGACAGGACGCATCAAACTTGGTTGGGAGCTGATAGCCGGTGGAACGGCTGGTGGTTGTCAAGTAGTATGTATTCCCTTTTTAAGATTGTATTCATGTCGCCCATAACGATGGCAGATCTTCACCAATCCCCTGGAAATTGTGTAAGTTTAAGCACCCTGGTCATAGCTTGGTCCTTACTCGAGTTTTAGTAAGATACGTCTCCAAATACAAGGAGAAGCTGCAAAGTTAGAAGGAGCAGTTAGAACCGGTGCTGCCAACATTGTACGCCAATTGGGTGTGGTTGGTTTATACAAGGGGGCCAGTGCCTGCTTGCTTCGCGATATCCCATTCTCGGCCATCTATTTCACAGCATATTCCCACCTTAAAAAGGATGTCTTCCATGAAGGCTACAACGGAAAGCAGTTGTCATTCCTGGAAACGTTGGGTGCAGCGGGCATTGCGTAAGGTTTCTTGCGTTAAGAACTTGCGACATGTGCTGATAGAGCGAGTTCACCAGTGGCATGCCAGCAGCCTATCTAACAACTCCTGCTGGTTCGTATTCCTTTTGAGTAGTACTCGTGATGATACCCATTGGACGTTTGTCACAGATGTGGTGAAGACTCGTCTGCAGGTCGAAGCGCGACAAGGTCAGACCCACTACAAAGGTCTTACAGATGCATTTGTCAAGATCAGTAAGTGTCGATCTCATCTAGCAAAGTTGAATACTCATGACTGGTACTTCCTCTAGATAAGGAAGAAGGTTTCAAGGCATTGTTTAAGGGAGGACCGGCACGTATCCTCAGAAGTAGCCCACAGTTTGGCTTTACCCTGCTTGCATATGAATACTTGCAAAAGGTATGATTGTTACTACACGCCCCGAACACACTAACATCCAATTATCTTTGCAGCTCCTTCCTGTTAGTCCATCCGTTTGGTACATGCATTTGATACTTAATCATTTTCAACAGTACCCATGGCAGGAGAACAAACCCGAAATCAAGACTGCTTTGACAACACCGAAGCGGGATGAGATGTCTCGAATCCGTGCGCGGAACGCCCTCAAAATACTACTAGACGTTCATGGTGATTTTGGGAGACGTGCGGCCAATTTCTCTCATCCCCTCGTGAAGCAGGCACACCCAACAACCTCACCATCGAAAACAGCATGATGCACTATTTAATCCTCATCTATTGAACTTTGTTTAGACGGAACAGTGCAGGAAGATAGTTCCCCGTTCTGGTTTGCTTCGATCTGTCGATACTGCTACCGACAGCGCGCACCTTTGCTACTACATAGATTCAATTGCTCCTCCTAACCATTGCAGTATACCGTAGTTGGCACGATTGGGTTATTTAAGCTTGTTATACATACCGCATGCCGAACTCCGATCCATAGAGACAATGATAGACGTTCTGGGATGCTCACCATTATTCTTGGTCCTTCCTTGACAGATGCCGCTCCGTGAAATCGAATTTCCTTCCGATCCTAAAGATCTGGAACACGCACAAGAACGATTCTTGATTTTCTACTCCTCGCGCGTGAACGGGCAGCTGTGGTGCCCTGTGAGTGCGAGTGCCACGTACGGTGACAACCCACAATCCTGATTTGTTGGGCCGCCAGGATTGTGTAGCAGTAGATCGGATCATCCAAGATACCTTCGGTCCTGAAGACGGGCTATCTGCGGTGATTGTCTACGTTGGCCAAAAGCCCGAGTAGGCAGACACATCGCGTCTGTGGACTGGCACTCAATTCTATGATGGTGCTTAGATGGAAAACACCCTCCAATATTTTCAGAGGCGAGCCGTGGCATATCACCTCCATCCCCACAATTATCAAGGTTGAAGACGTTAGTATCGGACCAATTGAATCTTGCTACTCCATACCAATTTCTGATAACCTCATCGACAGTCCAAAGTAGCCGGTCGACTCGACTCCGAGATCAACGCACTTCTCGCAGCTTTCATCCAAGGATAGAGTGTTGAGCTTGACACTTTCGAGTTCCAACAGCTGGCCCTTTGGATTCAATGTTAGGTGTTGTGTAAATCAAAGGTCAAACTTTTGGAAAAACACTCGCTAACTCGTGCTCATACGCAAAATCTACGAAATCTCCCTGGCATACCATATTTCACTGATCATACCAATCGTTGACGATCCCCCGGCCCAGTGTAACACCGCAGAGGCTGCCATGCACCTCCATGTGTCTTTGAAGTGTATTTCCTTCCGTCATGCAATACCGCCGAGATCTGGATGAGCATACTGGATGAGATTAATCCTCGCATTTTCAGCATAGAACCTCGCCATGAGCCCTCACTAGTTTTTCTAATAAATGGGTTATTGCAGTGTTCACAATATCCCAATGAATATCGGACATCTCTCTGGAGTCTTGTCGGTACCCCGATGTAGAAGTTTCATCATATGCACCGACAAGTCGACATGACCTCGCAGATCGCTTACTATATTTCACACGAGCGTACAGTACAAGAGCTATTGAAGACTGACGGTTTTTTTGGTTATGGGAGCGACTTTGGGAGCTTCTATGCCTGACAGCCTGGTGCACCGTAGAAGTGGATAGGCGAAGGTAGGCGATGATGACTGACAACACTCAACAGCTCAAGTTATTTACCTCACGTTTGCCTTGCTTGGGCGCATTTCTTGGCCTACACCGAATTAGGTTCAAGAATACGGCCAAATGCGAAGCTGGCCGAGTCTAGCCTTCAAACGCAGCTCTTTGTCATTTCAGAGCAGGATTGTGACCTTCAAATTTTCAGCTCATGGATCGTGATTCTACTGTGGACTCTTTGAAGATGAGTTTCATCACAAATGTTGAGTTGATGACGAGCAAGAAGAAAGCACATGAAAGAGAAGAATTGAACATGGAGAGCACTACTATTTCAAGCCAGACTAATTTACATTTTGCGGGTATGCGGATGATGACATGACGGTAAGGGATGGAGCAGGAGCGTGGGCCTGAAGTTTGCGTCCTGGCACGCGAGAATTAAAAGATTAAAAGTTGCCAAACATGAGGATGCAATCGAGGATATATGTCGAGGAATACATGTGCACTGGTGATGAAACTAACGGTTATGGACCTCGAGTAAAATCACCACTTTTACCACCTGTTTTATGCGCGACTATGATTTCCCCAATTTTCATTTCTTTACCCGCCACAGCCTTCAGCATATCCCAAACTGTAAGGAGACCGATCGATACCGCCGTCAGTGCTTCCATTTCCACTCCGGTTTTGCCTTCGCATGCCACGGTAGCAGTACACTTTATGCTATACTCGAGGGCACCTTCATCACCAGGCTGTGAAGCTGGACACACACCACGCTCAGGCGTCAATGTGACAGATACGTTGGATATCTGGAGAGGATGACACAGAGGGATAAGGTCGGAGGTTCGCTTGCACCCCATGATCGCTGCCAGTTGGGCGACTGTCATCACATCCCCCTTGCTGCGAGCCTTCTGGATCGTCTTGTTCGTGAAGTCGACATTACTCGATTCTGTGACCAGGTCATATGCAGATCTTGGGATGTATATGCGACCGCTGGCAGTAGCACTACGCTTTGTTACGTCCTTACTACCGACATCAACCATGCATGGCCGACCATCAGAACCAATGTGAGTCAAATGGAGGCTAGATTGGCTGGACGACGAACTCCAGCGTCGATGGATATGAGGTAACAACAGTGTACCATCGAGAAGGTAAGATCGGGACAACGATCGCACCCTAGACTTGCGAGGCTGTATGCCTGGAAAGGTGGATTGACATCAGGACACTATATTAAACCCTTCACACACTAGTAGACTCTACCTCGAAGGAAAGTACCTAACCTCCGATGAGTATCATAGGTCGGTTGGTTATGACATCAATGTCCTCCATTCCGGCGTGCTTCTCCTGTTTTCCTTGGACAGCACGTCCAATGACGCTTAAGAGTTCTCTATCACTGGCACCACGTCGCATTTCATCTCTAAGAGACACTTCCTTGGCGTCAAAGAGACAGACCTGGTTGAAGGGTAAGTACATGGCACGCTCTGGTCATGATAAACACACCTTAATTTGCCCGTCTGCTGTCAAACGTAGGCGGTTGCACGACGAGCAAAAATGATCTGACATGCTGCTGATGAAGCCTAAACTACCAGCATGTCCCGGAATCTTCCAGGATCGTGCGGTGTCGTTGAGTTCGTCGGGTGCTCGCGTTATAGAAGGGTACTCCCTCGAGACAATGTCCAAAAGCTGGCTGGAAGGGACCATCTTTGCCTTATCCCACTTGTTTCCTGTGGCGATGTAAGCAAAGCCAATGGTTATCGGGAACACAAGATACCTGTGAAGGGCATGAATTCGATAAATCGAACAGATATGTTTTTGTCCACAGTCAATTTGACAAAATCCAGGACTTCTGAATCGTTGAGGCCCTTAACGACGACGACATTTAATTTCACTGATCGCAAGCCTTGACTGTGGAGGGCAGCACTGAGTGAACGAAGGACTGCATCGTGACCAGGACGCCGAGTCATAATCTCAAACTTGAAGGGGTCCAGGGTATCGAGGCTGATCACTATCAGACGTGCCGTATTGAATGCACGAAGAAATAACGGTCACCTCAGATTCAGGTGTGTTAAGCCATTTTCGACATAAAGGGGCAGACGGCGATGGAGGGCGATTCCATTGGTGGTCATGCCGATGGACTGGAGACCGAGTGGGCGGAGCTCGTTGAGGCGACCTGCACAAAATTTAGCCAACATTCAGAAGCATGGCAATGACAACTTGCGAATTATGCCGTCCAAGCCTTTCCGTACAGTAGGTTCTCCCCCAGTCAAACGTATTTTAGTAACGCCGCTTCTCACAAAAAGACCTGCCAAACGGATGACTTCGTCGTCGGTTAAGATATGGTCGGCTGGTGATAGCTCTACTCCCTCGCTAGGCATGCAATAAAAACCTACATTGCGGTCAGATTGTTTTAGTACTCGAAACAACTAGTAAAATGAAGGACAAACATCGAAGATTACATTTCTCTGTCAGGGAGATGCGAAGATAATCGTGTCTCCTATGAAACGAGTCAACGAGTGCAGGTGAGAATTGTCTTTGGGCATCGATATGTGCGATTTTTGACTGAGGACACAATGAGTTGATTCCACGCCGGATGGATGATCATACCTGGGCCTTTGCTCTTGGGGTCGTCCTAGTGTTCTGTGAATAATAGCGGAGACAGGTAGGCCCGTATTTGCGAGATACCGCAGAACATAACCAGCTTGACCGTTGATAACTCATGTGTCGGAACAAGGAACAGACATAGCCCGCTCCAGAGATTTGTAGTATCTCATGGACTCTGTCCTTGTGACAACCTTGTTAAAGTTGCTTCCGGCATGTCACCTGGTCACATGGCATGACGCTTCAAGTTATTCGGCTCCTCAATATCATTAAGCTCCTTATAACAAGCTCCTTAACACACTAAGTCTATCTTACTACCCTATTAGCTGTCCATTCTGAGCCGACTCAACCGCTCCCATCTTTTCTTTTCTCTTTTATTCCCTTTCTCTTCTTGTCATTGGCTATGGCGACGAACGCACCTTCCAACAGTGGCGTAAAACAACTTCAAGAAACCGCTGAAACTCATATCCATGACATCACGAGCCATGATGCATCCAAAGGTGCCATAGTTCACTCGTTTGACCCGGATACCACTCCACAACAGAAGGCAGCTGCTGCGGGGAGGCAGCGCGACCAACTGAAGAGTATCGTTCCGCAGGATGGAAGTGCGCATGGCGGAAAAGGCGCGCTTCTATCTCTGCTACGTCACCCAAACCTAACGTCTTCATCAGAGCTATCCATTGTCGGAGCTCCCGTCCCTACTATCACAGTTGAAGACATGAGCGAAGCGACCAACGAAGAGCAGGAGAAATCGGGCAGTGTAACTCCATCTGCACCTATAGTACCCGGAGAATACCCCTCTGGTCCTGCTCCAGCGATTCCGGATTGGTACAAAGTCGGTTGGCGTGCTGTTGCAAACATTGATGCACCTCCGCCTGAAGAAGGCGAGGAGAAAGACAACCACATACTCCAGCTTTTCTTGGCTGAGCAATACTATGGCCAGTGGTACCATAATGCTGCTCTTATCTTCTTCGTAAGTCTATGGGCTTGCCATCTACAATAAGCTCATTTGCATGACGCTGTACAGGCTGTATTTGCTTCTCATTTCTTGACACGATTCAACTTCGGTTGGGGGTGGCTGATTCTTTTGCTATCTATTTGCAACACCTATTATGTGACTTCCATGACTCGTGTCCGCCGTTGTGCTCGTGATGACATTCAGCGAGAACTAATCAAGACACGCCTTGCGTCCGAGCACGAATCTGCTGATTGGATGAACAACTTTTTGGACCGTTTCTGGCTCATTTACGAGCCTGTTCTTTCTGCTACTGTCGTCGCCTCTGTTGATCAGGTCCTGAGCACCTCTACTCCTGCCTTCCTGGACTCCTTGCGCCTTACGACCTTCACCCTTGGGACGAAGGCTCCCCACATAGACAAAGTTAGGACATTTCCAAGGACTGCTGACGATGTCGTCATGATGGATTGGGGAATTTCCTTCACTCCCAATGATACATCTGACTTGACCCCCCGTCAAGCAGCTCAAAAAGTCAACCCCAAAGTTGTTCTATCCGTTCGCCTGGGCAAAGGTCTTGCTACAGCCTCCATTCCCGTCCTTCTCGAGGACATCACCTTCAGCGGTATGATGAGGATTAAGTTGAAGTTAATGGCGAACTTCCCTCACGTGCAGATCGTGGATATCAGCTTCCTTGAAAAACCGGTTATTGACTACGTGCTTAAACCGGTGGGTGGCGAGTCGCTTGGATTTGATATAGCCCACGTAAGTGACGGTATGAAGAAGTATCATCCACTCGAGCTCACCTTATTATCAGATTCCTGGTCTACAGACTTTCATCCGGGATATGGTTCATGACACGCTCAGTCCCATGATGTACGACCCGAATGTGTTCACTGTCAATCTCGAACAACTTCTTTCTGGTATACCCCTTGATACGGCTATTGGCGTTATTCAAGTCACTGTCGAGGCTGCTCGCGGGCTTAAGGCCAGCAAGATTGGCGGGGGCTCTCCTGATCCCTATGTCAGTATCAGCATCAATAACCGCGAGGAACTCGCGAAAACCAAGTATAAGTCGAGCACGTCAGCCATTTTCATCGGTTTGCTTTGCTTGGCCTCACTATTACCACCAGATACAACCCAACGTGGATGGAGACAAAGTTCATTATAGTCAACTCCCTTCAAGAGTCGTTGGTGCTTAGTCTCCTTGACTACAACGAGCACCTTAAGGACACTCATCTTGGTGCCGCCACCTTCGAGCTGCAGAAGCTACTGGAGGATGCAACTCAGGAAGGTTTAGAGCTACCCGTTTTAAAAGATGGAAAGGATAAAGGAATGATTCGTCTCAACGTCAACTACTTCCAGGTTTTGAAACCTGAATCTGTCAATGGAAAAGAAAATCTGCCTCAAACAAGTGCGTCCACGATTTATTTGGCCGCCAAGGCTTATCATCCTTGCTAGATGTTGGAATTGTTCGCTTGACTATACATCAAGCTAAGGAACTTGATGCTACAAAATCACTTTCCGGCGACTTGAACCCCTTGGTCAAGGTCTTCCTTGGGAACAGTACTTCTTACACGCACAAATCACAGATCATCAAGCATACGAACAATCCCGTTTGGGAGTCGCCGACAGAGTTCATTTGCGCAGACAAGTCGTCTTCAGTCATCACTATCAAGGTGGTTGACGAGCGAGACTTCCTCAAAGATCCTGTGGTCGGTTATATGTCCGTCCGGCTGGTCGATCTTCTCCAGACGGACCCCGCTCTTCACAGGGAATGGTGGCCTCTGAGCGGCTGCAATAGCGGCAAGATCAGGCTCAGTTGCGAGTGGAAGTCGCTGCATATGGCTGGCGCCTTAAGTAGTGCAGATCAGTATGTGCCTCCCATAGGTGTTGTCAGAATTTGGTTGCGGAAGGCGACGGATGTCAAGTAAGTTTCATTCAAGAACTGTGAGACAGCAGGTTTGACAATCAATTCTTAGGAACGTGGAAGCGACTTTCGGCGGCAAAGTGATACACATCTGTTGTTTTTAGGAGGGGTCAGCTAACGACAGTCTGTTTCAGAGTGATCCGTACGTACGAGTATTGGTGAATAACGTCACTCTTGGGAGGACTGAAGTTATCAACAACAGTACGTGGCGAACGATCGTGACTAAGCCTTAATAACCTTGACTGCAGATCTGAACCCTGAGTGGGATCAAATAATATATATCCCGGGTATGTAGTCGCACATCTTGTTGCTTTTCCTTACTTATCTGTGTTGTTCTAAGTCCATTCCTTGAGAGAGGCAAGATTAGCCACAACTCCTCGAAATATAATAGGCTAACTTCTGATCAGTCGATGTTCATGGAAGTCATGGATTACCAGCATCTGACAAAGGTTTGTCGCTGTCGCTGTCAGCTGGTATGTACGAGTGGCTGATCAGGATCGCAGGATCGTTCCCTTGGATCGGTGGAATTGCTTGTTAGTGATATCGCACGCGAGTCACCTGCTGATCCACAACAGCGTTACGAATCAACCGGTGCCAAGGAGGTTGCTGAACCAATCCGGACCGACAACAACTCATACAAAGGGCAGCTACACTACAGAGCTGAATTTGTATCAGCTTTGAACGTGAAGCATGTGCATTTTGATGCAGGCGAGAACGAGATCCAGAAAGCCGCTCATAAAGTCCAGCGCAATGATTCTAATGGTATTAGCACCCATAGTTCTTCCAGTGATGAAGAGGAGCGACATGTGACCGTTGATCATCCAATGACCGAGGCAGAGACGCATAGCCCACCTCATCAAACAGATTCTAGTGAATCAGTTCGAGCCAACGGGGATGGGGCTACAAACACGGACGAAGAAGCTTCATCACCGACGGAAAATGATTCTGCGAACGAAGGCATCGAGCTCAGCAAGGAAGAGCTGTTCAAGCATCGTGAGTGGGCTAAAGTCCTTTAACCTGTACTCGTGCTCATCTGCATATTAAGAGTCGGGTATAATTATATTTAACGTGATAGGCGGACATTTGCAGAAGAAAGCTCGTCTTGATGTGCTCTTGGATGACGCGTATTGGCCTGCTTTCAGCACCTTGAAATCGCGAGGTACAAATGCTCAATGGGCGCATGTTGGTGAAGGATTCCTTAAAGAGCTCGACTTTGGTCGCGTCTGGTTGCGCTTGAATGAGAGTGGGGACTTCGACAAGGATGACATTGTAGCAGAATGGAAGGGCGATGCTAAGGCTTTCTTAGATGCCACCCTGGTGAGCCGTCTGCTCTTAATGTAGATATTGACCCTTATCATCTGCAGGATCGTCGGTCGTCCTTCTCACTCACACATGCAGACGGCAATTCGTCTACCGTTGAGATTGAAACGCGCTATGTACCCGTCCCAGTGAAGCTTTTGGCTAGAGAGAGTATCAACAGTAAGCAGTTTGTAAAGCCCATGCATTATTTACACTCACCTCCTTTGTCACAGACCAAGGCATACTCCGAGTTTACCTTTTGGCTGGAAAGGACCTTCGTTCTGCTGACAGATCAGGTAAGCTTTACTACGTGCACGTTGTCACGTTCTAAGACGATACTTAGGCACATCTGATCCATTCGCCGTCTTCACTCTTCATGGCACGAAGGTGTTCACATCTCAAACCAAAAAGAAAACTCTGAACCCTGATTGGTCAGAAATGTTCGAAGTTAATGTGGTACGGCCATCTGCCACTTATCGAGATATATTTTCCACTGAACGGGATGTTAGCCATCTCGAGAAGCGGCAGACTTGTCCGTCGAAGTTTTCGATTGGAACCAACTCGAACAATCCAAGAGCCTTGGATATGGTACCATCAATCTGCGTGATATGGAACCCTTCGAGGCCACAGAACAGATGATTGAGCTTTCCTCGGAAAAGCATGGTGCAAAAGGACACGTCGCAATTCGATTGATCTTCCAACCGGAGATTATTGCCAAGAGCCGGAAGGCGACCTCGACCTTCTCTTCCGCGGGCCGCGCCATGACCCATATCGGATCATTACCCTTCGGTGCTGGCAAGGGCGTCGTTCGTGGCATTGGTAATGTCTTCAAGAGAGACTTCGGAGGCAGTCATGAAAAGTTAGATGCTCCCCACGCCGTGCTTGAAGCCGCTGCTGGTCAGGCATCGCGACCGATAGGAGAGCATACTGCAGACGAAGATACTAATGCCGCTACCTCCTCCGCTTTCCCCTTCTTGAGTCGCACTCCTTCACTTTCGGGTCTACCTTCAGAGCCTGGAACACTCAGAGTGACAATGGTGAGCGCAAAAGACGTGTCTATGACGGACACCAAACCGTACGCAATCATACGTGTTGGCGACAAGGAATTCAAGACGAAGCACGGTAGTAAGACATCATCACCAGAATGGTAAGACCTTCCTGCCTGGTTCATGGTGTCACCTCTCAACTTTTATGCCAGGAACGAGTCTTTCAATTTTGTTGCTAGCGCGCACATGCCCAAATTGCATCTCTCGATTCATGACCATAAGACGCTCGGAAAAGATAAGCTGTTAGCTCAGGGTGAGGTTGACGTACGTTAAGATTTCCTTGGCTGTGGTATGATTTTACTGATAAATTTGATTAGATCTGGCGGCATATACAAGTTGGCCGGTCGACAGCTGCTGAGGTTACTGTCGAGCTTCAGGGCGGCGGGCTTGCCCGCCTCCGTCTCGAATTTGATGCAGAGAATAATTCACTAGCACGGGGCACGTCAGTCGTGTCGCTTGAACCATCGCAGCCACAGACTTCGCCATCGAGATTCAGCATCAGGGGTCGCAGACCAGGGTTCAACGAGGACAATTGACGTGCTTGGGACTGCCACACATTCAATTCACGATATATGGGCTGCTAGTTTTATGTTTCAGTTGCTCCACATTGATGTCCCAAGAATTTCATGCCATTTAATTATTAAGACGTGCTTCCGCTGCCAGGATTAGTTTAGGGTGGTCCGTGCAAAGCGAACGATTAATAAAAATTCTCTTCCCGCCCGTCGTTCAATGACAACCTAGTAATCGTGAGAGTGTGATCAACTCGTGGTGGACAAGTTGAGTTTACCTGGCTGGTTAAACCAAAGTCTTCCAACATCCTGGATCGGATGCTTGGAACATCGTTTTGTTTCAAGGCAATCAAATAAAATCTACCCCGCGGCGATAACAGACACTGAGAAGCATAGTCAATAGTATTCCACAGCACTGGGAAAGATGATACCTCAACGTCTTGTAACAAACGATTCGTAACTTCCATTCCATCAGTTCCTCCTGCCCAGGATCCTGCAATACCGGCACTACTCTGAGCACTGGAAGCTTCATCTGTATCTGTCGGCACATAAGGGGGGTTAAACAAGAGTACATCGACTGCGTGATGCAATCGCGATAAGAAAGGTCGTGCTAGCGAGCATGTCACTGGGTCTAGAGGTATCTACTATGTAATTGTGAATTAGATGCAGCTAAAACGTCAGCAAGACTCAGGCTGTACCTTGTTCTGTTTCCCTGTTGCAAGCGTACAACTGGTGGCATGTTTGTTTATATCAGTGCAAAGGTAAACTGATTGCCAGTCAGCCTGGCACCCAGAAAGATGAATACGAACTCACGAGAAGAGGATTGTCCGAATATCTTTCCAATAAACGCTGACACGCATCCTGATCCAGACCTGAGTCGCACTCAGCATTTTATAGCATGTATAAGCTGATACTCACCCGACCTCGAGACAAATCAGAGGACGTTCATTTCGGAGCGCTTCTGCCTCCTGCTCGAGAGCATCCAGTAGCAAGAACGTGTCTTCTGCGAAACAGGTTAGACTGCAGTGCGGTCCATATATCTGCTCACTTACCTGCTGGGTCGTACACTTGCTCAAGATCATGCCTAGTCAAATGAGAAAGATCTGGCGTCGGTGTCATGATGGCGGCGATGAAGAATTGAAATAATCACGTGGTGCGACGCGTCGTTGGCGCGTGTGTGGCACGCCACATCTGGGTGATTATTTACGTGTCCAAACTTCAACTCATTCCGCAAATCTTCCCAGATTCTCGACTTCCAGCCCATACTCAGCAGTGGTAAATCGCAGCAAAAATTGCAACATCATGGCCACGAGATCAAAGATTGGTGCAGCAGCGACGAGGGCATCGACCCGAACAAAGACACCAGTTCCACCTCCGAGTCCTCCAGCAGGGATAAAGACTATTCGAGCAAGACTTCCAAGCAAAACTACTGCACAAACTGAGGTATCAAAAACGCGAACAACTGGTCGAAAACCTCTTGCCAATCGAGCTAATTCGCCTGATGCTAAGCTTCCTGCTGCCAAGAAGGTGGCTGGTACTAGGCAAGCACGGGCAGACCATGGAATGACTGCAGAGCGCGAACCTGTTATGGTGGATTATGCGTACCGGATTTTTATTGTATACTGAGAACGTCCTTTAGGCCTATTTGCGCATTCGTCCTCATCTTGGGGATGATGAATGCATGTCTATGCCTTACCTTGCCCCTTTATCCGACACGTCTGTACAGATGACTGACACCTCCCATGATGGTGCAGGTAGTTCCAGACCACACATTCGTGTCTCAGCTGTCGCGCCTTCGTCAATCTACAGATTCTCGCATGTTTTCCTACCAGAAACACAACAGGCAGAGTTCTTCGCAAAAACTACACTTCCCCTTGTACGTGATCTCCTGGATGGACAGAATGGCTTGTTGTTTGCATATGGCGTTACAAATTCTGGCAAGACATATACAATCCAAGGAGGCAATGGTCCTGATTCTGCAGGTATCCTGCCGCGGACACTGGACGTCATTTTCAATAGCGTCGAAGGACTGCACAGCGATGGCCGGGTGAGTGATGGTTCAATATCCACAACCTAATGATTTATCGTCAAATTTTCTTAGTTCAGGCCTGTTAGGCTGTACGGCGTAGAGGAAGCTGATCCTTCTGAGTTCCTGCCTCCCACGGACATTGACATGCCAACTGATGAGCCACAACTCGCAGAAGTCCTTGCAGAACACCTCTCAAACACGGATGACATCGATATCGATCCAACCATCGTTAAGCTCGACCGCAACTATGAGTACTCTATCTGGATATCTTACGCGGAAGTATATAATGAAAAGGTATACGACCTTCTTGCTGAAGTGACAGAGGATACGTCGCGGTCACAGATCCCTCGCTCCAACACTAGCGCACAAGTCGCCCATCCGCTTCTGCTGACGCGTAAAGCCCTCGCCGTTAAACCTTCACCTGCCTCTGACGCTCTAGATGAGAGTGGGCCTGGAAGCGCGGGGAAGTATATTGCAGGACTGAGATATTTTCGGGTAACTGGTGCTGCGCAAGCAAAGGCACTTGTCAAGCTAGGACAGCTGCACCGACGTGTCTTCGGCACGCTGGCTAACAGCCAAAGTAGCAGGAGCCATGGTATGGTGACTATCAAGATTCTAAGAGGACACCGGGGTGACCGGGATGTAAGTACAGTACGGATCTTGGAAGTATGGTGTTGTTCTTCAACTTTTGCAGGACCCAAGTTCTCTGCAAATATCGCGGTTGACCCTCGTGGATCTAGCAGGATCGGAGCGAACCAAGCACACGCAGACAACTGGCGACCGTCTCAAGGAAGCCGGAAGTATCAACAAGTCTCTCATGGTCCTTGGGCAATGCATGGAGGTAGGTTGACTATGGTTTTGTCTAGTACCACACCTCACTATCCGTAGGTCATGCGTTCCAATCAAAAGCGCCTCGCACAAAGCCTAGCAAATCCTGGGCGGACGGATATTCGTGATGTTAAGAGGGCGTTGGCTGTTGTGCCATTTAGGCATAGCAAACTCACGGAGGTATTAATGGATTACTTTGTTGGCGATGGTCGAGTCGTAAGTCTTCGGCTTGGGCATTGTGCAAGTGGTTTATGGAGAGGTCATAATGATAGGTGATGATCGTCAACATCAATCCTTATGATACCGGCTTCGAAGAGAACTCTCACGTAATGAAATTCTCTGCGCTTGCGAGAGAAGTTTCGACGACCGTGAACAACGCACCTGTACCCCGCGTACAGACCAATCCAAGCAAGCGGAGTACAGTTGGCTCAGCTCTGCCCAGGGCTGTGACCAGGAAGGTGACGATATCGAGTCTTCTCCCTAATAAAAAGGTCAGCGAAGCACATCTCGAGGTTCTCGAAGGTGCGTTATTACATTGTAAATTTTACCCTTCATTAATCTGCTCCATATAGAGGATGAGGTGAGGGAAGGTGGTGAGAGTGAGGAGGAAGATGGTGAACCCATCAATCCGCTAGTGGATGCCTTGTTTGATGAAATAGAGGACTTGCGCCTGCGGGTACGATTCTATTACTAAGGGTCGATGTCTGTTCAACAAGACGCGGTTTTCACAGCTCTACGAGGCGGAGATGCGTTGTGTAATAGTCGAAGCAGAAACCCGCGAAGACGTTATGAAGGAAATGGAAGAAATGATGCGTGAAATTGAGAAGACTTACAGCCAGAGGCTTATGAGCGAGGTGAAGTTTGGACCTCGAGGGCAACACACCAACTTACAGCGTTTGTCAGGTGGAGCGAAACGAGCGGAAAATGGATGCCAAGATTGACATGCTGCATCAAGCTGGATTAATTGGATCCCCTCAAAAGCGTCGAGAGATAGTGGAGGAGGGCGAGGAGTCAGGTGAGATTGAAGACGAGGTGAGTTCAAATAAGATGAAGCGCCCTTGTCGGTTTGGAGTTGACTCCGATTTAGAATGTAGAAATTATCGAAGATAGCGATGAGCCGGCTGACTCCGAAGCAAGCCGATCTTCATCACCTCTTGACGGCAAGGGGAAGACCAAAACACAATTAAAGCTCACCTCCAACCGAATGTTAGGCACCGATCAAGAGGAGACCGATGCAAGTGCTCAAAGCGAAATCGAGCAAATCACGGAAGAAGAAGAGAGTGTGGAGGACGATCCAATTAGTGAAGATGACGAATCTGGCGACTACGCCCCTCCAGCTAAGGCTAAGTCTAGGCCGTTTAAAGTAGTCGCCAAACCTCTAGCAAAGGGGAAAGCAGGAATTCCAGCAGCCAAAACTAGTCGTCGATCAACCCGCACTGTGTCTCTGTTGGAGAAGCACATTAAGGATCTTTCTCTCCTGGAGGACGACACAGGTGACGCTGACGACTCCGTCACGATTCTACCCAATCGAAAGGCACGGGCAGCTTACGGGGGTCCCGATGTTGTATTCGTACCAGGGCAAGGCGATCTTGATACTACAAAGAGAAAGAAGAGGTGAGGTCTGTGCCATGAATTCGACAACAGACTGACAACTCCTCGAAGGCAACTGGGTAAGAAGGCTGTAGTGACTGAGGAAGAACTAGAACAAGTAGTTGGTGCCGTGGAGAAAAACGCGCAAAAGGGTGGAGAAAGCAAGAACATCAGGCGAATGCGTATAAGCTAATGGTTAATAATCTACTTATTTGTTTTCCCTTGAGAGCTTCGCAGACAACCGTGACCTGTACCAGTAGAATGTAATACTTAATGCTGTGTTTTTCTATCCTCGTACAAGTTGATGAGTATTTTATATTCGGCGTTACAGAACGAACGCAAATTGATGTAGTTAGTGTTGGAATAAAGGAGATTGTACGAACGCGTCGTTCATGTTTCTGATATTATCATGTGACGAGACGCGTCTAACTTGTATCACGTGAACGTGTTCAATACAATAGCCTTTAAGTTCCACATATCGTTCAACGTCTCGTTCACGACAGCGATCGCCTTTCTTGATTTGCCTTTGCTTGGACGTACACAGCTTGGATATGACCACTAATGGCGGTAGAGGTTCGCCCAGCAGACGCAAATCTATCGCGGTAGCCAACCAGAATCGACCTCTTCATCCAGGCAAGAAGCGGCGAGCACATTCTATTGCACCTGGAGACAAGATCAATATTGCTTCGAAGACACGTCGGTCACTGGTAAGTTATATGATCGACTGCTATTCGGTTTCCTTACAGTCCAACAGGCTCCCCGAAAAAGTATCCTCAAACCGGCAGTCAACATCCCTGAGGATGATGATGATGCCACGCAATCCATGGATCTGACCCATGTTCACGAAAACACGCGAAAATCTCTTGCACGGCGCGTTAGCTTCGCAGACCGGGCACACGTCCGGTTATTCGAAACACAGGAACAAAATACGAACAGCACCGCTTCCCCTCAGTCCTCGCCCGTGCAGGAGGCCGTTGAACGAGGCCCTACAGATGAAAATGCATATCCTGGAGCAAGCAAATTCCGTCGCCGAAGCTCAATTCGATCCATCGCTTTCAGTGATGGTGCAGGAGAGGAGTCCATGGATATGGACTCCGATGATACAGCTTTTGGGCCAGCTGCATATCTACGAGCTCAAAATGAGGAGTTGCTTATTAATGACGACCTTGCGGATGATGACTTCGACTTTGATGACGATGACATGGAGGTCACCGAAGCCATTCAGGTCGATATTCAAAAGCGACGCTCCTTGGCACTTGCTCCTTCTCGCCAACCACTTGCAGATGTAATCTCGTCACCAGACAATCATGACGGGGGTGGTCAGCAGCAGGCTCCTGCTGACCAGTCCTATACTGAAGATGATTCCCACCAATCTCAGTCATTCATATCTGAAGGCGATGTCTCTCAGCCAATGGAGTTCACTGTGCCACTCATCCGTCCACCAGCCCCCCCAAGTGAAGCCTGGCTTGCTCTTCGATCAGTCACCCACTCTGGTGAAACCCCATACGTTCCCTCATCCGACGAAGAGGACGGACATGGGGGACAGGACATGGAGATCACCGATGCTCTCACGAGGCTCCAAGCAGCTCGTGAATCCCTCGGGTTCGGAAATGGAATAGATGTTGAAGAATCTGGACAACAGAACGACAGCTTCAGTAGCTCTGAGGATAGTTTTGCGCAAGATGATGTGGGAAACGACGGCAACCAGACTATCAATGTCACCCAGCTTATGCGCCGGGTCAGTCTTAGTGCTGGCATCGGAGATGGGAATTCTACCGTGGAGATCACGTCCACGTATGACAGGCAGGAGGAGCCAAGCGAGGACCAGTCTGATGTTGCAGGCACGGACCTCTCGTTCCCCTCCGCGCAACCGACAGTTGAGGCTCATGAGGATATCGCTCAGATCGAACCACAGGAGTGTGTTCATGAGGAGCCAGTAGCCAGGCCTACCGTATTCAAACCTGCCCCGCCACCTGGGGAGATCCCAAATGCACTCACACCAGCTCCTGTTCCACGACCTGCTACGGTTCCCAAGCCATTCTCGTTTTCCTTCACGCCTCGCGGACAAACGCCAGCATCGCCAGTCCGCCCTCGTCCTCCTTCACCTACCAAATCACCGAGCAAAGCCAAATTTTCTGCAGCTTTTGCTCCTCCTGTTATTCGTCCCTCGCCAAAAAAGAGGATCCAAAGCGTGGTCGATGACTCAGAATCAGAAGACAGACCCAGTCCTGCCAAAAAGCTAGCTGGCCCCCGGAAACTGACTCCATCACTAGGTGAATTCTCCAAGGAGCAACCCATTCAGTCGAGCAGGCTTCCAAGGCTCTCCCCAAGCAAGAAGATACCATTCCAAGTAAATGTAGAGCCGTTTTCTGGCCCAAATAAACGCCCATCTATTGGATTTCGCCGTCCCTCGGGACACTTCGCGCAGAGGAAAAGCATGGGTGGAGCAGCCCCCGCCGCTTCTCCTGCTTCAGCTAAGAAAGCGGCCGCGTATATTGGCAGGAAGAGTATTTCCTTTGCGGGCGAAAAGGAGGGAGCTGTTAGAGAAACGACGGAGAAAGCGATTGTCTTAGAGTCCCATGAGGAGGTCAGAGCTGAGACCACACCTGCACCGCCGCATGACTCTCCAGCCAGAGAGTCTCCCGTTCATGAGATGCCAGGAAGGACTTCCCCGTTTGCTGACCTGCTCAGGAAATCGCTTGCGAGTGTATCCCCTGCACTTCCTTCCCCTCGACCTCAAAGCCCTTCACACAATTCACCTCGACCATCAACATCAGTACGCACATCCCCTCGGTCACCCAGCCCTAGAACAGAGCAGATACCAGAAAACCTTCCAGAGCCTGATTTCGAGGGGATGAAGGTAACCTCAGACCCAACGCCATTAGCCCTTATATCTGAGGGGATTTCCAACCCCATCCAGCAAGGGCGCGGAGATATTACTGAAGGAGACTTCCCTCCTGAAGACGGCCCACAAATCTCCATAGAGCAATTCTTTGAGATGACCGGGATACGATTCATGGATGAAATTGCTGCCCCCCGTCGCTCTACCGTACACCCGTCTGCCCTTCGTCCCTCCAGGCGACAGTCTACGGAAAGCGAGATCCCTCTATCTGAATATGTGGTCGCAATGGCAGTTGATGTGCCACAGCTAGAATTGTACACGCACGTTAGTAAAGACCTGCAACTCTGGATCGAGCGAATCAAAGGTATCTACAAAGAAGCAGAAGACGAGGCCCTCAAGATGACTCCTGAGTTATTCCAAGAATTTGTGCTGGCGGACGAGGAAGGCCAGAATGAGCTCCTCCATCAGCTGAAGCTCATCAAGGTCAACAAGCATGCACAGGCCAAGTCAGAATGGTACGACTGGAAGATGCAGTGGGTTGAGCAACTGTATGAGAAGGCGGATCAAGGGTTTCGAGATCTCGAGGCGGTATGCTCAGTATCCTTTGCCGTTTTTTTACGTTGATAATTTCGATGACAGGATGCCAAAGTTCTAGAAAATATCATCCGTCAAACCCAGGAAGTTGTGCCTGCTCTCAACGAGGAATACGAAAATCTTCTCCGCGAGTTGGAGCAAGAACAGGCTGACGTCGCTGAACTCGAGAACTGCGACCAAGACTATCTGAATGAGCTGAAAACGACCATTCAAGAACAAAGGTGAATATACTTCAAGTTTGATAGTCTTAAACTGGTTGATTGAGCGGTACCTTTGTAGTGTTGCGCTTGAAGCGTTCCGAGCGGACGTTGATGAGGGTAAAGCCAAACTGGATCGTCTGCAGGAAAAGCTGGAGGAAATTGGAGCTCAGAAGCTTGAAACCACCAATGCTATCCAGGTAGCTGAGCGACAAGTTCAGGTGCAGAAAAACAGCACGCATGCCGAAGTCTTCAGATTAAAAGGTAGCATATTTGTCTTTTCAAAAATCCTTTGCAATGCTAACGCGTTGCCCAGATGAACTAGAAGCCCTTCAAAATCTTCACATGCTGCAAGTCACAAAAGTCCTGCCAGAGCTTTTTGAATTCAAATATGCGTCATCTTATGACGTTTCCGTCCCATGCGAGAACTTTTGCCCAGTTGTCAAGGAGGTCTCGATAATGCGAGTCCAGAGTGCGAAGCTCAAGTACAAGGATGCATTCCCCGCTCTTAGTGCATTGATACTAAAGACGGCGAGCTCACTCATTACAAGATCCAATGGAGATCTCAGCGTTCGACAGGTAGGAAATTTGAGAATATCAGGCAAATTCATACAGAACTCAACAACTTTAGATCGTCGAATGTCTAGGAGACTACTGGTCTGCTTGCTCTCAGTTGCTGACCCAACTAAAGTTGGTCGCAATTAAGTACCCAGTCGCCGTCACTCACGGAGAAGACGATGATTCCGGGTTCACTGCAACTGTAACAATCATGCTCCCCAGCAAGAAGGCAAAGGCCTTGATATCTTTCATATTTGACACTCGGACATTCTCTTCTTGGCCAATATCAATCCAATCCATGCAATGCGACGTCAAAGTTGCATACGGTCCTGTTCAGTGGGTGAATTATCTGTCGAAGACTATCGACACTGATTACAGTTTTTAGACGGGATACCCTCCAAGAAGCCGTCCTTGGCAGATTAAAAGAGGCCACCGTAGCAGATAATTACGGCTGCCTCCTGGATGCGTGCACAGTCGCTTTGGACTGCTATGCATAATCTCGTCTTGGTTGGTTTATGTAACCTCTGCAGGTCAGATTATATCACCCATATGGTTATTATATCTTACAGGACTTGGGTGGTCGACGTGTATCATTAAAATCTATTATACATACATAATGTGTACCCTTCCATTGGTTTTAATGGCGGCAGACAGGCAGTTCATATTAGTACGTTCTTTCTGAGTGACAGCGAGAAGTATACAACATTCTCAAGGGAAGATTCGTTATGGCTAGATGATGGGTATTGTGTACCGAGCGCCAGTACATGGGCATAGACGTTAACGAGAAGAATAAGGGGTCATCTATGTAGTACAAATTGATCCAAGGAATAGATGAAACTCATAAGCATAAATCTGTAATTCGACGTTCAGAAAACTTGCTGTCAAGTCAGATTCCGATGACACTCACGCCGTTCAAGCAAGCAGGGACTGCATCTGCTTCTGGCTTTGATCCAGCATAGCCAGAAATACTTTCAGCGTCTCGCGGCTCGCCTGCAAAAATTCTTGTTCTACCTCCGTCTGCTCTCTGACAGAGCCCCATTCTACTTTAATCTCACGAGCGAGGGAACATACTTCCCATTTTTGCTGCTTCTGATTGAGCAAATCTGCCCACGATGCAGCAGCCTCTTCCTGTCCGCGTGCAAAAGCAGCGTTAGATGCCTGCTCACCACAAGCTTCTGCGTGGCGCAACTGGTCCTGGAGGGATGCGGTGAAGGCAGAGCGCTCCTCGTCCAGCCTTTCCCTCGCCTCAACGCTGATGTGTAGCTGTTGCTCCAGGAATGAGACTTGCTTCGCGAGTTCTTCAGTCTCCTGAACGCGAGAACGTTTTGCGGCATGCAGCTGCTCCTCCAGCTCCTGCAGGCGACCGAGGCGTTCCTTCGCTGTGTTCTCGGCGGATGCTACTTGTAAGCGAAGTAGAGTGACTGTGCCCGAGTCCATAGGAGCGGGAAGCTCCGTAGACGTATCGAACACCTGGTTAAAATGGTGCACTGCGGGCGAAGGTGTAACATCCGGTAATAAAACCTGAGATATCGACCCATAACCACCCGGCGATGGCAGAGCAGAGAGGCAAGGACTTTCAGGAACTTCAAGTGCAAGAACACTGACGTTCGGTGAAGGGCCAACTGGCGTGAAGGGCGCCTGAATCTCCGAAAGCATTTTTTCTACCTCTTCCTGTGCAATTATCTGTGATCCATCGTTTGCCAACTGTTCCCAAGACATTATCGAGCCGCGATTTGCACTATTGGCTTTGGGAGGGCGGAGGCCAGGTGTGCTCTGTGAGGTCGGAGGTGCAGGTGACAGGTAGGAAAGATTCGCTCGTGTAGGAAGGAATAGAGAGGGGCGCGAGGGCGTTTCAGGTTCTGACTCATTGTGTTGAGGTCGAGCAGCCCGAATCCTGGGGATCGCAGGTGTGGGTGCCCCAAGGGGAGCGGCAGGGGCAAGGAGAAGTTCCACATCGTCAGCTTCAATGGAATCTTCGCTGTTCTCCTCCGCAAGCTGCGACAGTGGCGTGGGAGTTGTACTTCTACCAAGGGTCGCAGTAGAATGTTGACGAGCGTGATGAGCAAGGGGTGACTCGGGTGCAAGACGACCGGTAGAACGCAGAGGGCTTGATGCTTGATTATTTTTTGAGCGTCCGAACCCAAAGCCACTCTTGGAGGGTGTCTGAGGTGAACCCTGTGAGCAAATAGAGCTACGAGAAGATGAAGACGACGAAGGCCGTGCAATGTTTGACTTGGAAGCAGACGACGTAGTGGTTGTCTTGATGTTTTTAGCTGGTCGCCCGGACTCTGCCTTGGCAGGCGAGGATTTCTTCGGTGTTGATGACTTGTTGATCTTAGAAGGTGTCGAAGGAGGCGTAAGGTTAGGCAAGTTAACCTTCACCGTAAGTGCTCTGTGAGGAAGAGGACTGATCGAACTCTTAGGCTTCTTCTCTTCCACGTTGCCTTTGGAAGAGACGCTATGGACCTTGTCCTCTTCCTCTGATGAGCTCAGCCGCCTGCGAGTGCCGGCACGAGCAGGAGAAACAGGTTTCTTTGGTAGAACAGACTCTATAAGAGTGGACTTGGGCCGATATTTCGGCAATGCAGACGATGTGGGTGCAGGAGCAGTCCTTGGGCGTAGCGAAGACGAACGCTTTATGGAAGGACTGACACCAACGGCGTCTAGCACCTTTAGCCCCATATCGTCACAAGCAGGAGCAGGTCTGAGGAGACCAGACTGTCTCCTGATACTGCGTGTGATGGTCTTGGATGGAGAAGCGTCCTCCTTGGCGTGCCCCGGAGTGGGGGACTTTGACTTTGAGGATACAGTGGCGTTAGCTTGGGGAATTGCGCTGGAATTCATGAGTGCAATAGCACTTAAACGTCTTGAAGAGTCCTTGGACTTCTTCAGGGCTTTCTCATTAGGCTTTTCGCGGTCGCGGGACTCCTTGTTGATTACATCCGCCAAGGCTTTTCCTACCGACGTGAAATTGAGTGAATGTCGAATGGAACTTCGAGTGATTGGTTTAGAAGGCCGTGATGGCTGGGTACTCGTTTCTGGCAACATTAGGGGAATTGGAGCTTCGTTATGATCTGCACTGTGAATGTATGGCTGACGTTCTTCCAACTCGAACCGAACCATTCGGACGCGTGTGGTCTTGTTTGCATCAGTGGGTCCAGATATGACCCCTGTCCACTCGATTTATTATTCTACGTACATAGATACATCACCACATAAATCTTCCAACTCCCGCTCGTTCTTTGTATAAAAACACATACATAGTCGCCACATTTATTACCATGTACCAAATGCCCTCGACAAAAATACCGTAGGGCTGCACATCCACAACCTGAGCCCTGAGCAAGATATATGGCACCAGGAAGTAACGCGGTTCCAGCAGGGGAGTAGGCAGTAATGTAGGCAAAATTAAAACGGGCAGGACCAACGTCTGCAACAGCGATTGATCACGGGCTGATGTATGACGTCCAGGGTCAATGACATCGATGTATTCTGGAACCTAGAAAAACGACCCACCAACACGAATCCACCATGCCCAGGCGCACGCTTGGTACCCCGGAATAAACAGGTAAGGTACTACCGCATGCAGCATGAATACTCGACGCCAGATATAGAAGGTGAAATGACGGTTATCAGACAGGAGGAATGGGTGATGAATACTATATTAGATCCGTGAAGGTTAGGTTGGTTATCAACCAGTAAAGGGAAGCTCACGTGAAACGCTGGATAGTAATCCACATGAAGATCGATATGATGACCGTCAGAAGCGTTCTCCTACGGCACATAATCCATATCAGCATCCACACGCTTGCTCATAATTAACCCGGTCACCGTTTATTCCCAAACATGCGCAAAATGACCTCGGTAGCAACCTTCAATGGGCCGCTTTCGCCATAAAGCACTGCCGGCCACCCGATCATTGTTGCAAACGCAATGAAGTAGTACAGCTGTGGCACGTGAAATGAAGGAATGTGATTGGATTTGTCGCCTATACATAACATTGGCGGCTATCTCGATAATTATGGCCGAGAAAAACGCACCAAGCACGATGCCATCGTTCCAAATCACAAAACCACCGAAAAGTGCGAGAACCACCGCATAAGGAATAAACGCGGGGAGCAACTCAGGTAGTGCTTTTGGGGCACTCAGTGATCGATCGAAGAAAGTCACCTGGAATCACGATATGAACCCATGAGCAGACATAGCAACCCTGCCGTCACTCACCTGGCCCAGCGCCCAAGGCGGGGGGATCGTGTAGTTCGGCTTGTCCAGGTTTGAATCGCAAACGCATGAGCTGGCTCGCTGCATATGCGTACAATACCCAAATAACATTGTTTTGACGAAAGAGGCAGCTCACAATTCCTAGCTAGGGACGCCCCTGGAGTTGTGAGCATGCATTCTAGAAAAACCTAGGACAGACTGAATCACGTACCAAACCAGCAAGCCAGTGCTTATTTTGCGTCGCAGCAACTACGGTACACAAAACAGAAACAAGACTTGGAACCTCTGTATAATATAGAAAACCAAAAAACCACGCTATTGGAAAGGTAGACAGAATAAGCGCCTCGATCGAGGGTGCTAATGTTGGTGGTGAACGACGCCGCTGATGGAACCCCAGCAACCGCGTGAGGACAAGCGGTAGCGCCAAGAGGGTAAGGGTAGTGGTGAGACGGAGCAAATTCAGGTTGCATTTGAACATAAAGACCCAGTGCAGCAACACACTGAGCATGTATCTGCGGGATAATCGTGTTGAGTCAGAGGAACAGTAGGAAATTGTGAACGACGTGCAGTCCCGGCGGTGTGGTAATTTTTGGGTCCCAAGTTGACCATTCACCCTCGCAGTAAGCCAATGCCTGCGGTACATGGAAAGGTTCATCCTAGATTATCATCAGAATTGCGGGTGAATCCAGTGAGAGGCTAACAACATGTAGTCACCATGTACGGCTCCGTAACCACAGCATTGAACTCCTTCAAGACGGCTACTGCGACACCGCAGTAGACTAGGTATAATACTCTCGTGTTCGAAGACATAGCGGCTTGCACGAGGAATATCTAGTAGGTAAGTAGTGTATGGATCGGAGAATCGCAGTCGACGCGGGTGCAGTACTACGAGGTCTAAACGTCATCCTCGGCTACTGCCACTGAGAGATTTCAAGTTACCACCATCAAGTCGCACCATAGTATGGTTTCATATTGCAATATAGATCTCATGCATACAATTAACACAGGTTGCACTCAAGCCCGCCAGTTCTCATTCAATATCATGTCACGATCCATTAAAGGCTGGGTATTTCAAGGCCTTCCAGAGCAGGAATCGGTCTCTCTGCCTGCGGGGTGATACGTGCACCGTGACGGCGTTCATTCGACTTTCCATAGTCAACAATAGCAGACTGGTGGATCGTGGTTAATGTAAGTCCAGCAAGGTATGACGCTCATATGTCAGACTTACATGTGCAGTGATACGGTTGTCCCAGAGCACGACGGTCCCAGGCTGCCATTTCACTCGGGCTTGGAGGTCTGCGCTCTTATCGATATGGTCGTAAAGGAACTTCAGGATATTCTCTAATCGCAGGTATCTATCAATGTCCAGTTGACATTCCCACAGTGATCAAACGCACCAGATTCCTCACGCTTCAGGCCAACAATACGCGTCGTGAACTGGCGGTTAACATACAATGCTTCCTCTCCAGTGACCGGGTGACGCCGTACGAGTGGGTGGACATGCTCCACTGGCTCACGTCTCACGATGCCGCCACGCTTGCCGGAGCGCGAGAATTGAGCCTGCTCGACCCCTGAGTGCACTGCACTGAGTGTGCGCAGGAAGGCGACAAACGACGGCGAGAGCTTCTTAAGAGTCGATATCTGGGACGTGAATAATGTGTCTCCCCCTGTCGTTGGCTGCGAGAGGAGGAAGAACGTTGTGAGCCCGGGGGGCTGCAGCTCGTACGAAACATCGGAATGCCAGACAGTCGACGTGATGCTGTCCTCCCTTTCAAAGTTGTAGGACGACTTTGCATCCCTGAAGCCCACAGTTAGTGAGTAATGAATAAACACGCTTGCACTACTCACTTGTACACAAGGTGAATTTGCGGATAATCCTTGGGGTGTCCAGACGTAGGATGAATGTGCAGCCTGCATGACAAATTAGTCAATAATCGTTTCAACACCAATGAAAATTCGACGTGTGGTGCATCAGGGGCACTTGCCCAATTGAGCAGACAAAGAAGAAGCACAACAAACCTTCCAAAGTGTCGTCCCCACTCTAGGTACGAATCAGGCCCTCTATCTATAAACTCGTGCTGGTCCCTAAAGACCATAAGTCCCCTTCTTGCAACCTTACAGACAATAAGCGACCATAGTCATATCACGGAAATTGGCATACTTCGAGCGCAAGTTGGTCCCTTCCCTCACTATCAAGGGTCGCGAGGTTCACACCATGGACCTCTGTGCCCAGATTGGGCGTCAGTTCCACCACGTTGGTCGCATTCTTAAGGAATGCACGAGGATCTGCATGCTTGAGTGCGCGGAAGCCTGGATCTTCGTGTTTGAAGGGTGTAAGCGGTGGGTATTGTTCAGGTGAGAAATGGGGAAGCAAATTGGCATAGGAGTATGATTCTGTCTTCTGCTCTTGGTCACCTCCGCGGAGGTTGAGTGTCGACAGGGTCTGCGAGGCTTCAGTAACCGTTTCGACAGCGGACATACTTGCGGCAATGCACTTTACGCTCAGTGACAAGTGACAGTGAGGTGAGAACCACGTAGGAAACTAGAATTTGATTTTGTAGCACCGGTCTGGTATTCGCAATCCTGAGCACGAAAGTCGCAATTAACGGCGCGTGATGTCTTATATTTTTGGTGTTAGGAACTAAGGAAAACCTTACTGCAGATACGTGACCAGGTCACCGGGCAGGTAGTCATGGCTTATTTGAAGACACGACTTGCATCGATGGCAAGCCCAGACTAGAGGAAACGTGTTATAATAGATCCCTTCGTGTTTTTTGGTCTACCAAATATATGGTGTGAGAGCATGACAGGCTCACCTTAATGGCGTTTTCTGATCTCGATTTTTTGTGTCATACGCTACCCCTCCACGCACATGCAAGTGAGCTGGGATACTGCATGTATGTGTAAAGTGATTGCAACCACGCACCTTCGCTGTCCTTCGACATCCGTAGTAGGATGATGAGGGTTTAGAGCAATTGGCCAGTGAATGTTGAATCATCACCACACAGCTATTTAATGCAACGATTGAGTACCTACAATGTATAGACCCAGTGAATGCGCGATATACTAGATGTACCCGAGTGTTCGACAGTTTCATGTATTGCTCTCGATCCACAACACAAAACAAATACCGGATAGTTATTGGTAGATATATTAACATCTCAATAACATGGCCCAATTTTTTATATACAGAAAAGTTGATCAGTTGTGTACCTGCAGCATGTCCGAGCACCTTTAGTCTATCTCACCTAGTGTTCGTGCATTTGTCACATTGCGTCACAGGTTGCCGACATTGCCGATTGGAAGTCCGCCGCGCACGCAAGTTCAAGTTCAAGGCTTTCGCTCAATATTCAATGACAATAGAAATGATAACACGTATGTATATTATTGATTTGAATGAGTGCATGTGGTGGTGATGCTACAGTGTGTGCGAGTATGAGAATATTGTAGTATGTGCGTGAATTAATCTGCGTGATGATATGGAAACATAAAAGTGTTGATCATATGAATAATGGGGTACTATGTTACCGCGGACTTCGTGATTAGTGTCATTAGGAGGGAGTTAACTGTTGTCATTTGTACCGTGAGTCGTAATATGTATGTTTGAAGGTCCCGCAATTGGTTGGTTCATCTCAGTAGCATCACTCGAAGGCTGCCTATGACCATCAACATCGAGTCTTCGGCGTGTTAGTTGCAGGTGGATGCATAGAGGACTCGGACTCAACATTCTCGTTTGATGTTGTCGTACTGGTCAGATGTGCGCGTTTTTGTCCACGTGTACGGCCGTACAACCCAGTAAATTTGGGGTCAGTCTTGAGGGCAGGATTGTTATTGAGGTGCAATTGAGGTGCGCCTGAAACTTGGTGCCATGAAAACTCCGTTGCGGCATGGCGGGACTTTAAAACGATGTAACGTCTTCAAGTGGTAGATTGTCACGCCAGATAACATATCCTTCACTTGTGCATCAGTAGTCCAGCTGGCAAATCACCCTCGGATATTGTCATTTTAGCTAGATATCTGTCAGAACCAATGTTCTAAGCACTTCCGAGGTCAAGATTGGTGTAAGTTTGCCTTCCCGATGCTGATCAGTGTGCCAAATTGTCTCCAAACGGTATATATTGTATCATAACACTTGCACAACACAATCATTTAAAAAATAAAAGACATAGAACTACTTGTTAACAATGCAGGACTATTTGATTACAATAGAAAACAATCTGCAGTGTGAGCACGAACTGGTACATCTAGTAATGCTGCTTAGCGTGAGATTCTTCACGCGTCTCCATCACGTGATGGAAATCACTTAAGTGATAAGATAAGATAACGGTACCAAACACTAAGTTCGGAAGCAATACGCCTTATTGTCTTTGATCCTCAACCAAATTGATGAAGTTCCTTCGGTCACAACAATAGCAACTCTCACAAGACAATAAGCATTTCTTGAGCCGCATCTCGACATTTCCGGCTTCACACAGTATGAGCTAACGTCACTCGATAGGTTCCCCTAGCTCTAGCCGCGTGTTTCAATGCCTCATGGCTACGAGTCTATCGCGAGTGCCACTTTGTCGTTTGACTCTTTGCATGATAGCATATCAGCAGAGAACATCGGTGGCATCTTTTAAGTGCAGTGGGTTATTAATCAGATGAGTCACGAACAATTGAGTTTTGACATGCCGATCACTGCCCGGGCCTTCTCCCAGCTTTTTGTTTTGCAATAGACCATGTCATATTAGGCTTATTGTATGGTATGCTTCCAGGGCGGAACTCTTCCACAAATGGCCCTAGCTTCCAAAATAGATGGTGTCACCACGTCCACAGTGGTATGATCGGCAAGTTGTGGACGTTCCGTCCGCCCTCAAAAGGCCGCCAGATCTCCTGGAATCGTTAGGAATTTATTCTCTCCCCGTACTCGCACTACCTTTTGCTGAGCCTTCCTTGTGCTCTTTGCCAGTGCTTGCCTTTCTTTCTCACAGCGCTACCCTCCCCTATTAGGTCTCGACATGGAGACTAAACCATACAGCAGCGCGACGAACGTTGTTGCTCTTCAGAACCTTCGCGCCAGAGGCGTGCCCGATGTTCCCGAGGATGTCGACTTTCTCATGGAGCATCTCAATGACCCTAACTTTGATTACTATGCCGCACTTCCCTCTCCTACCTCATCCACCACTGAGGTGCATGAGCTTGAGCCCAAAAAGATAGCGATGTCAGAGTACTCTGGCGGCGCCTCGGACTTCGATGTCGAGTCTCGAGTTGAGTCTACGCGCTACTCAACAGCTTCGAGAACTACCACAACTTCAACATTCGAATATGACGAGTGAGTCCTATGGTGTCTTGTTACTGCTCTGCTGACCGCCATATGACAGCGAGTCACCTTACCCTGAAGTTCGTGCCGCTGTGGCTAGCATTGACGACCCCACCATGCACGTCAATACGTTCCGCATGTGGTTCTTGGGTATTTTCTATACCGTCCTCATCTCGGCTCTTAACCAGTTTTTCTCCATGCGCTGTAAGTTGACATTTTCTCATCTCCCTTGATTCCGTTTGCTCAAGTCACTCTTAGACCCTTCCATTATTATCACTGCCATCATTGCTCAGTTGACCGCCCTACCCCTTGGCAAAGGGATGGAGCGAATCCTCCCCACTACACGCTTCAATACCATGGGGTACACCTGGTCATTCAACCCAGGACCATTCAACATTAAAGAACACGTACTCATCACTGTCATGGCGAACGTTGTAGTCAGCGGTGCCTATGCCACCGACATTATCGCGACTCAGAAGGTCTTCTACAATCAAACCCTCACTACCTCCTATCAACTCTGCCTTGTTCTTTCAACGCAACTCATCGGTTTCTCTATGGGTGGCCTTCTTCGTAGATTCCTTGTTTGGCCCAGTAGCATGATTTGGCCTGGGGCACTTGTCACCTCCGCTCTGTTCAACACACTACACAAGTCATATGGCAAACATGAGAGTCGCCACATCTCCCGGGAGAAATTCTTTTGTATTGCACTGGGATGCAGTTTCGTATGGTACTGGGTACCTGGATACTTGTGGACTGGACTGAGCATATTCAACTGGGTCTGCTGGATTGCACCTAATAACGTGGCCGTGAACGCGCTCTTTGGCACGTCCACTGGTCTTGGGATGGGCATTCTTACTTTTGACTGGTCCATGATCGCGTACGTCGGAAGCCCCTTGGTGACGCCTTGGTGGTCTGAAGCCAACACGGTCGTTGCCCTTGTGATCTGCTTCTGGATCATTACGCCGATCATCTACTGTATGTTCTCTCCCCCTTTCATCGTGTAATGCACTCAGAGTATCTCGCAGTCACCAACACTTGGTTCACCGCGTACTTGCCAATCTCCTCCTACTTGACTTTCGACAACACTGGATTGCAGTATGACGCTGCTCAGGTGGTCGCCAATGGCTCTTTCAACGTTGCGCAGTACGAGGCTTACTCGCCCGTCTTCATGACAGCAACCATGGCTGTTGCATATGGTGTTGCATTTGCCGCTTTCTCCTCAGTAGTCGTGCACACATTCTGTGAGTTCCTTTAGATCTGCTTATTGCCCCATTCTGACGGCCTTATCGCAGTGTGGTACCGCCGTGACATCGTTCGCCGCCTCAAGAGCAGCCTGAGAGATGAGCGTGATATTCATTCGCGCCTGATGCAGGCATACCCCGAAGTTCCTCAGTGGTGGTATGTTATCCTGGGCCTCGTAATGCTTCTCCTCCTCTTTATCACGGTGGAGATTTTCCCCACGGATCTCCCCATTTGGGCTGTTTGCGTTGCTCTCGCTCTCGCTGCACTCCTCGCGATTCCGGTCGGCATGCTCCAGGCAATTACCAATCAGCAGATCGCCTTGAACGTTATGTTCGAGATGATCGGTGCCTATTTGCTTCCTGGCAAACCCATCGCTGTCATGATCTTCAAAGCAAGCGCATACATGGGTACAAACCAGGCGGTTGGCTTTGCTGGTGACTTGAAGCTTGGTCATTACATGAAGGTGCCCCCGCGTCTCATGTTCACAGCACAGGTCCTCGCTGCCTTCCTCAGTTCCATCGTTGTCACCCTCGTGCAGGACTGGATGTTCGCCAACATTGTGGACATCTGCACACCCACACAACCTCAGTTCTTCATCTGCCCGTCTACCAGCACCTTCGGAAGTGCGTCGCTCCTGTGGGGAAGCATTGGTCCCCACCGTCTCTTCAGTCCTGGTGCTATGTACAGCCCATTGCTCTGGTTCTTTGCCATCGGTGCCTTCCTCCCCATCCCCTTCTACTACCTCGCTCGCCGTTTCCCTCTCTCTTACTGGAGATACATCAACATCCCAGTGTTCTTCGCAGGCATCGGCGCCATGCCTCCTGCCACTGGCATCAACTTTGCGTCTTGGGCAATTGTCGGCTTCATCTTCCAGTGGTCCATGCGCCGCTACCACTTCAGGTGGTGGATGCGCTACAACTACATCCTCTCCGCTGGTCTTGACGCAGGCGTCACGCTCAGCCTCATCGTCATCTTCTTCCTTCTTCAGATGCCGAAAGGTGGAATCACCCTCAACTGGTGGGGTAACACTGTCTGGCAGAACACTGCAGATGCAATGGGCACGCCCCTCTACGTGATGCCTCCTGGCCAGACATTTGGCCCTTCGACTTGGTCGTAAAAATGTCACATTGGATGGATAGTCTTTGTATCACTATGTGTAAAATCCCCCCACTGCATGAGTCACCACACCCATTTCTTTCACACCGACCACAGCACTGTCTTTAACACGTGATTATTATTCGTTGCATCACTTTCGCATTATATCTTCGCATTACCATTATTTTCTTCGGGTTCTGGTGACTGCATCAACGCACTTGTATGTACCGATGACACAATGAAACAATATGATAAAAACATTGCCCGATTTTGCGCTGAGTTTTATAGTCGAGGCAGACCATGGACAAATGAAGGTTAACGTTGTGACACGTTCCTTGCTGCTCTTGCAATACCATACCCCGATGACAGTCTTCAATGCTTTCAAAGCTTTACATATCGGCCTCACCGCAAATTTTAAGTTGCGAACCAAAGCCAATACAACGACACGATGAAATACAGCACGAATAATATTGATGAGAACAAGAAAAGTGATACACTTAAGCAGGCAAACCCCAGATCCTGACTTCCCTTCCGCTTGTAGCCCAGATCTCCTTGCCCAGCTCTCCAAACACCATATCCGACACCTCACCCGCCTCCTCGAAATGTACAAGCTCATCCCACGACTTGTGAGCAAACACACGGATGCCTTCGCTGCCCGCGACTCCTAAGTACTGTGCGCTGTAATCGTACAACACCTTGTTGACCTTAAACCCTTCCCCGAGAGAAATGGTGTGTGCTGTTTTCATCTTCCTCAGGTCCCAGATGGCGACGGAAGAGGGGCTGTCGGGAGCGAGGAGATGGTAGCCATTCTCTGAGAATGAGATTGAATTGACGGTGAAAGGCGAGACATCTGGTGGTGTGATGGATGCAGCTATGTTACCGGAGCGAACGTCGCATATTTGGATCTTGGATGAGGGAGTGCCCAATGCAAGGAGAGCACCGTCAGGATGGATTGCAAGGGATGTGAAAGCATCTTCCCCAGGGGCTGACCGGTACACCTGGGTAAAGTTGGAGAGTTCATGGAGCGAGTATGTCTTGTCGAGGGAAGACAATGCAAAGATGGAGTTCGTGGGATGTACAACGAGGCCAGTGAGTTCTCCCTTGTGCGTCCGAATGGTTGCTTTTGGTATGTACTCGCTAGAGGCGCTATCATGCGCCCATATTTTGGCAATTTTATCTGCACCTGCAGACAAAATCAAAGTCGATTCACCCTCGTGCTCGCGGAAAGCGACGTGGTTGACTTTCTTCGTGTGACCTTTGAGGGAGGCCAATACCTTGTCTGTACTTCTATCGTACAGCTGGACAATTTTATCGTTACCGCCCGTAAGGAACTGAGCCGGGTTAAAACGGGAAACGGCAAGAGAAGTCATGCCAGCAGGAGAGGCCGAGTGCAATGATGGAATGGTGTGTGTTGCAACGAATGTCTTCACTTCTGCAGTACCCGTGTAACCAGCTGGAGCTTTGCGCTTTTTACGGGTAGCAGAGAGATTTTGCTGGGTCTCATCGATCTGGTCGACGATCTCTTTAGGGAGAGCACCTTCCTGAGTACCATTTTCTTCAGTCATTTCCACGTCTTCAGCCGCACCGCTTGCTGGAGCGATTCCCATAGTTGCCTGGACATTAGCCAGAGCTCTGAAACAAGGACAAGACGTGTCAGCCTGATGTAAGAAAGAGTATACTTGGAAAGCGCGTACTCTCTGGCAGCATCACGTTCTCTTATGAGACGGGCGATGACGCGACTGGCTGCATCTTGTGCGTATAGAGCATAACTTAGCTCCTGGCGAGTGGAGTTGTACTGTTGCTTCAAGGCAAACGTCTCCAATACTAATGCGTCCCACTCATTTTGAAGCATGTGCAACAGAGCCGGAGTGGAAGTTGCGGCGGGAGGTCGTGGTGGCGCAGTTTTAGGGTCTGGTAGACACGAATTAGCGAGTGTGAATTGAATTTTTCGGATTGCAGCATTCACAAAAAACCCAACGGTACATGCTGCTGCGAGAAAAGTGACAATGAAAAAAACTCACTGGCTTTGACAGTCAACAAGTCAGACTCCTCAAGCTTCTCCCCCGTCAATGGGTCGGTGCCATTGTCGTTAATGTATTTAAGAATCAACCGACGTTCATAAACTTGGCCGGATTTTGAAGAGATGACCGGGTCCTGAGGAGGTTCGCCAGAGATACTACAGAAAAACATGGCTGCCTATATGAACGAAGACCGTCGTTCCTTAACCTTCATGAGTTGGAAATGTTTGTTGATACTTATTTGCCACATACTAGATCTACGGATACCACTAACATGGCGGACAAGAAGCAGCAGCTCGTCCTGTCCATAATCGACTTTTTGAACCAATCCATAGATGATGGCACTGTCAAACAAGACGACAGGGAAGGTCTTGAAGTTGCCAGTACGTTTTGTGTCTTCGTTCGTCTCTTTTACGTTCTGTGGCTCATTGACGCGTATTCACGCAGTTCAATGCATCGGCGAGGCATTTGGTGTCGATCCGTCCGACGACAAGCAGCGGCAACGCCTGGATATTAAACCAGCGAAGCTACAAACCATATTCGATGTATTCTTGAAAACAAGAGACAAAGTAGCATCTTCGCCGGCATCCTCATCCACACCCTCTGCCCCTTCAGCGGAAACAAAGGCCAAGGCTGAGAAACTTAAGCAAACGGGAAATACGCACATGACACTTAAGAAATATGACGAAGCCATTGACGCGTACACCAAAGCCATCGCGCTCGACTCTGCCAATCCCGTCTACTACTCTAACAGAGCAGCCGCATACGCTAGCAAAGGCGACCATGCATCTGCAATCCTCGACTCTGAAAAAGCCATCGAAGTTGATCCTAAATTCGTTAAGGCCTACTCTCGTCTAGGGTAAGTATCCGCTATCGATTTCCACGTAATTCGATCTCATTCCACCGCTCCACTAGGCACGCGCAATACACTTTAGGAGACTACAAAGCTGCTGCTGCCGCATTCAAGAAGGGAGTTGAGCTCGACCCCACAAACGCCAACCTGAAATCTGGTTTACAAAATGCCATGGACCGCATTCCTTCTGAAGATGATGAAGATGATGATGGTCCGCCACCACTCGTGCCTGAAGGGGACATCCCATTGTCAAATGCGCGCGCTGGCCCAGGTGCGGGTGCAGCCGGACTCGGTGGTATGGCGGACATGTTCCGCAACATGGGGGGAATGGGTGGGGCAGGCGGCATGCCCGATCTCGCTAGCCTCATGAATAACCCCATGATGATGCAAATGGCACAACAGATGATGGCCAACGGCGGAATGGAAAGGCTTATGTCGAATCCAAATGTCGCTAACATGGTAGGCATCTTCCCTCTCTTGTATATTTCAAGTAGTCATTTCGATCATTCTTTATTAGATGAATCGGATGCAATCTGGTGGAGCTGCGCCCTCTATGGAAGAACTTATGGCAGATCCAGAGCTGAGGAATCTGTGAGCTGATATCCACCTGTCCGTCATGTAATTTTGAGCTCACCTCGCCGCAGCGCCGGCCAATTTGGAGCTGGACGGTGATTCAATGAAGATAACGTGTTCGGGTTTTTGAAATAACAAGAACATATGTACAGATAATTTCCTACGGAATCGATTCATGATGACTTTGTTACACTCTTTACACCCTCGCAAATGTACATGTTGTCAGTTCGAACTGTGTATAGATACAATTAGGAACGGTGGGATCTACACCAAATATTACACATAGCAATTATAAAAGTACGCCGTAAATCTGCGATGCAAACGAATGGCGAGCTGATAGGAAAAAGCAATAAAAAACCGAGCAATGTGAGGAAGAGCGCAAAGAGACGACAAGCAAATGAAAGCAATAAAGATACACCTAATAATTCAATAAGACGAAAGACAATACCGAACCAATGAGCAGGCCCAGTATATGTTGGGGGTGGGTCGCAATTATGAGACCAGTAAAATATCGGTGCATGCTGATTTTAGTCAGGAGCCCACGCATTATGCAGATACATGCCCGGGAGAGCAGCTCTGCGAAGGGGTGGGAGCAGGAAGAGGTTTGTGCGTTTGAGTCTCAGGGGGTTGTGAGCCGGTGCCATCCTTCCGCATCTTCTCAGCCAATTTACGACTCAGGGCAGGAGGTACCAGATCCAGCTGAACCGGAAGATCTGTAGGGTGACCCTAACATATTCGGTTAGACTCGGGTTGATATTGCGTGAAGTTAACTTACATGGGCTAGATGATAACGGAGTCCACTGAGTTGCTTGTACCGATTCGGGCAGCCTTGATGCGGGCAAGCATATTGCTTTTTAGTCTTATCATCACCTTCGCCAGGGGATGCCTCCACCAAGGGCACAGTGAGGCCATCGATGTAAGAGGTGACGAAAGTTGACACAATAGCGTGTTGGAAATGGGCCTTAGATCTAGGTCATAGTTAGTATTTTCGGCGATGAGAGCATGCATAGGTTCGCACATTTGTAAATGGTACTGTAACCCGTTAATACTCTGCCGAATAGCATCATTAATATAGCTCTCAAGGACTTCGGGACCGAAATGACGTACCTTCCAAGATTTTCCGCAACCGTCTAAGCCACATCTGTACGGCCTCTCTCCGCCAGAGTCTTCTGGATGCGAACTCTTATTGTGGTCCGAAAGACCTCGCGAAGTAGTGTAACAAACAAGGGAACTCGCCGCGGTCACCGGCCAGCAGCTCTCGTGACCGCACGCATATGGCTTTATAGAGGGGCTAAGAAATGACATCGCGTTAGTCAATTGCGTCACCTCCATGAGAATATGACCTACTCATTTGTAGCGGGCAAGTCAGAGGATAGCCTCAGGGGAGCATGAATATCAGTACGCTTCCGTGAGAATGACTGCCGGGGCCGTGCAGTTGGGCGAGGATTGGGGTCATCAGGGTTCGGTGACGAAGTATCCTGGGGAGGGCCGCGTTTCGCACCTGACCCTGTGGCCTTGGGGAGTACACTGGTAGTGAGTAGATGCGTGTGCGCGGACGAGCTGATAGATGCTGAACGCTGGGCGGATGGTGCAGGATGGAAGTTAGGTGAGACGTTGGGCGGTGGACCTGAATCAACAACAGGCATAGGAGCCCGGTGCCCGTTGGGCTTTGGTTCGTTCGATAGCGGATGAAATTGAGGCTGCAATTGTCCTTTGAGCTGTGACTGATAATAGTCTCCACGAGCTTCAGGTGCTGTCGTGGTGGGCTGCGACATCGAGCTCATGTCTTGGTGCGCAGGCACCACGTGTGTAGAGGGTGAATGGTACTGGTTGCAGGGTGTCTGGCGCAATGCACCGTCGATAGGTGAAACGGGGGAACAATTGTCTGATGAGGATGAAGACGGAAAATACTCGCGGGGAACGCTGCAGATGGGGGATGAATCGGGTGATGACATCACAACATGCTGGACATCATGCTCAAGCTGTTGGCGATGATGAACTACGTAGTAGCTGTCAGTCGCCTCGTGGGTTGGGCCTAGTGCCGTAGGGACCAATGCGGCGGAAGAACCCTGAGAAGCGGCTGGATAACACGAATCCCGAGACATTTGTGATGGAGAAGCCTCTTCATCACAGATCAATTGATGGTGGCACTCGTTATGACGAGGAACAGGCGAATAATACTCCGAAGCACGTTGAGCAGGAACGGGTGTATGAGATGGTACAGGTGTGGGAGCGACGCTCCTCTGGATCTCATTATATTGATGTTGCGTAACGTGGTCCTCATACACAGGGCGATGTCCAACGGCATAGTCCGTAGCTTGCGTGGCGCTGACAAGAGATGGATCGAGGACTACCCCATAGTCAAAAACCGCGGGCGCATTGCCGGCCGGCGGAACGGAGGCAATTGGGTGCGGGGCGGCGTGAGTTTCCCCCGTTTGGTAAGAGCCGCTAGGGGCCGCGGTGCTTTTGTCATACCTCGTTGCAAATGTGTGTGGAGAAGACAAGGCCGAACTTAATGATGAAGACGAATAATGAAATGGGGGTGGAAGATTGACAACGTGCTGTATCGACTGTGGACGGGAAATCGAGGGTTCTACACTGCCCAACAATCCCACGTCATTGTGAGACCTTACATGGCTATGTTGCTGTCCAGATGCTGGGGATGGACCTCCGTCAAACTGAGATAAATTTTCATCCCAAAACTGCCTGGGATTGAGCATGGGTGGAGGTGGCCAAGGTGTGGGATCGGGGTACGTTAACATAGGACTTGATGGTTCTGAAGACATGGTCAACGGCAGTTTTGAAACCGCGACACCCTGAGGCTCGGTTAAGATGTTTCTTTTTCGCTCAAGAAGCCTCCACCTAAGGAAAAGCGGCCGTCAGTTACGTGAGAATTATGTATACGTGCGGGAGAAACAGCACCTGTTACGGCAGGCTAATCCGCTACGCTGTAACTCCTGGCCGACTTGGCCCCATCGCCCAGCCAAACGTGAGTACGCGTCAAAGAGTTTGTCATCCTCTTCCTTGGACCATTCGTCACGTCTGAGGGAAGGGTCGAGCGCCTCACGATAGCGTTTTGAACAAGCATCGTCGGTACGACCGGGTATATGTCTCGCGATCACAGACCATTTTGTTGAATGAACTTTGTAGAGTTCCAAAAGTAGATGGTCTTCTTCTGGCGTCCAAGCAGATTTCTTCACATTCGGTGATAACGAATGGAGCCATCGCTGTTTTTGAACGTATTGGGAGAACTGAATTGGGATTATGAGATCATCACTGACCTTCCTGCAGGCCTTATTGGTCCTTTCCGGGACACAGTGGGCGACGGCCTTCCAGTTATCTGACTCTCCGTGGATTGCGACAGCATTGGCAAGAAGACGGTCCTCTTGAGCAGTCCATGGCCGACCGACGATGCGCTCGGTCATGATAAAGCTTAAGTAAGATAATAGGAAGAAGTCAGAAGAAAAATGAGGGGTTCAGTGCTAGGCCTCGAGGAAGAAAGACTGCATCACACAAATCAATTAGACAACAAATGAAAATCTCCAATCACCACGAAATTACATAAAGGTCTCACCTTTCTTTTGGAAGTTATTTACCACGCCTTTCTCCTTCGTTGAGCACCAACTACTGACTGTCAGTAACGCCAGTCATGTCTGCTACTTATTCTTCAGACGAGGACACTATAAATGATGCATTTGGCCTGTCAAAACTTCCTGCCAGCAAAAAACCACGCACGGTCCAGGACAAACTCGTGTCTCAGGCCGCGCCTCATGTTCTCGCTGAAGTGAGTCTTTCAAATACTTCATTCATGCACCATGTCACTCATTGTGCCCTTAGGACCCTCTAAATCAAACATCACTAGTGACACGGCCGACGGACACGCAGATGAATGTTAACATTCCCTACAGCGAAATGATGTTGCCGCTCCAGGGTCCCGAGAATCCATTCGGTGATTCAAACCGGTTTATCAATCAGAATGCACTCGCGGGCCATGTGGAAGAACAATCCATGTCAGACCATGCGTTCAAGGCCCAGCATCTGACACATTCTATCCTCGGCTACTCGGTCAATCCGTCGATCGATCCAAATGCACCGTCTATTCTCGGCTCAGTCGAAAAGGCCCGCGAAAATGGCTTTGCAACAATTGATACCTTACGAGCTACCAGCTCTCAGAAAAAGGAATTGAAAAGAAAGAGAAAGAACAGGGGAGATCTTGATGTCGTCGAGGGTGAAGGCGCATATGTTGGACCTTGGGCTGCATGGGATGGAGAAGAGGAGATTGGATTCTTGGATGGTGTTGAAGACACTGGTGATCAGCCGCAGGAAGAAGAGGAGCCCGAGCCGGTAGTTGCAAAGAAGAAAGCGAAACCAAAGCTTGGTGCCTATGGCCAAGAAACCTCCGTCTTCCACGGAAAATCTATGACCGACTATCAAGGCCGAACATATATGCATCCGCCTCTGGCGGAAGCGCCTCATATTGCCAGTGAGGTAGGCTCCCAAGAGACATTTATTCCAAAGACGTGCATCCATACCTGGACCGGTCATACGCAAGGCGTCTCAGTAATCCGATTGTTCCCTGAAACTGGCCACCTCCTTCTTAGTGGATCTATGGACACAAAAATAAAGGTACGCTAATTTTTTTAAACCTATTCGGTCCTAAATCGACTCACTACCGCTAGCTGTGGGACGTGTATACTCATGGAAACTGTCTCAGGACTTTCCATGGCCATGTACAGGCCGTTAAAGATGTCACGTTCTCTAATGATGGCCGGAAGTTCCTGTCGTGTGGATATGACCGCCAGATGAAACTATGGGATACCGAGACCGGCCAGTGTCTAAAGCGGTTTAGTAACGGCAAGACTCCCTACGTTGTGCGCTTCCATCCGGATGAAGATAAACAACATATATTCCTCGCTGGTATGTCGGATAAAAAGATTATTCAGGTACGTTCTCCTGCCTATCTCGGGCTAAATTGACTATTGAATCCGACTATGTAGTATGACATGAATTCCGGGGAGATAACCCAAGAGTATGACCAGCACTTGGGTCCTGTCAATACTATTACTTTCGTTGACGAGAACCGACGTTTTGTCACGACGTCGGACGACAAGACCATCCGTGCTTGGGATTACGATATCCCAGTCGTGATAAAGTACATCGCAGAGCCTCATATGCACTCAATGCCAGCAGTAACGCTTCACCCTTCAAGTACGTTTCATTTTTTTCTCATGTATTAACCATTGATCCGACACATATTTTGGTTATTGTGTTTGTAGAAAAATACTTTGCTGCCCAATCATTAGACAATCAAATTCTTATCTACAGTACGGATAATTTCCGCCAAAACAGGAAGAAAAGGTTCGCGGGACATTCCGTGGCTGGGTATGCTTGCCAGGTTGGGTTCTCTCCAGATGGCAAGTGGATAAGCAGTGGTGACGGCGAGGGGAACGTGGTGTTCTGGGATTGGAAAACGGGGCGTATTAAATCCAGGCTACAGGCTCACTCGAAGGTTGTTATCGCACATGAGTGGCTACCACACGAGTCGGTAAGTTTGTTCTGTTTATTTTGTTTCGGTACCGATGCTAACTATGTATGCAGTCTAAAGTTGTGACGGCCTCGTGGGATGGCTTGATAAAGCTATGGGTATGTCCCGTCTTCGATTTTGATCTATCCATTGTAACGCTCGATATAGGACTGAGTATTTCAATACTCGCATCTATTGTATTCTATATGCATAGCCGCATGACATCATATTTTTGTTTTACCTGTCAGGTGTTGTAAGTCGTACATCGGCGCTGTGATGGACTAGGTACGTGTGGCCACAATCTAGTACCACATCGGACCGGTACAAAATGCTGTGGATCCGATGCCATACTGCCAGGAACAGTGGCTGGCCGTTGTTCGCGCGACAGGAACAAGACTGATGGAAAAAGATGGAAACCGTAGGTGCTTGGCAAATTGGAAGCTCGTTTGCCTCGATGATGAATTCTTTAAGCTGACAACATGCTTCTAGTAGGGTCTCGTCCAATCCATCGCCGTGTGGGTCAGAGGTACTACAAGTGTCATCGGAGAAGTCATAAGCTATGTGCTTCGTTATGGTGATTGGGTGATTAAACGGAATGATAACAGTTGTCAGGCTCGGTGAAGATCAATAGCGGATTGGTGCTTCGAGATACATCCCGAGCAAGGTAACCCAATTATGAGCTAACGAATTCCAACAAGCTTTTATGTTTACGTTCTCGTACGCGGCAAAGGTAAGTAGTTATCAATACGCTTTTGAATTTGAAGCTGAGCGCTGAGCCTTCCTGGATAGGTGCCGAGTGGTGTTATGATTGCAACGGGAGAAGTTTATAAATATTAGCTCCCAGTCCCGAGGACCCCGGGGTATATGTATGATGATATCTAAGATGTGAGACTGAAAGCTATTAATCGAACATGCACACCCGGTCACACTGACCGCTTCAAGGCTGTACGACAGTCAACGTTAACATTGCACATTAACATTTTGCAATAATACGAACCAGATACGGCGTGTAGCTGGATCTTAGATTCTGTTCGCCTTAAGTACTACAATTATATGTAGTTGAAAGTAGAGTTGTTCCTGGACCGAATGGGTTCGGCGGCCATAGAGAGACTGTTCCTGGGTACCGGAAGAATGTTGACCGCGTGGATCATCATCATGTAAACCCAAATTCAACACTTTCTCATACCCCTCCATCACATAAAAGCAAGTCTGTCACTCCTTAAGCAGCCATTCAAATCATGTTCCCTTCAAAGTGGTATATCGCTATCATCCTAGCTTGTTTCCTACAAGTCTCCCTTGCTCTACCAGTTAGTGTTCGAATTATTCTTCATCTAGCGCCGGAACTGATAATCTGAAACAGATGCTAGCTAGAAATCCTGAAACTGTAAGAAATATATATATATTACAACGACGCATAACTTATCAGACCAACAGGACTCCACTGCAGTTGCAGACCAATTTGGTGGTACTGGAGGCAGCTCTGGTGCTGACTGGTGAAAATTGTCTTGTAAGTCCGTATATTGAGTACCGCGACTTGCACTAAATATCCCAGCCTAGTGTCACGACTTTTCTATACCTAACGTTTTACGTGCTTAAAACTGGGGCATCGCATCTTCCTTGCCCTCACCATTCTAGGCGGCACGCCCATGTCTGATCTTACCCTTTTCGACTTCTTTTTGCGTTTTATACCAGTGTCCTCATTATAATCTCACACTCGTTTTATACCTAACTTGCATACTTCAATGGTCAAGCGACATCACGCGCACTTGCCTTGTATTCAAACATGTATTCCACCTGTTCTCTACGAATTAGCTACTTAGCTCCATTAGTACTCTCTTTGATTGTTTCCGTCTTGATTCAATGGTTTTTTTCTTTCAGTTTGCATGCACACGACCTCGTGTGCCGATAAATATTACACGACTTTGCAATGTCCGATGAATGAATGTTCTTTGCCTCCGTCCAAGCTCCGACATCGCGCGGGCGGGCATCAGACTGCTTTACTCATTGCAAGCATCTAAGTCAATCTCAGGCTCTAGCTAAATTCAGTGAGTGGGTTCCTGGTCCACGTGAGGGTTAAGGGCAGGCGTAGTCGCGTCAATATCGAGTGCACGCGTCAACTTTTACTTCACTGACTGATCTTGCTACCATGTCGATGCTCGACGAGCCCGTTCCTCAAGATGATCTTATGCGCGACAGAACTCGTATATTCGAGGAATTCCTCATTTCAGATTCCCCAATTTATAATTACAGAGACGACATCGCGCGTATGCTCCGCACAGATCAAACCCGTCTAATAGTCAATATCGATGATCTCCGTGACTATAACAGAGAGTATGCAGATGGCTTGCTCAAGCAACCTATTGATTTTCTCCCCGCATTTGACGATGCTCTCGTCGGTGTCGTCACTCAAGTCCATGACACCGAAAAACACGAGCTCGAGGGAAAGAACTATCGTGTCGGCTTCAGTGGCTCCTTTGGTGACCATCATGTCAGCCCACGTACCCTCAAATCAGAACATCTTGGCAAGATGATCTCCTTAGAGGGCATCATCACGCGTTGCTCACTCGTCCGCCCAAAAATGCTCAAATCCGTTCACTATTGCCCCGAAACCAAACTCTTTCACGCTCGCGACTACCGCGACGCGACTACGTCGACATCAAATTTGCCACCGACCTCCACTGTCACACCTCAGCAAGATGACGATGGCCATCCCCTCCAGATGGAATATGGTCGTTGTGTCTTCCGAGATCACCAGCGTATCAGCATCCAGGAGATGCCCGAACGCGCTCCAGCTGGCCAGCTACCTCGTAGTACAGATATCATCCTTGATGACGATCTGGTAGACAAATGCAAACCTGGTGATCGTGTTCAACTAGTTGGCTTCTATCGAAGTGTGGGAGGTGGCTCAAGTGGCGCCTTCAAGTTCGTATTCGTTTTCCCCTTGAAATTTATCACTCATCTTCCGATTGCCTTACAGATCCCTAATCCTCGCAAACAACATCAATCTCCTTTCCTCTAAGATTGGAGGTGGTATTGCACAGACACCATTAACTGATACTGATATTCGGCAAATCAACCAACTTTCTAGACGACGCGACATCTTCCGCCTTCTTTCGCAGTCTCTTGCTCCGTCCATTTATGGCCACGATAAAATCAAGGAAGCTATCCTTTTACTCCTGCTGGGTGGTGCAGAAAAGAACCTACCTAATGGTACCCATATCCGTGGTGACATCAACATGCTCATGGTCGGCGACCCGTCGACAGCAAAGTCGCAACTACTTCGCTTCGTGTTGGGCACTGCCCCACTCGCTATTGCTACCACCGGACGGGGAAGTTCTGGTGTCGGTTTAACAGCGGCTGTTACCACGGATCGCGATACCGGCGAGCGAAGGCTCGAAGCAGGCGCAATGGTTCTTGCAGATCGCGGTGTTGTTTGCATTGATGAGTTTGACAAGATGTCAGATATCGATCGCGTGGCGATCCACGAAGTCATGGAACAACAGACGGTCACCATCGCGAAAGCTGGTATCCATACCAGTTTGAACGCGCGGTGCAGTGTCGTTGCCGCTGCTAATCCGATCTATGGCCAAGTGCGTCGATCTACGTGCATTTTCGTTAGACTTTGTAGCCTGACTACGTTATTTGCTAGTATGATATCCATAAAGATCCTCATAAGAATATTGCACTACCCGATTCCCTTCTTTCGCGTTTTGATCTTCTCTTCATTGTCACCGATGATGTTGATGAAGAACGAGACCGCAGAATTGCAGATCACGTACTGCGTATGCACCGTTATATGCCACCTGGAGTTGAAGACGGTACTCCTGTGCATGACAACCTGTCACAGCCCCTTGCCATTGATGGACCGGGTGTACAATCAGCGGAGGTGGATGGTGAGACAGAGTCCAGCCCCTTTGAGAAATACGATCCCCTGCTCCACGTGGGCTTGACAGCCGCGAAGTCACGAACACGGAGAGGTAAGCAGGTGAAAACAGAGGTGTTGAGCATCGCCTTCATCAAAAAATACATTCAGTACTCGAAGAGCAAGCCTGCTCCAGTCCTCACGAAAGGCGCGGCTAATCATATCGTGAATGTTTATGCCAACCTTCGCAATGAGGACGAGGGTCAAACCAATAGGAAGAAGGTATTTTTTCCCCCTGCATCTTGATCTATGTTCCGTTTTTGACAGATCGTATCCAGACAGCTCCTCTAACAGCGCGTACACTAGAAACTCTCATTCGTCTATCCACAGCCCACGCTAAAGCACGTCTCTCTGTCAAAGTGGAGTCTGAAGATGCTCGCGCGGCAGAGGAGATAATGCGGTATGCACTTTACAAGGAAGTTGCGAAACGGCAAAAGAAGAAGAAACGCAAGCTTAATCGCACGCGAGCAGCTGGCGGGAATGACGAAGATGACTCTCAAGATAGTTCCGATGAAGATGAAAATGATCAGGGCGAGGGTGAACAGCCCGAGGTCCCCGAACGCATGAGTATGCCTCCTCAAGCACCAGCCAACAAGCAGCCTACGAACAATCAAAGTAGTCAGGACACGTTGTGGAATGACAGTAGCCAGGATCTCGCGATGGATACGTTACCAACGACTGCTACAGAACCATCACAGGAGGGCCGTGTGCCTCCAGAAAGGTTAGCATCTCATTCTCATCGTTCTCTCACGTCTCTGGTGTTTCGCTGGAAGCCTTACTTGAAGAGTGTAATTCTGACGCATTTTTCTCCCATGTGTTTCTGTTTTGATAGGCTACAGCTCTTCCGTGCACGGCTGGCGAATCTTTTCTCTACACGCCTCCAAGACGAGGAACAAGTGTTCTTGACAGAACTTGTGGAAATGGTGAATGAGGGCCTTCCCACGGATGCATTGTTTGGAACTGCCGAGGCTACTGCAGCGTGTCAGGTCATGTCAGACGCAGATGAGCTCATGATTAGCGAAGGGATCGTCTATAAGGTCTAATACCCCTGCGTGCGCCCGACTGTCCCATGAGGCAGACTGACCGTATCCTCCATCTCGCTTGCTTATCGTCTCGTTGTCGTACCATATTCTCTCCTTGGTTGTAATAATAGCTCTGAACTCAAGATATTGATCAATAAGAATGATCTCTACATCACCGGACCGTATCCATTACTGGTGTGACTTGAAGTCGAAGCATGTGTCAGAAGGTCTGGACAGATGATCAAAGTCAACGTTGAAACCCTGCCGTGATATTATTATCTCGTCCCCTAAAGCAAAGTGATGGTTCGAAGACTAAATCCCATGCGCTCATCGCAGTATGACAGCATATTATCAGACGATTCTCACCGTTCTCCTCTCACACTACTACACGGGCGCTCGCCCCTGCACAGCCGGCAACCAAACGTTTACAGATCATCCCGCAGTCGGAACACTGTCTTCACCTCCTCTTTCCCTAATCCCCCCGATCCGAGGCTCGTGACAGCATCCAAAGCATCCTCCCAACCATCTCCTTGCCCGCCAAGGACTTCCTTCACGGCCCTGTCTACTTCCTGTCTGCCTGCGCCGAGGAGTCTGCCTGCGACTAGTAATCGTGCCCAAGGACCCTCAGCCCTAGCCCGCGAAGTCCTCAAGGCGACCTGACAAGTTTCGGCCCACAATTCGCTTTCCGCGTGAACGGAACGTGCTTGCTCCCATGCAAGTCCCGTGCGGAATTGCCCCCGCGTAAGTCCCGGGCGAAAGAGAACTTCGCGTTGAAGAATGTGCTCTGAGATGTGTGTTGCTATCCGCCTATATACGTGCGTTGTCACTGCAGTCGGAAGTGTATTGCGGAGGAAGGTGAGGTGAGCAGACAAGAGGGCAATAGATGGGAGAAGGCTTGGGGGCACGGCGATACCATCATCTGCATTTTGAGCGTCACTTCCATCCTTGGGACTGTGTGATAGCAATTATTACAACGGACGGTATAACCCGAGTAGAAAAACGAGCGACTTACGATGTGATAGACACGAAATGTGGTTTCAAAGCACTTTCAGTTTCACCACAAACTTGACTCACAAGCATATCCTCCGCTCTTGACGCGAGCTTTGTGTACTGTGTAATTAGCTCCTCGAAGATAGTGCATTCCGGGGCATTGCTCTTGCTGGACTGATGATCTGCAGAGTTTGGCAGCGAGGGATGCATTTCCGCCCGAGTACGTAAGGCTGCCCGATGGTTGATTTCTGTCCACAGTTCTAAAAAGAACTGTCCGCAGTGTGTTGTTTAGCTTCAATGAGGTCCTGAAACAACAGCCGCCTCACCTCTTCCTCTCCCCATCGTTGCATTGCAGACTCCACGTATCGCGCGCTGAGTAACGCCTTGCACAACCGTTGGCTGCCCTCAATACCTCCGGTCAACTTACGCGAGTCTGTCTTTGCCCCTTCAACACCTAGTGCGCCAGGGACCGCTCGCACAAGAGCAGACGAAAGTGTCTCGAAAGCGTCCAGGGAAGAAGACACACGAGAATAATATTGCTCGAGGATAGGAAGCTGGACATGAATGAGGAAACGCGTGCGATGGGCGAAAGAGGGAAGTGGAGAGTAGCGATCTGTTTCACCTTCAATGATGGAGGACATCAAATTAAATCCATAACGTACCAGTAACTTGTTCAACGAGAGCCTTTATTCGACGAGCTGAGTTCGTAGCCTTCAATTCGGCCATTGAACGGGAGAGCTTGTATTCATCGGCGTCATTTGATTCATCGTCAACAATGACCCATGCGTCTGAAGAGCTGATTATTTCATTGTACTGATCCTCAGCGACTGTTAATCAACCGGTTTAGTCTCTTCGACAGACAGATAAATGTAAAAATAATCTGACATTTTTTCTCGCCTTCTAACCATGCATCAAACCACTCCTTCTGGCAAAGGATGACAGAACTGACACCTCCTTTCTCCTCGGTCTTCTTTGCCTCTGCGCCGACCACGAATTCATAACCTAATTCACGCAGATTGGAATCGAAAATTAATGCCTGATAAACTGTGTGCGCCAACAGGGCAGGGTGAGAGATCAAAGTCGGAATGGTGCGCCGCAACTTGCGCTCCAGGATTGGGACAAGGAGAGTGACGTAGTTTTGCTGAAGTTATGGTCTGCCGTCAGGCCGCAAAGCTCGTGTGTAAAAGTATCAGCTTACCCATGCATTGACACGTTGGTATGTTGTGCCCAAAAGTAAACGTTGTATAACATTGTCCATGAAGGGTCGATGGTCATGAGCCACATTCATTATATGTGAGAGATACCACTCTGGCTGTCACGAGTAATCAATACAGGTGGTTGAAGACGACGAGATCCACACCTTATCAAGGCGATTTGTCTCTCGTTCAGTTTCGAAATGGTATTTGAAACGAAGGGATATTGCATGCGCGAGTGTTTCTAGTGGGTATAAACCCCGAGAACCCATTGCAAGTTGGTTTGATGAGCCCTCGATAATCTCGCCGCTGTGTAATTTCAGTATAGCCCGTAATGCACAATGCAGCTTCACTGACATTTCTTGCAGCAACATTAAGTCTTTGAACGCAGATTCGAAGGATTTGCGGTCATGCACGCTCGCAGCGGGGTAATCGACAGCCATTGGCCATTGAAGATTTTCCAGTGCGGCAGTCAGTTTGCTTGATATAAAAAAACGTTAAATCATCAGACTGTTCCAGGGCGTAAATCCAGACTTACGCAGAAAATACACCTTTTATATCTAACCACGTTTTGTCGCGAATACGCCGTACAAATGTAACAAGATGTAGAGACTGCTCGCCACTCCCGATATCTTGCACACTTTCGCATGCTTGAACAACATTATCAACGAAGGCACTTAGCCTATTGTATTCTGACGTCGACGATTTGGCAAGTGGGGATGGTGTATCGCGCAACTGCGCCAATGCTCCTTCACTGAGAAGGAATTATGTATATCCATCGAGGGTAGGTAAAATTAATAGATGGTGCACACCTCAAAGTCAATGTACGTTCGATGACAGCCACATACGCTCGCACGCTTTCAAGTTCCTTCAGTATGCGATGCATAGTCTCAATGTCCTCAAGGAGAGTGGGATTAGATTCCGATTTTGACGGAGAAATAGATGAGACGAGGTCGTGTGAGAGATAAGTCATCTCGTTCTCTATAGACTCTCTATCCTCCGCAAGCCCACGAGTAGTGTCAAGGTTAGCAAGTGCTGCCACGCGAGTCTTCGTTACGAGTGAGTCAATCGATTGCTGAGATGCAGAGAGCTAGCTGACAACGAATAAACTATCATGAATTATTCAAATCAATCAACCCACCTGACGCTGCAGTTCCGAACTCCGTGCTTTTGTTTGTGATAGGACTTTGTCAATCCCATCGAGGTCGTCAATGTGAGTGAAGCTGGAGTTTAAGTACTCTAGTGCAGACCGATGCGCAGCAGATACATCAGGCGGTTCAAGCAGGCGCTGTATCTTCTGTGAGGACATTGTGATAGTTGAGCTAAACTGAATCTCAGTCACTACCGTGACTCCCGTGTTGTAGGCTGACACTTTATGTAATTTCAAATTCAAATTATGCCCACGTGGCTATCTAATCTCTACATCACACAACTTGATCTTCCCACTCGATGGCGTCAAGATGAGTTGAGAAGACGAACTGTGTCACTGAGTAATGCCCCACGCTACCTGAAAAACAGAGCTTTATCTCCTTTCTGAACTCCCATGGCCGAGGTTGACTTTAAGCAAGCAAACGAGAGCTACGCTGCCAGCTTCGGAAACAATGGCAAACTAAGCATTCCACCATCCAAGCGCCTTGTTGTCGGTAAGTACTTGCCAGCACACCTGTGAGAGCTCAGCTGATTCGCCAATAGTAACATGTATGGATGCTCGCCTTCAGTGAGTGGTAATCAATAAGTGGGCGTGTCCACAAACAGTAACTGTTCAACAGCCCTGAGCAGTTCCTAGGCCTGGATTTAGGGGAAGCACACATTATTCGGAATGCTGGAGGCCTTGCGTACGTTGTAAACGTCCCACAACTCCAGCGTTCTGCTGAACGAGTTCCCATGATATTTAGCAAAGAATCTCTTCGTTCCATCATCATTTCACAAAGACTCCTCGGAACTCAAGATGTGCTCGTCATTCACCATTCCGATTGTGGAATGCTCACCTTTTCCGATGAGCAACTTCGATCCAAGGTCATCAACGCACATCCTGGAGATACCAGTGTGTCCGAGGCAGTAAACAACCTGCAGTTTGGCCCCTTTCCTGATTTAGATAGGAGTGTGAAAGACGATGTCGCATTCTTGAAGAATCACCCGCTTGTTTTAAAAGAAGGAAATATCACTGGATGGGTGTACGAGGTTGAGACGGGAAAGATCAGAGAAGTGGTGTGATAAGACGACGGTACACAGAATGGTCTGTATGATGTATGTAATCTAGTGTTTCATGCCTGAAGAATGAGTAGGACCTCTATCAGAGGCAATCGAGGTTAGAAATGAATGAACAGTCACCTCTAGGGTTCATGAAGCTACAAATGGCTGCCCTTCAACTTCGTGACATATCGCACGACTTCACTCCAGTCTTCAGCCCTGCGCACCGAAAGACGGGTGTTTGCTTGCTCCAATATTTCGTCTCCTCGCTTCACATCCTCTTCCAGGAACTTTGCTCCTTCCCTTTGCAAACGAACTTCATAAACCATATCGTTGCACTCGTCAGAAGCCAGTGACAGTCGCTTATTCCACTCATATGAGCCGAAAAGGAGTACCGGGGGAGGCTTTGTTACTCCATCTAACGGGATATGATAGACGCAGGCCAATGCGTTTTCAATCGAGTCGTCGATCAGTAATTTGGCTCCGATGTCAATACAGACCTCCGCTTTGCTCAATTGCGTGGCAACCTCATGATCCTTTCTTGCACTCGTCGAGGCGTCTATATCATCTGTCGCACGCTTTCCAGCGTTCGCAAACTGGCCAGTGCATATCATGCTATGAAAGCATCCGGGGAACCAACGTTCGACCCAAGCCCAGCTATCGGCGTGGGAATTTTTACCCCGAGCTGTGACGATAATCAAGCGATAGCCCAGCGCGCACAAGGCCTCTACGCCCTCGCGTGCACCAGGTACGGGCTGTGCCTGCGCCATCCGACCGCTTGTATAGAACGCTTTAACCTTTGTGCGCGTGGTGGAAGGCGTTCCCCAAAATGGATTCTGGAGGAGCGGGCAGATCCGACATGAACGATCGCTGCATCAGTAAAATACTCTCTACTTGCCTTCCAGTAGAAGTAGTCTGCACAACGTGACCATGATGCACAGGGAGATGTCAATTCATGACTTACAGTAAAAATCATCAGTGGTCATTTGGGTACCATAAGTCTCATTGTGCCCTTGACATATTGAACTAGCTTGCACCTGGAGTGCTCCTCATGCAGATGGGTAGAATGCACGTACATTGCGCTACGACAGCATTGGTAGAGCTCAACACGTCATCAAGATCAATTGCGATGACAGGTGCAGAGGAGGGGGGTATGGATTCCTTGAGCTCTGCAATTTGCTCGACGGTAGTTTCTGCAGTGAGCTGTGGCTCGTGCTCTGGACTGGACGCTCGGTAGGTATCGTTCACGGACATGGTGGTATCGGTGACTGCTCAGATCTTATGGTATCCAGTGAGAGTCAGAGTTATTGCAATTCGCTATCCATAGTCTTGGTTTTTCGGATGAAAGCCGAATATCGATAAGGCGAAAGTATAGTCTCAATATGGACTTGTAAGTTTATCACATGTCACCAATACCCTACACGAGTTCAACGTCCTTGGTGGGTGCACTTGAGGCTACGTGTCACTATCATTTTAATCGCAGGGCGGTAGTCGCCCGAAACTCAACCTGAGGTAGGATGGTGACCTCGAAGCTTCGCCCGTTGGATCAGCGAGCAAAACAACTCGCGCAGGTGTATGCTGCGCACCGACCTCTGGTACAACGAGGACTCACGGTTGGCTTCGTCTTGTACGTGCTAATGGCCGCATATCGTGGTCTTGCCGCCCGCCCAACCACAAGGAGGGACAAGGAGAAGGACTCGGCAGATCGAAAGGACGGAAAGCCCGCCCGTGTCGCCGTACGTCTCTCTTGTCTTTTTCCCAGATCATTCGCTCATATTGGCCAGCAAGGTTGATGCCATATTTTATCAAAGGTTGGGTATCATCTTGCGTATTGTTATACCAAGCATACACTCCAAGGAGGCCCTGTTACTTTTCATGCATTCAAGCCTCCTCATTTTCCGTACTGCCATCTCGTTGTATGTTGCCGCTTTAGACGGAAAGTACGTTCTCCAGACAAATCAACTTGTTTTGAAGTGTCATGTATGATCCTCATAGAATTGTTGCATCTCTCGTGCGCGGGCAGTCTCTCCAATTTCTCCTCAACATAATACGATGGTTGTTGGTTGCAATTCCGGCTACTTGGACGAACAGCTGGCTTAGCTACGTCCAGAACAAGCTCGCTCTCGCATATCGTACCCGACTGACCAAAGAAGTGCTTAAGATGTACCTTGGTGATGAAGCAGATGGCCCAGAGGGCAAAGTTTATTATAAACTTTGTTAGTTTTGCTTACTCTCTCAGTGGAATATCTCAGTGACTCTTGTCATCCAGCTAATCTTGACGACAGGATAAAGAATGCTGACCAGTAAGCGAACTGCTTAATCAAATAATGCATCATCGATCTCAGGTTTGGATAGGATGATAACTCACGATATTCAACGGTTCTCCACGCACCTTGCAGTAATTTACGCGAACCTCGCGAAGCCAATCCTTGACGTGATACTTTACAACTACCAACTGTCACAGAACGTAGGGGCAGAGGGTCTTGTCCTTCTCACTGTTTTAGTTCAGACATCTGCTGCGCTATGTAAGTCCAATTTCTATCGAGCGCATATACTCCGCTAACACAAATGCAGTACGTGCTCTAACTCCTTCCTTTGGGACATACACAGCTCAATCAGCTGCGTTGGCCGGCTCGCTTCGACATACACATTCTCGCCTCTCCGAGTTCGCAGAGGAGATCGCCTTTTTTGGTGGCGAAGAGACGGAGAAGCGGCTAATCGAACGTGAATATGCAGCACTCGTTCAACACGAACAAGGAGTAATGAATAAGAGATGGTGGTACGGGTGCGCGGAAGAAGGTATTGTCAAGTGGCTGTGGGGCAGCTTTGGGGTATGTACTCGTCAAGAAGTGAGTTGGAACGATATAACATTTATTTTAGCTTGTCGTCTGCGCAATTCCTGTTTTCTTCAAGTTGCCTGGAATATCAAATTTCGACCTAGGTAGCCGCACAGAAGGTGGGCTATATCAGTTATTCCAATATAAAGTCGCTCAACGTCCTATAGGTTTCGTGACAAACCGAAGACTACTTCTTTCTTCATCAGGTGAAATCATTCGATATTTCATATTTCACTGCTGACATGCATCCATAGATGCCATAGGTCGCGTGATGTACTCGTATAAAGACCTGGCGGATCTCGCGGGCTACACTTCACGAGTATCCCTTTTGCTTGACACTATGTCAGACATGCGAAAGGGCAAGTTCGAGAAGAGTCTTGTGAGTGGTGCGACTGAAGGAGAGAATGGAGAGAGTACGTGACAAGTTCACCCGTAACGCAAGCACTGAATGTAACACCTTTAGTTTTGCGAAGCCGCGGACAAGTTCTCCTCTCGGACGATATTCAATTTGAGAACGTCCCAATCGTTACGCCAAATGGTGACATTCTCTTGAGAAGTTTAACCTTTCACGTCAAACCTGGGGTAAGATATCTGCAACGCGTATGTATGGTATCTTATGCTAAACAAAATTTGAAGGAACACCTGTTGATTGTTGGTCCAAATGGTATGGGTCGCTGCTTTCGTGATTGTTGTCACTTCACTATGGCATGTAGGTTCTGGGAAGTCTTCGCTGTTCCGCATCCTGGGCGGCCTCTGGCCTGTTTACGGTGAGCTTGATATACTTGGACGATGCATTAGTTTCATGGTGACTCCAGGCGGCATTGTTCGGAAGCCCCCCGCGTCAGATTTTATGCTCATACCCCAACGACCCTATCTTTCACTCGGAACTCTCCGTGACCAAGTTATTTATCCGCACTCACAACAAGACATGGTGGCCCGTGGGTGAATGATATCGCGTTTGTAAATTTAATTCTAAGACATGCTCTAGGTGGAGTGACAGACGCGGACCTCCTCGCGGTACTTGAAAGGGTCCAGATGGGAAGCATCGTTGAGCGAGAAGGGGGTTGGGATGTTGCGCACGAGTGGAGAGACGCGCTTAGCGGAGGCGACAAGCAGAAGATCGCTTGGGCACGACTCTTCTATCACAGACCCAAGGTACTCACGTACCTCACTCTTGTCACTGAACGTTAATCAGTTTGCTGCAGTATGCCATTCTTGACGAGGCAACCTCACTCGTCCCTCCTGACATGGAGGGTACGATGATGGAACAGGCAACTGCCCTCGGGATTACGCTACTCACTGTATCTCATCGCCCATCACTGTGGAAGTATCACTCAACGATCTTGCAACTGGATGGTCAGGGCGGATATATCTTGTACGTCTAGTTCTTCACCTCTTACTGTAATTGTACATTTACATAACTGTCCTCGAAGCACGCAACTGGATGCAGAGAAACGTTTGGCGATTCAAGAAGAGAAGCAGTATCTAGAGACCAAACTGCTTGAAATGTAAGTGCCCTGCTTAGTTGTCAGGCTGAAAAGTCTTCATATCTTGCCGTAGACCGAAGATGAAGTTACGTCTCGCTGAACTGCGGCTTATCGCGGATGCAAATAGAAGTATATAGTAATTTTGACTGTGCGGACATATTATTATTATTATGGGCCACCAATAAATTTTCTAAGGGGCAGGTGCCTATCTAATCAATGGGATGGATCAGATAAACACGGAAGAGATTTTGTTCGGAAGCGGGAAAGGTGCCGAGATGCCGGAACCAATCGCAATTTTATCACACTAGTGAAGCCAGTGGAGGTGCACTGCCGGGTATATTGTCCTGTTTCCTCCGCACGACCACCTCTCTCACTTCCGCGCCGTCATGCACATCTTCTCCCAGTCTTTCAAGTATGAGTGGGTATTTTCCGCTTGTCGTCGTCCATAGTATGCTCACTATGTAATTTCCAGTCACTCATGGTCTCACGTCGTCATCGGAATGTGGCACAAATATCCGAACCCACATTGTACTCACGTCGTAAACGTTGATGTCCTCGATCGTACGATTGATCCAATAACTGGAATAATACGGACGGAGCGTGTTCTTGGGTGCAAGCAAAAGGCACCTTCGTGGATAGTCAAGGTAAGCCGCTCTAATATCCGCACACGACATGGAACTTATTCTTGTATTTGATCGTTTTAGCTCTTTGGCGGTTCAGAGGATGCTTTTGTTCGTGAGATATCCTTCGTAGATCCCGCGACGCAAACCGCGACAATAACATCCGTCAACCTCTCGCTGTCTCAGTTCGCTACTTGCTATGAACGAATACAGTATAGACCGATGTCCTCCACCCAGACATCATTTATGCAGACAGCAGAGATACAGGCGCGGATGGCCATGTGGAGAAGTATGACAGACAAGTTTGAGGATTGGTTGGTTCAGCGCTTCGAGCAGAATGCTATTTCAGGTAAAGCTGGATTCTCGGATGTGCTCAGAACAATGTGGGAGGCCAAGGAACAGCAGACTGCACCATCATAGAGCAGCAGGACATTCGGTCTGTTTCTTCGACTCGCTTGCACTTTTAGCATGTTAGATGCGTCCCATGGAACCTCTAGACCACATTCAAAACGTCTAGTACTTGGACGACTTATGTTTATTTTACAACAAGGACTCCCCTTCGGTCAGTTCTACGACAATATATTGTGTTTACAGTAGCAACTCAGGAAATACTATATTACTATCGTCTCTGCAAATAGACAGCGTGTCTCTCTGCGTTCTCACTCTCGACAACGCTGCGCACAATCGATCGTGAGCGAGGGGATCAGTCCGGAGGTCGATCACAGTTTGCGCTAGCGTCAAACCTTAACATTTATTAAATGTAGTTGTATATGCGGGTCGTAGAGGAAGCTGTCTTCGGTTCACTGTCCATGGCGAACGGTTCGTATGGAATGCGGGGGATGCAGTGGCTTTCAAATGTATTGAAAAGCTGGACTTTGAGGAAGCGACGATGCAGCGCGACGACGTGCACACGCGCGTTTCTGACCAATCCCATTTCTGCCGAGAGGTTACATACTCCAGGATGGGTTAACATGTAGTCGAGCGTGTGCTCTGGTACATTCAATGGAGTCTGCTCAGCTTCTTTCAGGCTGTCTGAACTAAAATAAGATCCTAGATGGCTTCGTGAGTGAAATGTGATGGATATCGGTTGCGATACTTACGAAAATCCATCGATATAGACGTTGAGAGGGGAAAGAAATGCACGATCAAGACACATCGTCTTCGAGAATTGGTGGGAAGAGGAAGTTAATGGTGTCGTCGAAGTTTGCGGTCCAACAACGCCGTGAGATGAAGCAGAGGTCGCCATAGTAGCGAGGAAAGAACCGTAAAGAGGAGACAGAACTATTGAACGCACAGCAACGCAGCTTAACACTAGGTCGAGGACACCGGTTAGACTTCTTGCTCGTACGCTTCTTCCCATCCCATATCAGTGACATGGTCGTCGCCTTTTTCACTCTCGTCATCCTCTCCTTCCTCACCTTGTTCTTCTCGAAGTAGCTGGGGTGTTGGTCGTTGACTTCCGATGCCTCCTCCGTCTTCCTCAAGAACTATTATACCTTCTCCGTCGCTCTTATCATCCATAGTATATAAGTTGTCCTTGTCATCGAGGGATGGCGCTTGTGGTCCATCGACGAAAAGGTCCTTGAGCGCATCGTAATTGATCCGTTTACTGTACTTGGGATTTTTCTTGATAAGATTTCGCACTGATTCGGCTGCCGTATTTCCAGACGGCATTGAGTCGTCGCGCGGTTTAGTGCTGGTTTTGCGACGCTGAAGAATACGAAACGTATCAGTATTGAAATATTCACAAGAAAAATTTCAGCCATGATACGAACCTTGCGACTTTTAGGTTGATTGGCATCAGCTGCCTCGCCCTTGGCTACAAACAAACCGCTCAGTAAAAACATGAATGATTGACAGTGAAGAAATCATACCGGCTAACGCTTCTAAGTAGTCTCGATTGATCTCTACCCAGACGCGTTCCTTGATTTTGACCTCTTCTTCGGTGAGGAGAAATCTGTCAAGTTCCTCTTCATCCAGTCCTAGCAATTCATCGACTTCGGCAAACTGGGCCTGTCGACGCTGCTCAGCTTCGTCCAGAGCGTCACGAAGGAGCGAACCCTGAGTGTTTTGCAAGAAACTAGCAACTTCGTCAGCGAGGGCCTGATCAACGGTTTCATCGATGGCAGCCGCTGTTGGCGAATCAAGTTCGGGGGATATAACATTTGATGCTGGTCGAAGCGCGGGATCAATATTGGCGTAAACTTCCTCGTTTTCGTCGGGGTAAAACAGCGGCGCCGGCCCAGACGTTCCAGCAAGGATACCCTGATTGAACAGAGCTGGGTCGATCATGGGTATCTGAGGTGGGATCTCCTCTAAAGATGGCGCGAATTCTACCTGTCTCCCTTCAGGTTCGCTACCTCTCCTTTTCCGTTTGCCTTTCCGCTTCTGTTTCTTGACTTTGTCTTTTGGCCCATCGAGAGCCTCTTCCCGTTCTTTCTCTTCTTTCTCCTTTCCTTTCGTAAAGGCGGGAGGATCCATCTCCTCATCTAGCCACACTGTCCTAAAGTCGGCAAGCGTGAGGGCTCCGCTAGGAGTCTTCTTGAATTCATCTAATCGTTTTTTCAGTGTGGTATCAGCGATCTTTACCACTTGTACAATCTCCTCGACTGAACGCCGGAAGTTATTCATGCGCGCGGCAAGGAGGAGCGCTGCACCACAAATTCCTGCTGGACGACGGCCTCGAGTGACCCAATCACGGTCAAAACGTTGTACGAGTCGAACGGCATCAGTGGCGACTTTGTGAGTTTCTTCGCCAAACTCGAGCAACGCCGCGAAGCGGGAAATGTAATGAGAAGGATCGACGAGAGGGAGTTTTAAATTTAAAATCTGAACGAGTTGCAGGTATATGTGGCCCAGCTCGAAGACGTTGACCTAGAAAGAAATGGTCCGAGATCTTGTGTTGATAGATACAATTCCTTACCTGTAGGAGATCTGAGAAGTCTATGAGCATATAATTACGTGTCTCTTTTTGTCTACAGGCAACATATAGACAGACAGCAGCAACATTATTGCTTTTGCGACCCTTCGTAAACTTGTGTTCAACGGCAAGGGTGTAAAGACGCGTTGCCGCCAAGCAAACAACTTCAGATAGACGTAGAGCGCCAGCAAAGTTCTGAATCTTTCTGCTAGCTAGTGAATCATAAGGTCTGTTATGACTATGATAAAAACAATGACTCACCATTTGCGATAGTTTGCTCGCGAGACTCGTTACTTCCTCTGTTCCCGAATGGACCCGACATGCGAGCATGCGCTGGCAGAGGTAGACTGAGGCTGTGTCCGCAGAACATCGATAACCGGTACTTACTTGAACCCTGACCAACGTAGGATCCCTGAACCATCGCCGCACCAGCGGAGGTTTCTCCAAAAGTGACCTCTGAAACTATGGTGTTCTCCTCTACCACCGTTCCGCATTTGACACAAAAGCCATTGCCGGCAGCTGCATCATACTCGATAACAGTCCCCCCGCAATCCGTGCATACAGTCTAAGCGTATCGATGAGCCATAGATTATATATAGTGATACGAGAACCTACCATGATGATCCTTGGAGCGCTCGGATACAATGTTATATGTTATGATGAACTTGTTAGGGCAATATATATGGGCGGTTAGATGTTCTGCTGTCAATTGAGAGTTTATAACGTACTGCTAATAAAAAATGATAATGATAATGGTGGATCTAATGTAACATGATACGGTGGAACGGGTTGTCGTAGATGCTCTTACGAGATCGGTTGAGGCCAGCCGCCGCCGACCGGACTTCCAAATTCACTGGTTCGTTTAACTTGCGATCTGAGAATGGGTGTTAAAATGCACTCTCGACCGTCTAACACTAGGACGCATGTACTATACTGACTAGACAATCCCAGTGCCGCTTTTTCCAGTAGATGAATCTGCTGCCGCATTTTGTAGTCGCCAAGCATTCCGCGAGCTGAGCATATACAAGAGGCAGCTGACCGTGCCAGTGACTGCATCGAATTGGTTTATAAAGGCCGGGATGTAGGCCCCGCCCTACGTGTGAGATTTTATTTCATGAGTGCTGCACGTCCTGTCACGTAGTATACGTGGTAAGTACTACTACTACTTATTTGTGTGGGACCTTGGCACGAGTGATGTTGATGTTGCATGAGACTTCCTTACTGCACCGCAGCTTGTATCACGGGAGCCGCGTCAATGCAGACCACTACTATGTCAGAGAGTTATTCATATGTCGTGAGTACGCCAGCTAGCCCACTCTGAACAGCCTTCACTTACCCTCACCGCCTCAGACTCGGACATTATTTTAGATCATGTTTCCTTGTGAAAATTTCAGATAAATATCCCCGGTCAGGCTGTTACCCCTGTGACTACGCCGCAGAATCCCAGATGTCGATGATGATACATCAGAAGATTTCCTATGCATACTATATTTGTCCAGGTGTTGTCAAGGTCCTACTAGTACTACTAGTGACATTCATGAGAGCTATCATTGGCTTTTCGTAGAAATGCTGTGTAACCAAGGTGTCCTGCCTCTTGGCAGTGGGTCACAAACTACTTGAAGTACCGGCTGTGAGAATATCCTTGATTGATTCCTCTTTCTGACTTCCATTCTTCTTGACTCTCTGTACCTCGGCAGGACCGCTGTAGCAGTTCGGTCGACCTTCTTTCATTGCTCTTCTGTCCTTTGCTTGCCAAGTTCTTGAACGAATTCTGGCTAATCATATTATCCTAGTGACATCGTCATTCATTTATCCGTGATTTCGGTATGGATTTTCCAGGTCGGGGAACAAATTTAGCATCTGAAAGCAGTTAAGTTCTATAGCTGGCTGTCCATTATGCGCATTAAGCAACTATGGAATATTATCCCTCTCCCATCCAAGATCAAATTACTGGTGAGTTCTTGCAGTGACTTTGCGGTCCAAATCATCAGAGGCAACCTGCCACTGAACGAGGTGTCCAGAAGCATTGTAACAATGTTGTCCATACAACTGAGCTGATTCTTCGAAACAGTGGGATCGGATAACTCTTTCACGCACAACTACTTTTTATTTCGTATTTTCCATTCTTCATTGCGTCCTCCAGATCATCTTTCAAGGCCAGGCCTTTCGTATCAATGTCGGGGCTGCTGAATTCTTGGCTTCGATCACCAAACAAGGAGACACCATCGATTCGAACGCATTCTATGTTTTGGGGAGTGACCTTCGTCTTTGCGACAGTATCCCAACAGACTTCAGCACTAGCTCTTGCCAAGTAGTCTGGAATGGTACGACAGTTGGGGATAATTCCATGGCGTCCGAGAATGTAGTGGCATCGCCAATGACTACTTCATATTCAACGGAGACGTCAAGTTCCATGATCTCGACCCTTTTCGCGTCCTCAGGGTCGAAGGTGTCCACTAGTTCAACGAGTTCGAGTTATTCTGCGATGTCAAGTTCCATGATCTCGACCCCTTTCACGTCCTCAGAGTTGAAGGTGTCCACTAGTTCAACGAGTTCGAGCTATTCTGCGACGTTAAAGCTTATGACATCTGCAAGTCCAACAACTACCGCAACTTCGAGTTCAACAGCATTCACGAACCTTGTGTCTTCGTCTCATACCACTACCTCATCCGCGATGGCTTCAAGCGCCACTGATAAGGAGCGCAGAGAGACTGCTGCTGAAATGGTCAGTAATTCCCTCAGGGTGGAAGTCAGCTGACGCGTCTTTCAACAGCCAAACAGACGCAACCTCGTTGGAGATATCCAAGCTGTCGAGGTCAATGGCACCGTACAAGTCATTGTGAACGGATTTGGCTGGAACAATCAAGCAGCTGTTTTAGACCGACAGTGCCTTTGGGCTCTGAATTATCCAGTTCAAATGTAAGAAGAGTTTCGCTATACTCTACTACTGCGTATGTAACGTTATCGAAGCCTTCAGCAGACCGAGCGGGAGGATTTGACCTTCATCGCTTTTCAAATATGGGTTCTCGGAATGTCTATCGTTGCTGTAAGCAAATTATGGTTCTTTCTTCATTCATTTGTCACAACGTTGTACTAGGTCCTGAATGAATCTGTCCCTCACACGTGAGTACTGCACTAATTTGTTTGTCGCGAGAGGTACTCAGAAGACCATAGCATCGCAACTCTTTTGACGCACATGCTGGCCACTGGATGGGCAGGATATCAGATATTTAACACTGCTCAATTTCATGGTGACTTTTCGAGGTTATCAACGAATGGAGCTTGCAATCCTATCAATCTTTTACCGTCATATTGGAAAAGTCGCTTTGCTGCTGAAATCGCAAGCCTGGTGCTGAATGTCGTTGCGCTGTTGGTTTCTTCCTTCCTATCGTGGAGGCTTGCCAAGGTGATATAGTCTCGGTCCTGGTTTGCAACTTCACAGCACTCATGTTTTACTTCGATTGCGTCTAGCTCTTTGGTTGGCAGACTTTCAAGCGCGTCGGGGCTTCCATCACTATCAGTCGTGTCTACAAATTTGTGCTAGTGCTCTCAATCGTTATCCAGATGTCGCTCTTTTTCATGGTGATCGCCATCTCACTTTGGCTTGATCAACTTTGCAATGGCAACATTGGGCGTCTCGACTCTTCCCCTGAATATAAACCGCTGCTGATCGTCACTCTCATTGTGAGTGAAAAAATTACGTGCCGTCAGAAACATTCATTGACCACGTCTTTGTGTAGCTCTTGCTTCCATGGTTAACCACAGTCAGACTCCACTTTGTGATTGTTTGCACAGTAGCTTACACCTCTCGCAGGGCTGGTATGGTGTGCGCCGAGAACTCAAAATGCCTATGCTCGTATTTCTTGCGCTCAGTGTCGGATACCTTGCAGGCTGGGCAGCAATGTTCGATTCCACCGCATTCCGATGGACGTACATGACCTGGACATTCTTCGGTGTGATGACCACTGCTTCCGTCTTCCTGGCTCTTGTTGCGTTCATCTTGGGTATCATATGTCGTATTAACTTCGGCAAGGGGCTTATACGCTATCGTGAGTTCGCACTATTTGTTACTCTCGCCTCTCAGCTTATATGGTTGGTACAGTCAATGCAGAAGAGCCAATCCCAGAAGACTTTGTACCCGTCAACTACGAAGATGATCTAGAGAAGATCGCGTTCCCGACGGATGATAGGAGAGTGCCCACATTCTCTTCCACGTTCGGCGCGGGACAAGAAGTTTCTCCTTCTCAGATGCTTGCTCCTCCTATATGGGAGAAGTTCTCCACACCTGAAGGTTCATTCCCAGCCCCGGGAGCTATTCAAGTGTCCCCGGCTGCATTGGCAAGGCTGCCATCCTCCGGATCCTACAATGCCGGCGTTGAACGGCACGTGTCCAACAGTAGCACCCATAGTTCAACGAGTACTACTTCAAGCCAACTCGGGAGTGACTCTGTAGCTGGACATTCCAGACGCTGGGTTATCGAGTAAATGTCACTTATAGTTTGCACAGGCTCCTGGTGTATTCGATTTGTAATTGTAAACTAGCTCATCAGTACCACCGGGTGGTCGTTTTTATTTGTGCAATTCATTCACTCTGCTTTCAGCGAAAGCCACCGCCAAACACATCCAAATACAACAACTCAGAATTCAATTGGTCGACGGTCTTGCAACGCTCGTGAGGCCTCCCTTCGCCTCTGATGATCGTCGTCTCTACCTCTACTTGTTGAGAAAAGTTCTCATATTCTTTGTGCAGATTGAGATAGGTTCACTCTGAGGAGGCGAGCATGTCCGTTATATATTGAATTCTGCTCGTACTTTACGTGCTACGTATACTAACTCTGCTAGTCATGCTCTCCGCTGGTCACTGCACAAGCCATGTCCACTGATTGGACATATACCTCGAATCTCAACACTACTGCTGTTAGACACTTTGATGTTTCCCCTCTCCTTCCCAGTTTACGATGGCAGGTAGCTATCTTGTGTGGATGGCATAATCAATCATCACTTTTGGAATGCCCGACCAACTTGCAAGGAACTCGCAAATGCCCTAACCAGTTCAGAGGCTGAGGAAGGACAGTTCAACTGTTAAAACTCTCCAAGAAATAATAATAAATTATTGGGAAGGCTTATTTGTCCGACGGTCACTCAGACTGGTTTCAATTGGTTGGAGTGGCAGTCTAAAAGTCATTCTCATCGTATTCATTCCACTTCTATCAAAGTCCTAACTTGTCCAAGAACACTGGGCAGCTGGTAGGTACTGCAGTTCGTCACTCCACACACTACTGCCGCCTTGAACCTCAGGCTTGCTTGTGCCACACCTAGTATGAGTCATTGTACCCAACTAGAACTCCCATGATGACTGATCGGATGTTCGTGTCAACCATCAAGTAGGCCAATAATAACTTTTCCGCTACTCAGATCTCAGAGCCAGAGAACTGCGCAAGACTCATCATGATACTGTCACAACTGTCAGAGTAATCTCTGGTCGCTTCATAGTTTGCCCTGCCGTGCAGTGCACTGAGGCTGGTTCTGAAAAGGTTGGTCAAAGTTACACACGGTCTATATATCACTAATCTTCTCAGACATCGACTTAAAAGATATCCTCTTCCACTGTATCGATCTGCCTTGCTGGACTGTAACTCTGTGGATGCATCCGGAGGAGCCGCGGTGTTTCTCGTCGGATCCCACAGCCTGGGTGACTTGGCCGAGATCAT